TTTTGTGTTCAACAGTCGACACGGCTAAAAATGTCTCTTTGAAAACTGATTCCACCCCTTATCTAAATTACACGTCACGTAAAACCAATCCTCAATACTTCATATTTATATAAATTCAAAGAGTTTAGCTTCTGTAAAATGTAGTAGAAATAATAAAGAGACGTGTCAAAATTGTGCGTTTCTTAAAATCAGGAAATACTCTGTATTAAGGGCACCAACAAACTGATAACAGTAAATATTAGTTGAGATGAGGGTACGGCTAAATCTATTTGTTAAGGCCAGCTCAATTTTCGTCAAGATCGCTGAGATGTAAATAAGGTTAGCACACAAGATTGTTGGCTAGATTGTAGGTTAGGGTTAGGGTAAGCATTAGAGCTAGGTCCAGGGTTAGGGTTGGGATTAGCGTTAGCCCTGTTTACATCTCGCAACCTTTGACCAAACTTGAAGTTGGCCTTATCAATTAGATCTAACCAGGCCCACGAGACTACAGTATATTACTCATATTCAGTGTTTTAAATGTTTCCTCGTCTATTCTCTACCAGTTATTCTCTAATATAGTACAAAATCATTAGACCGATACGGCTCATTTGTGTGAAAATATTAATATAAGGTTTTGAACTTTATCTGGCTTATTTCCTTTAAATGAAAGTGGCACTACCATATCCTTAGTAGCCTATTCGGTGTTCGTATTTAAAAAAAGAAAAAGTTGTTTTGTTTTGTTCGATTTGAGCACAGAGTTCAACCAGGCTTGTTCAAATGAGGTTGTGTTATAAATTAAAGAGAGCGAGAGAGAAAAATGGGGTTTAACGTTCACTCGATACAAAGTAGGTCATTTCGGGACTAACATATGGTTCAATTTTTTATTTCAATAATTCGTTTGCGCGTACATGTAGGTGTCTTCAGCAGTGGGAGGAAACCGGAGGACCCGGAAAGAACCCACGAGTTTGGACGGACGACCCTACTCCTTGTCACACGCAACCGGAGAATCAAATAAGGTCAATGACAGACCTTATGATACAACGCACACGCGCTAACCATTCGGCCATCCACCCCACCCCCGATAAATTAAAGACACACCAGCTTATCAATACTAGATTTATTTAAAATATGTTAAATTATTTATAGTATATATTTTCGTGTTGAAAATTACAATACTACTTCAAATTTGCCCGTCGAATTTTTAAACTATGTAATCATTGTTTGATCGTACCCAATGGTGGTGAAAGCACGCCGAAAGATCATTTATTTTTTGGGGAAAAAAAACGATATTTACTACAATCGCTAGACAAATTGGAGTCAATGTAGGTTAATTGGGTGGATATTTATAGTTCATAACTTATTCACTTGAGTGAAGAATAACAACTAGGTATTGTTTACTAATATCCATATGAAACATTTAGATTAGGTTGTACGATGCTATCATTAAGTTTGATATCAAGAAACCCCTGTGGTTATAATTAGAGATGAAAATAAAAGAGGTATTATATACAACCATGGAAGATAGATCGAGTGAAAGTTGGACTGTAATCAAATTGTCCAAACCTACGATTTATCTCTCCCTTTGATTACATTTTTTACCGACTGGGTCATGACATAGAAACGTTGATTTTGAATTTGCCCTGAGACATGCAAAGGCTAAATGTAAACAAATGTTGATAACGGATTAGAACAAATTTCAAGATAAATTATTATTAGGTGGGTGGTTGGATGGCCGAGTGGTTTGCGCGTGCGCGCTGTATCATAAGGTCTGACATTGAGTCAACTGGCGTGTTTCGAATCCCCGGTTGTACATGACAAGGGGTAGGATCGCCTGTCCAACCTCGTGGGTTTTCCCCGAGTCCTCCGTTTTCCTCCCACTGCTAAAGACCCCTACGCGCAAGCGAATTATTGAAATAAAATTGAACCATGTCTTAGTCCCGAAATGACCTAGTTTGTGTCGAGTGGACATTAAGGTCCATCTCTCTCTCTCTCTCTCTCTCTCTCTCTCTCTCTCTTATTACGGGGGAACACAAGTAAATGAAATGTGGGTTAATGTCTTTATTTTCTGCACCAACCGGGCTATCGAAGACGAGCATATACCTGTAATATATCGCCCACACTTTATCAAATACCAACTGTTAAGGGTTCTTTTACGTGCATAAACTGGAGTAAACCGGTGGTACTCGGATTTTCGTTGATGAAAAGATGAAATGGGGTTTAAGATCCTACTGTTCTGCTCCTAAACTGGGCTAATGAAGACGGGCATACGTCATACAGTGTGCTATGAGGGAAATTGTGCCCGTTCAGCGGCGCTACGGCCTACTCTTATATCGAATTCCAACTGCCAAGGCGGATTTTCGTACCATATAAGCAGGGTCGATTGTAGAAAATGCGGGGCCCTATTTGGGAGGCCCGAAGTTACAGGATATGAATAACTGTAACTGGGCCTATATTCATTCATATAGGCTTTACGTCACAATTAGTAATTGATGAATACATCACCTGCTAGATTACCTGGAAATTCCTTAACTTGGTTAGCTGCGGGGCCCCTTTCTAGTGCAGGGCCCAATTTTGGGGAAATTGGCCATACGTGCCAACAACCGACCCTGTATATAAGCTTCTTTTGGGTAAACCAACCAAGGAAATATCGAGGAACCCAATGTCTCCTGGTTAGTGAACATGCACCATACCCACCGAGCCACGCCTTCAGAATTAAACAAAAGCCTAATGCAAATAAACTTTGATAAACAGAATTCAATAAATACTAAACACTTTGCAAGACAAATTTCAATATTATTGTATCACAAGTGAACATATATATATATATCAATCGCGTGAAGCCAAAAATACACAAGAAAAACAATGAAGCAATGACTAAGATATAATTTATTAAGCTGTCAGTATTTGAGAGATAACGGGACTATTTGTTTCAACATAGAGGAAAGATTGTATTTGATCTTCTGTCTACCTGTTACCATTAATATAATTAACGGTATTTTAACGATACTCTAACCTAATTCACATCTTTAACTGACCAAATTGTTAAAGGTCCACCATGACTACATCCTTCAGTTGAGGTTCTTATCCTGACTACACCCTTCATTAGATGTTCACACTCTGATTACCGCCTTTATTAAAGGCCCACGTCACCATTACTATAGCCTACATTAAAGGTCCACACCATGACTACAACTGCGATATCACCTCGGTGGAAGCGGACGTAAAATACAACTAACACACACACTACAACTCCCATTAAAGGTCCACACCACCATGGCTACAACCCCTATTAAAGGACCTGCAACCTGCATTAAAGGTCCACACCATGACTACAACTGTGATATCACCTCGGTGAAAGCGGACGTAAAATACAACTAACACACACACTACAACTCTCATTAAAGGTTCACACCACCATGGCTACAACCCCTATTAAAGAACCACCCTGCCCTGACTGCAGCCTTTATTAAATGACCACTCTACCCTGACGGCAACTTTCATTAAAGGTCCACGCCACCATGACTGCAAGCATTATTAAAGGACCCATTCACCATGACTACAACTTTTATTAAAGGTCTACTCCTCTTTCATAACAACTGCCATTAAAGACCAACTCGACATTTGCTAAAACTTTCAACAAAACCCAATGCTTGCTGTTAACTCGATGTTAAAAAAAAAAAAAAAAAATCATTTCTTTCAAAATTGTGACTGTAGTGGAATGTGGAATTAATAGCACCCTGGACACAGTCTTAACGTATATTATTGAAACTTCGGTTCGTTTTATTTATAAAAAGACACCGCGATAGTATAAAAAGACAAAGCCCGACCCTGAAAGATAAAACCCGATCAACGGATATTATTTTAAACAACTTAAGATCAGTCTATTAGCACCCCCCCCCCCTTTATTCTAACTAAACAATAGATAAACTTTTCATCATATCCAGCTTAATACATGGGCCTTTAAATTGGAAGGGTCGTGTAGCAAATTTGACCTTTACCAGTATAGTGTGAAATGGATAAATACCTATTTAGTTTTCTTATTCATACAATGGCAACAATAGTTTACACGAACTCTCTCGGTTAAAATTACATAACTATTATGTGTTGTTTTTTGTGATTGCCCTGTAGGAAATGAAACAAAAACCTGTCAAATACAAGTGGTGGATATGAATATAAAGACGTTCATGTGGATTCTATTATTAACTTTAGTAATATGAAACTTCCTTTTCAAGACGATTTGGGTCTTTTCATCTTGGGGAATCCTTAGATATGTACAGCATATGTACATGTTCATGTATTCATGTTATTATTGTCTGCACGACATTTTCAGCTTACTTGCTGGGCCACATTCAAAATTCAATTGGTTACCCAATCGGGGTTGGATTTACCAATAGGCATATTGTGCCACTCGCCTAGCACCCATGGGCATGTGGGGTCCACTGAACTGATTTGTCGCCCAGCGTACCAGCGTAAACCTTGTTTCAGGTGTACGCCGGGTATTTCATTATAAAATATCTTCAAAACCATAACAGCCTGTACAATAAGTATAGGGATCGGAGTATAGGGTCCCTGTACGGTAATGGCAGGGCCCGGAGTATGGGCGCCCCTGTGTAATAAGGATAGGGACCGGAGTATGGGGTCCCTGTGTACAGGGCCCGGTGTATGGGGGCCCCTGTGCAATAAGGATAGGGTCCCTGTACAATAAGTACAGGGCCGGAGTATGGGAGCCCATATGCAATAAATAAGGATAGGGACCGGGGTATGGGGCCCCTGTAAAATGAGTTCAAGCCAATAGTGATCTTCAAATGGTAGGATAAATTTGGCGACCTACTAATGAGTTTGGCCTAGATAAATTCGGCCAAGTACCCAATTACAATATGAGGGTCAATAGATATATTATTTAATATCGCATGCTGAATTTTGATTTCGGAAGGAACGCAGAATTAAGGAAATATATTTGAGAAACAATTAAAAAACCCAGAAGTTGCCAATTGATTAATTGTATTCTCTTATTTTTTCAGATTGTGGAATAACGAAAGATTTGTGTCAAGTATAAAACAGAATCTGAATGTGTTGAAAGAAGCCATTACTAGTCCGTAATTAAGTTATAGAGTAGCCCTTGTAACAGAGAACGTTAACGGCTTCACGATGAACGGAACCCCATACACACCCCGATCTAAACCCCACCCTAGAATAAAACCCGAGGCACAGGAAAATGCCATGAAAAATCGCGGGGGCATGGAAAAATGGTTCGACTACGATCAAAATATCAGTGACTATAATTCTCCGAGACCTGGCGATCGGTTAAGGACTGATGAAGCGAAGAAAATCGCTGAAGTTAACAAAGGGTGTATGAATGAATTCATGGAGGGTTATCCGGATCGACCTGTCGAAAGAGAGTTACATCCCAGGGGAGTGACGGGCGCTGGGGCAGAAATCGCCGACATGAATAAAGGAAAAGGTATGAAAAACCTCATCGATAGTTACGGAAATCTTGGAATCTCAGATCGACCGAATCCAAAAGTCAAAGGCCAGGACGCTTCGGAAAATGCGGAGCGGAACCACGGACAAGTCAATGACGTTTTGAACAATTATGGCAATCACCCCCTGTCTCCCCCTCCAAACCAGAAAGTGAGTTATGGTGGTGAAGAAGTAGCGAATAAACACAAGGGAAAGGATATGGGACCAATCATGAAGATGGAAGGAGGTAAAAGGTCACCACGTGATGGTAAACAAAGAACATTACACCAGGAATCAGACGGAATGTAAGTATATTATATGTATTAATATTGATGAGTTTTGAGAAGTAATTCATTGTATTCTGTCTAAAACATCGACAAGCAAACGTATTAATAGGTTGGCATATCCCTCGGTTCGCTATACCGTCTAGTCAGGCTATAGATATCGACATTTGATTGGCTTCAGGCCGGAAGTACTGAAGGAGATTGTTATGGAACTGTTGGAATGGTTAGTGCTAAATGATAAGGTCAGTTCAATTTTTCGTCGTAGGTCACGAGATGTAAACAGGGCTAGCGCTAATCCCAACCCTAATCCTAACCCTGGACCTAGCTCCGAAGCTTACCCTTAACCTAACCTACAATTTCGCCAACAATCACGTGTCCTAACCTTATTGAGCTGGCCTTAACAAATAGATTTAGCCGTGTTGTTGGAGTGGCTTTTAGTCTGGATTAAACAGTAATACGACAGATATAGCTGATTATTATCAATGCTTGGTGAGCGCAAGGAAGGGTTAAAAGATGGCGTCTTGTTTTTCATTTGTGTTTCATGAAAAACAAGAAACAAATCTTTCAATAAAATATAAATAATGTCATAAATTTTAAGGCAAAAGTAGATCTTAAATTAAATAGCGGGGACCCGGAGAAAACCCACGAGGTTGGACAGACGACCCTACTCCTTGTCACGTACAACCGAGAATCGAAACCCCGCTAGTTGGACAATAACCAAGACGTGGTTTATCAGAAATACCACCTAGTAGTAGCCAATGGTCAGGGGTGTTTTACGCTAAACAGGTAAATTGACGTAGACTGGCCGGACTACACTGGACAGGTGGTAAACGTATTCAGGAGTTCAAGTTGAGAGGTCAGACAGTAATTTGATAGAAGCCGAGGAATGTTCAAGATTAAGGCTGCCGTGTGGGTTCCATGCTGGGTTTGCAAATTTCCACTGTTATCCCTGAGATATCTTAAACATAACTGTAACCGAATACTGACCCAGGATGAAAATTAGCTTCTGTATTAGTTTCAACTTTCCCATTTTAGTTAGGACAATATTTTATATTAGGCGATCTTTAGAATATAGAAATGAAATGAAATGGGGTTTAGCGTCCTACTGTTCTGCTCTAATGGGCTAATGAAGACGGGCATGCAGTGTGCTATGAGGGAAATTTTGCCCGGACAGTGGCACTACTACCTACTCTTTTATCGAATACCAACTGTCAAGGGATCTTTTACGTGCACGCCAATGTGAACACGAGACCTCGGTTTTTCGTCCCATCGGAACGACTAGACAGCTGTCCTTGTCAGGCCCTCCGTCCTGCATCACTGACAAGGGGTAACCACGCCGGAAAATCTGGATGAACTTTCTTGGCCAATACAGGGATCGAACACCCGACCGCCTGGCTAGCGAAATCCACGGTTGTACGTGACAAGGATTAGGGTCGCCTGTCCAACATCGTGGGTTTTCTCCGGGTACTCCGGTTTCCTCCCACTGCTAAAGACCCGTACGCGTAAGCGAATTATTGAAATAAAATTAAACCATATGTTAGTCCCGAAATGACCTAGTTTGTGTCGATTGGACGTTAAACCCCATTTCTCTCTCTCTCTCTCTCTGGGGTCATGATGGCGCGCTGGGTATTCGGTTGGCCAACTAAGTAGGAGTACTCGATCCCGGCGTCTTCGGGAATTTTCAGCCTGGTTTCTCCTTGTCAATCGTGCGTCTACTAATTCGGGTGGGATAAACCTCCGAGTTCTCAGGTGCACCATTGGAATCACGTTAAAGATCGCCTGGCATTTTATAATTCAAATGAGAATACGCTTAGCGACGCAATCCGGGCAAATCACTCTCATAACAGACTGCATTGCGCATTCTAATCTATTATCAGCCCAGTCCAGTCAATTGGTGGAGACAAGTTTAGACCTTTAACCCTTTTAATATCTTAATCTAAAAACTATCCTTACTATACCTACATGGACGAGGCGCTAAAACCCTGCATGGACAAGCCGCTAAAACCCCTACATGGACAAGACGCCAAAACCCCCTGCATTTTGTTAGATGGGAACATTCTGTAGAAAGGTTTGATAGGTTCCATATGTGAAACCTGGCATGTTCTGTATTAAATACTATCTAAACGACAGCTTTAATCTCTAACCCGTCAACTCTTTTACCATTATCACGCTATTATATCTTGTTCACTTAACCCTTTATATCTCCATTTCACCAAATAACTTTCTACATGCTTATTTACCGTTAATAAATGACACGAGTGGGTTAATTGTTATGACCCCGGACGTAGGAATTTCCACTTTTGGCTACTGAAGTAATTCCAACACGTCTGGCGCTCATATATTTTGATTAAGTTGAGTTTGTTGGTTCGTTCGGTTATTAACCCATGATATGTAGTTGTTAAAACCATAATTGATCAGTTCAACTCCCCACTTGTTTAGAAATTAAAGGGAGTTTACTCTTTGCGCAGACCCCCATCCCACCCCACCCCCAACAAAAGCAGAGAAAAAATAATTAAATCTCGTTATGTTTTTCAAACTTGTAAATATTTATAGCATTGAACCGGGAAAGATTTTCGCGCATTATTTGGAAGTTGTCGCCGATCTTGTAAATATACAAAGGCCCTATAACAAACTAATAATGGAATAATGTTTTTCTGTAGAAATTTCTAATTGAATGAATATCGAACGTTTTTTTAAAAAAAAAATGTTAAGCTTTATATCCGTATTTTGTATATTCGCAAGAATAGAATAACTTTTTATTCGATTTTGTTTGTTTACCAAATTACTCGATGCCATCCAGTAATGTTCTTGAAATCAGAATAACTTTTAATTAGATTTGGTTCTTTTACCAAATTACTCGTTGCCATCCAGTAATGTTCTTGAAATTTTGTCATCTAAGGCTATTTGGTCCATGAACGACGTTTTGTCAAACATATAGTTCTACATCGATATCTTTGAAAGTTACACTTTAAAACCTAGACTGACTATTTACCCTTGGATTAAGTCTACATACTTAAGAATGCTGCAGTTTACCAGTGTTAAATGTTATGTAAGTACAGTCAACATCATTCATTATGCCATCAAAGACGTTACCTTTATAGATTCTTTGAAGTCTAGGTGACCAGATTTGCAACGCAGCATATTGGAAGCTTTTTATATGCATCAAGTCAACATCAGGTTATTTTAATCTAACGCTAACAGATCGGGTTGTACGTGTTTTTCACGCGGTCCAACTTCTGGGTATCACACTACTTCGAAAAAATTGACGAGTTACCGTTAACGCAAAGTGTGATAATCGCATTTGCGTATTTTAATTGTAGAAAACACATGAAAACTAAGAAATGGGTGTTACTTTTCACGGATGTTGCTTGAATTTTTTGTATTTTACTCTCTTTGAGAATACAACATTTGCCGTTTATTGGACTAAGAAAAAAAAATGTATATTATACTATCTTAAGGTCCCGAATCTTTAAAACTGGTCCACTGGCCCTTGGTTAAAATTGTAAATTTCAAACCACACGACCATTAAGTGTGTTAATAATTCATATTTTATTCAATGTGCAATGTTCTGTTTTTCTTCATACTATGATGCGCCGACGTAAATTCTGAACCACGTGAAACGTTTTTCGACTAGAAGCTAGCTCCCCCATGCGCTGTGGGGGGCTTCGGTGGCCGAACGCTTTGAATTAGAAGGTCCATCATTGAGTCAAATGGCGTGGTTTCGATTCCCCGCTCGTACGTGACAATGAGTAGGGTCGCCTGCCCAACCTCGTGGGTTTTCCCTCACTGCAAACGAATTATTGAAATAAAATGGAACCACGTGTTGGTCCCGAAATGACTAAGTTTGTGTCGAGTGGACGTTGAACTCTCTCTCTCTCTCTCTCTCTCTCTCTCTCTCTCTCTCTTTTTTTTTCTTTCTTCGAAAGAGGCACAAGAACGATCAACATGAATCTTGGCATGCAATGCATGTGTATCGATCGACGGACTTCGAGTTTTGTTATAACGTCGCAATTCCATGATGGCTTCGATGAGGTCATGTTCTGTTCCTGGAGCCTGTTTCACGAAATTTTAACAAAGATAAAATACAAATTTTAGTAATCTGATTGGATAATATTAGATTGATTTTAGTGCTTAGCTAATCAAAATTGAAGTATCTACTAAAATCTGGATTTTATCTTTTGTTAAGATTTCGAGAAACGGGGCCCTGTTCCAAATAGTACTATTGTACTTATGTGGTTTTTTTTCTGGACAATCCAACAAGCAATAGCTAGCCCTGTAAAATAAACATGACTAACATAAACATTAACAAGAACTCTCGTAAATGTCAAAATGGCTGACTATTTATCCACCATTAACTAATGATGACGTTTAATGTGAATGTTCTAATTGTTGACAGACTAATGAGTATGACTAGTGTAATGACTAGTATACCCTTAAACATTAACATCCGAGTAAATCATTTATTTAGTAATACTAAACACTCCCTACCTTTAAAAGAAATAATGGCTTATTTTCTTAGTCTTTGAACTTTTCAATGACTTTCTCTCGAGTGCTAAATAAATGTTTTGCTCGTCTATCCAATTTCACCTGGAATTAAAGATCGTAATTAAAAAGTATGTATATATGTGGCAAATGTTTATAGAATTATATCGGCTTTGATTTGCGTCCATTCTGATAAAATCTAACTTTTCATAATACATCAGCGTCATTCGATTGGCCGTTTTGTTATGCCGAGAAAGCTGGCTTTTCTGGTGGTATGAAATGTGACAAAGGATATGAAATACGATAGGATGGGATTCGCCCAGTTTCAACTGTCAAGGGTTCTTTTACGTACACCCCGAAGGACTAGACAGGCTCTCATTGTCAGTCCCGGTTCTTCTCCACATCAGGATTCGAAACCAAAACCTTCTAGTCCAGTTCGTTAACCGTGCGTCTACCATGCCCCCTTAGTTCGGTGGCATAGCGATTTTCCGACGTGGTTTTACTCTTGTCAGTGGTGCAGGAAGAAGGGCCTGACAAGGACAGTTGTCTAGTCGTTCGGATGGCACAAAAAACCGAGGTCCCGTGCGTACACGTAAAATGCCATAGTGACGCTGCCCAGGCAAAAGTTCCCTCATAGCACACTGTATCCCAGTCGGAGCAGAAAAGTAGGATGTTTAACCCCATTTCATTTCATTTCAGTTCGGTGGAATCTTATATAAACTTGCATCTGTTTTCATTTCTATAATCCGTTTATCAATAGTTTAGTTATATTCATCAGAAGAGATAAACGGGGGAAAGATGTTACCGTTGAGTTGAAATTCAGATAAGCAATGAAAAATATATCAAGTTTACAGATAATTAGGTTGCCAGGGAATCCTGTGGTTACCGCGATAAGAAGCGAAAGTTTAACACCCAGAATCATATCAGTGTTTTTAACAATTATTTTACTTGTGCTTCTGTTTTCATCAAGTTAAATTTTTACATGTAGTCATAGCGTAGGTTTGTAAGAAACCGCAGTATCTGGAGAAAACCATTGACTTAGGCAGGTTAATGGGTACTACATAAGAAAATATTCGTCTTTTCAACTATAATGTTTAGCCCTAACCAGTTAGCCCCTATTATCACCAGCTACTGCATATTGAACCGATAACCAGTTAGCCCCTATTATCACTAGTTACCGCCTATTTAACCCTCTGCAGTTAGTCTGTCTTACCTATTGAAGGTGGTCTCGGAGCTAAAGGCCACCAGCCCAGTGTTTAAACACAGAATTGTCAGGCTTTTAGAAAATCAAATAAAGTTAACGAAATTTTTCCAAACAATAATACCAAGAAAGAATAGGCTACAGCAAGAGTTAGGGATTAGCCCACTAGATTCTATTAATACCTTTCAGGTAGATTTATACATGGCTGTATGATAAGAAATGAAGTATTTATGTCAGGTGAAATCACCTCTGTTTATTATAACCCGTTTCATTTCACTATCTGATACAAAGTGTTTATTACATGTAAATAAGCCGTTTCCTTTCACTATCTCATACTATATATGCAGTATATTAGTCAGATTAACTATCTTTGCTAGACATCTTAGATATATAGTGGTAATATTGACTAAGATAATGGTTTAAGGCGATACCAGTTTACTGTAACGAATAATAAAAGCCTCTTGTTAACCAACATGCACAAAACAACAAGGGGGGGGGGCGAATGGTTAGCACGTGTAGCTGTATAATAAGGTCTGTCATTGAGTTAAGTGGCGTGGTTTCGATTCCCCGGTTGAACGTGATAAGGAGTAGGGTCGCCTGTCCAACCTCGTGGGTTTTCTCCGGGTCCTCCGGTAAAGACCCCTACGCGCAAGCGAATTATTGAAATAAAATTGAACCATATGTTAGTCCCGAGATGACCTAGTTTGTGTCGAGTGGACGTTAAACCCCCTCTCTAGCTCTCTCTCTCTCTATCAAAACAACAGCATTTTCCTTTTCTCATAAGGTACATACTCCCGCCTTCACGTTGCATCTTTTACTAAAGCCCCCAGCCCGCAGTCAAACAATACAGTTATTTCGGTATAACCCACACTAAAACAAAGAGTTCAGAAGGTTTGTAATTTGATATGACTGTGCACAACTGAACTTTTCTTTGATCGAAAGTAACCATCTATTCACATAAAACTCGAACGCCTGTTACTGCAAATGATACCTTTTGGTAAACGTTTGACCCTACATTAAAGGTATACTTTTTCCAGGATTTGCTACCAAAAACAAACCATCAAAACCTCCCAAAGATTTTCTCATATTTACTATTTAATTAAGTATGCATTATGTCACAGTCTTTCTAAAACGCCGAATTATGAAGATAAGGTCTACCTTAATCCCCAGGTATAATTTTGAAGACTTAAAGCTGATTAGTTTCTTATTACATCTTGCCCATCTTAAGCAATATGCACAATTCTAATGTCTCGCTTTACAATATTTCAGGGGATGGGATGAATTGCCGCCACATCAACGAATTCGACCAGAAGCTGAACAAATAATTTCCAAATACTCTAAATCAGATATGACTGACATCATGAAGGGCGCCAAGTCTCCAGATCATCTGAGCCCCAAAACAAAGATACTAAAACATATGACAGAATCAGAAGTGCCGTAAGTTATTTTATTATTTTAGCAAGTGTTTTTTTATGCTTTAATTAATCATGTCATTTGGCATTTGCAATGCCCCTGCTTTATTCCACCAGCTACCTATGACAAGAAATGTGGTACATGGCTAAATGCACATTTTCTTTAAAAAAGTAGGACGAACCTCCGATATTGTACTTGTAGTACATAATTTAGTATTGATAAGTGTTTGTTTGGTATTAAACAATAAATCTAGAAAAAAAATTATATTTTGATTGATAATCTCATACGGGTTCATCATTGCTCTGTATATTTCCAAAAGACTGTCATACGAATTGTTTTACTTTCTTAGTCAATAACATATGGCACCCAAATAACGTCGCTGTCGTATTAATAATCCAGCCTTTAAATCACACCGTATAGTTTGTCGAATGGTTGTTCTTTCTGGTTAATTGTATAATTTCTTTCTCTTGTAGTCGACCAAGAACGTCTCCTGCAAGAACAAGGCCGGAAGCAATGCAGTACTATCAACGGAACAACGATTCCGAGATGGCGGCCATCATGGGAGGAGGTAAACCCATCACTAACGGTGTCCACAACAACAAAAACCACAGTCGAATGTTGAACAAGTCAGAAGATTGGTGAATTAATCGTATCCCGATTTCTTGATTAGTTTCATAACCAACGAATTAACGAAACTGACCAAGAATTATTAAATTTAAGAAGGCTCATGGAGTAATCTCTTAATTGTGTATAGAAAGACCCAAAGCTGAATGAATTATTTCTTGTGTATATGTCAGTGGGCAACAATCAAAATAATCATCAATGCATTTAATTGTCATGATATGGCAACCGAGGTTGTTTCCCCAAAAAATTATTTCATTAAAAAAAAAAAACAACATTATATAGGATTGGCCTTATATAATCAACGGATTTAGTGCTAAGATACATAGCTCTATGATTTGAATATATGTGCACACCCAATCAATTATTAGTTATTTCCAATTTAAAATATTTTGTCCATGTTATGGTAATAAAAATCTGATCCAATCCAGTAAGCATCCACTCTGAAGTATCAACTCCAATGATCTCTAACATTGCAAGTATACATTGATCACCTTCTTAAGAAGAAAACAAAACAGATTTCATTTTATTAAAATCAAAACAGTTCTTATATAATACTGACAAAAGTAAAACCAAGTTAAGTACATCTATAATGATACAAGTGCTTTTTTGGCAGTCCAAGTGTACCATATTTGATTCTTTGTTTTCCAGCTATATAAGTTCTTGCCATGTATAAAGTCATATTTGTTTAAAATATTTTGAAGGGTTTTATATTTGTAATTTTATTTATTTTATACACTTTCTTTGGTTGTACATTTCAAATGTTGTGAAGGGAATTACTAAGTGCTTTTTAATACATGATTATATCTTACTCACTATTTTACCAAATGATTCAACATTAAAATTTTAGAATATGTGTCTCACTGGGGAAGTATTTTTTATTGGGTTTTATCATATTTAAATCATTTTTTGGTTCAAAAATAACCCCCATTATTCAGTGTCTTATAACTCTTTGTTTTTTATTGATCTTTAATTTTCATTATAAAATTTAAGTAAAATCCATGCAATTTTTTCTTTAAAATAAAATTCATGCAATTTTATCTTTGAAATAAAAATCATGCAGTTGTCTTAATAATAGTCATAGGACACATTTACCATATCTAATATCCGTTTTTTTGTCCATAAAACCCACTTCTTCTTCATTTAACTTCCACTTCGACCTCGGGTGATATCGCAGACAATAACAATATCCAGTATCTTATAACCTTTAAAAGTTCAATAGCATGGGTAGTTTTTAATTTAAAATCAGATTTCAATATATAATTTAAAAGTTCAATAGCTATCAGTATTTTTTAAATTTAAAATCAGATTTCAATATATAATTTTGTGGATGGTTCCAGTCCTATATGTCAGCATGTCACTTGTGGTTTTCTATTTTTAGTTAAGTATCATCAGTCTATTTAATTCAGTCTATTTTAAGTTCCCAAGAGCTTAGACTAATATTTACACCGGAGTGCAGACAAAACATACAAATCATTGTTTTTCTTTCTAAAATAGTGAACTGCATGATCTTGAAATCGATCTAATGGTGTTGTTTTAGAATGCTGCAATGAATGATTTCTAGATTTTGTTTTTGTTTTTGTAACATTTTAGTTTACGGTTATCACCTGTTAGGGAGGTTTAAGAATACTGCAATGTAAAATTATAGATTTAATTTTTTTTGTTATCCTGTAAAGTTTTTTTGTTATAATGGCCTTAGAGAGAGAGGCAAATGGGGCTTAACGTCCCCTCGATACAAACCAGGTCATTTTGGGACTAACACATGGTTAAATTTTATTTCAATATTTTGCTTGTGCGTAGGGGTCTTTAGCAGTGGGAGGAAGCCAGAGGACCCGGAGAAAACCTATGGGGTTGGACAGGCGACCCTACTCCATATATCACACCAGTTGACTCAATGACAGACCTAATGATACAACGCGCATGTGCTAACCATTCGACCACCAAACCAACTGAGAGGTTTAAGAATGTGGCAATAAAAAAATTATAGATTTAAATTTTTTTTGTTATTATTCTGTAGGTTTTTTTTATAATGACCTTAAGTCTCGACATTATTATCACTTGTTACTATGCAAACCCAAATATTATTTTAGTGCATGTTGTATACTTTTTATGCTGTTTTGTCTTATTTTAAACAAAGATGATATTCATGTAAACATCTATTCATATATATATGTAACTGTAAATAAATGTATATATCGCAAACAGAATTTTTGAGTTACTTTCTACTTTAATTTTTTTTTTGCAACAAGGTTTAACCTGAGAAAATTACTTAATAATTAGTGCCCATCTCAGGAAGTAGATGTCTTATATATTGTAGCCCTTGCAATGGGAGTCAAAAATTTACATTCAGAAATATAGCCAATTACTTCAATGTACTGGACCATTAAATTCTCTAAAAAATTCTCCAGAAGAGGGAGGGAGGGAGAGGGAGAGGGAGAGAGAGAGAAAGATAGAGATAGAGATGAGGTTTAATGTACACTGGACACATACTAGGTCATTTCGGGACTAACATATGGTTCAATTTTAATTCAATAATTTAAATGCGAGTTGGGGTCTTTAGCAGTGGGAGGAAACCGGAGAAAACCCACGAGGTTGCACAGGCCACCCTACTCCTTGTCATGTACAAGCAGGGAAACAAAACCAGGCCACTTGACTCAATGACAGACTTTATGATATAATGCGTGCGCCAACCATTCGGCAATCCAACCCCAGCAACCTAATGACAGACCTTACGATCTAATGTGCATACGGTTCTCCAGAAGACAATATATCAATAAAAGGATAGTGATACAATAAAAACAGACGATATAAAATATGTTTTGATACATTTATTATGTACAAAATTATAAACAACCGAGACACTGATGACAAACTACACCCTTTTTACATTATAAAATACATAGAACCTATACTTTCTTGTATAAATCAGAGGGGGGATTTTGAAATGGGGGGTACAATCCTGTTTAATGATTACTTTTACCTAAAATGAAATGGGGTTAATGCCCTACTTTTCTGGGTGTGCTATGTGGGAAATTTTGCCAGTACAGCGGCATTACAGCCTACTTTTATATCAAATTCCTACTGTTAAGTTTTCATTTACTTGCATGCTCATGTCCCATCCAAATGACTAAGACACCAATTCGCTTTACAGAAAGTTCATCACCAAACAAGAGAATGAAGACAAGCCTATACCATACAGTGTGCTATGAGGGAAATTTTGACTGGCAAGCAGTACTATTATTTCTGTTTTCCATTTTCAACTATCAGGGGATGATTAATGTGTTGCCACATGACAGGACCTTGTCTTTTTGTCCCATTCAAACAACTAGATGTTTAAGGTAGTGAAAGCACTCTGACAACCTGGGGTGACATGCAGTCAAATTTGGTCATTTTGTGTGAAATTATGTTTTTAATGAGAACATGATTGAATAACAGGAGCATGCATAACTTATGGTTACCTAAAATAGTTGATGAACTTGAAAATACATTATGGGAGATAAGATAAAGAGCTGGCAGTTCTCACTATAATAGTTAAAAACTAGATAATGTAAAGGGAATTTGCTGAAAATTTCAGTCAAATGATCCACTCTAAACTGAGAATTTAACGATTGAATTTACATATTGAAACAATAGTTTAAGCAATATCTAAAAAAAATAATTTGAATACCAACAGAATCACATGCAAATTAACATCTCCTTTGCCCTAATGCTGCCTGCAAGGTACACAGTTTCATTTTTCATCATTTACAACCACCAGCCATTTTTTGTTGCATTCAATTATTTTCATTGTGAGATAGCCGACAATATTTATCTAACTGTTTAGAAATAAAAAGTCACAAGTTGTTGAGGACTGCGACTTTTCTTTTTAGGCTTCTTTAAACATACATTATGCAAGAGGTAAAACAGTCTATTGCAGGTCTTTCTTTAGGCTTGAAATGTTATATAAACTATTAATTAGACATTTATTAATAAAACAAGACCACAATCAACTCTTGATGGCATCGGATACTCGCCATTTAAAACTTTAATTTAAAAATGGGAAAGCGAGGCCAAGTCTTGAATACACCAGTGCCCTGGTTACCACAACGCACACGTCTTGTCAAAACTACAAACAGTGATAACGTGGCTCAGAATGAAGCAATTTGAATGAAATTTTCAATATTTTAATTTTACATTATCATTTTTTGAACTATCATAGCAAGAATGATCAGCTCTTTATCTAAATCTTACATAATGTATCTTTAATTTTTGTATTTTGATTATTTCAAATTTCAGCATGTACTTGTACCTAGACAATTAGTCCATTGGACGAGTACACAAATATGACAAATTTCAGTTTGTACCAAATTACACTATTAGTCCATTTCTAATAGCTTATCTTTAATAAATACATTTTCTACTGCATCTTAATAAGATAACATGGTTTATATATACAATGATATGATATGACATTATGTACAACAATTTAATCTATGTTCTGGGGCCTGTTTCATGAAATTTTAACTAAGATAAAATCCAAATTTTAGTAATTTGATTTATAATATTAGATTGATTTTAGTGTTTAGCCAATCAACATTGAAGTATCTACTAAAATTTGGATTTTATCTTTGGTTAAGATTTCGAGAAATAGGGCCCTGATTTTACTTACAATACAAATGGTTCAAATTTCAACTGAGGAAAATCATATCACTCTTTCAGATCCCAATCTCACAACATGCAAATTCATTCATTTATTTATTTCGAAGTGCTCACACAGGCTGTGAAACAAGGAACCAAACAAGCGATATTTCAATAAATACTGGCTTGTACATATTCATTGATAAGTTATATGAATGCATAGACAGACTATGAGAATTTAAAGGAAATTATAATGCCCTTTATGATACAATAAATAGAATTTAGTGGGGGATTTTCTTTATATAAATTATTTAAAATTAATTCCCATATAGGAGAATGAAATTGAAACCACATATATTAGTAGGCCGTATAAAATAATATTCTAGTTCTCAGATAATCTTAGTGATTTCATAAAGGATGAATGACATGTTTTTTATTTAAAAAAAAGAAGAAATTATTCTAGTCTCATTTATTTCAGCAGTATATATTTTACCACTGGTTACAGGAAGTAAATCTATATAAATATTTAAATGAATGCACAGACTCTTTTATCAAATACACAACCGGCATAAATAAACAACCTGATGCGATAAATGTAGTTCTCTGGTTCACCATGGATTAAAATGTATTGAATATAAAAACCACAAGTGAGATACTCAGATAGGCCATGGTTTATTCAACCTCTCTAAGTACAAAAGATTCCACATATGGGAGATAACTCCCGTGGACTCTAATAATGAACAAAAGGGAGAGAACTCTTCCATGTAAGGTGGCATTACTATATGACAGCAGTGCCTTGAAATCTGATGTTTATGAGAAGTCATTTCACCAAGTAATGATCCTTAGACAAAAAAACCCCAAAAACAATAAAAACCTCCCTCCCTCCCTCATCAGATTTTCGTAAAGATTGTCTGATGATAACCAGAATATTTTTTTTGTGTGGCCTAGATATTCTTTCAATGGCTTCACAAAAATGTTTTGAGTCACAATATTTTCCGATCTACTGATGAAAAAATATCTTATGTACAGTGAGTTGAAGTTTAGATAAACAAGAAGTCTACGGTAATGAGTTTAGGGTCAAGAATAAAATGTCAACATTCAACGGCCTATTTGCTTACACTCCACCCCGAGATTGGACAGAATTCTGATCCGGAATTGGTTTCATTTAATATTGTCCGTAATTACTATATTGAGGTCCCTGGGGAGCTTGGGTAAATGTTACATCAGATTCAAAGCTTATTTGCTTACACTGCACCATGAGATTGGACAGAATTCTGATTGGAATTGGTTTCATTTAATATTGTCTATAACTATTATACTGAGGTCCCGTTTGGTATTAGTTGCATCTGATTCAAAGCCTATTCAGATCAGAATTGGTTTCATTTAATATTGTCCGTAAATATTATACTGAGGTCCCTGGGGTACACGAAGCATCTGATTAAACTGTGAAACACCCATTGATGCTGACTGAAGTCTGATCAGAATTGGTTTTATTTATTATTGTCTATTGCTGCATTTGATTCAAAGCCTATTCTATCAGAATTGGTTTCATTTAATATTGTCCATAATTATTATACTGAGGTCCCTGGGGTACATGATGCATCTGGTTAAACTGTGGAACACCCAAAGATCCTGATGGAATTTGTTGTTGCTGTTGTTGCTGCTGCTGCTGCTGTTGCTGTTGTTGAATTAAACGTTGATGCCGCATCTGTTGTAATCTTTGTTGTTGGGGCATTGTTTGCATGTTGTAAGATTGGTGTGGTGGTGCTCCAGGTCCCATCTGATTATATCCCGACATACCCACGTTATTTGGGTTGGGTATACCACCTGCTGCTGCCATAGAAGGTTGTAACCTGAAATATTATAAATGTATGTTTTAAGACAGGAAAACACTATACTTTGGTCATTTTGCGGGAAACCTATGGTTAATTTTGCCTGAACAGTGGTGTTGCTGCCTTCTCTTTATAGAATTTCAATGAGTTGAAACAGGTCCTTGTAAACATTGGCCTACATGTAATAGAACCTTTAAAGAATCATTATTTCAGAGGTAAATCTGGCTATTGCAGGTCTTTATTTTGGCTTCAAATATTATACTAGCACTAAACCATTTGGACATCCGACACCTTATCAGTAACAGAGAGAGAGATAAATGGGGCTTAAAGTCCACTCGACACAAACTAGGTCACTTCGGGACTAACACATAGTTCAATTTATTTTAATAAGGGTCTTTAGCATTGGGAGGAAACCGTAGGACCCAGATAAAACCCACAAGGTTGGACAGGCGACCCTTCTCCTTGACACGTACAACCCGGGAATCGAAACCACTCCAGCTGACTCAATGACGGACCTTATGATACAGTGTGCACGTGCTAACCATTCGGCCATCCAACCCCTTACTTATCAGTAACAAGAATGAGAGTAATTTATAAGTTCCCTTACCTCTGTTGAGGATTATAAGCTGGTTGAGACTGGGGCATTGACTGTGGTGATATATAATTTGCTCCTTGCTGCATCCCACCCATCATTGCCGAGCTCTGATTGCCTTGATATGATTGGTTATAGCCTTGTGACATCATGCTGCTATTCATTGGTTCCATGATTCTACCTGGCATTTGTTGCATGGAATTATACCCCTGGTAATTATTGGACATACCTGAAACACGAAACATAAATTCTTTATAAATTAAACCCAATATTCACTTGTGTATCACTGTAGCCCAGGTATCATTTAATCCTGCACTAATTTCTTTCACATTTAAAAATTCGTAAAAATCGTTTAAAATCGCCAAAAATCATCTAATTTGTACTTGTGTCCAGTTTAAAGCTGACCATTCAATTCTGATAATGAGTGTTCAATTTACAAATGTTTAATTTCTTGATCACTGTTAAAAAATAAACAACCCAATTTATTATTGATGTATAATGATTAATTTTTTAACTTAATTTTTGAACAGTGATCAGGAAATTAAATATGGTTAAGTCATGAAAATTCTCTATATTTTACTCAGAAGAGATTTGATTGATTGGATGATGATAATGGACACACTCCCTTAAAGACTCAAGTTTTCAGTCACAATACAGCAATGGCTAGAGAGGGATTTCTCGGGCCATTGCTGCAAGAATGTTTTAAACTGTGAGACACAGAAATTAGAAGAAGTAAGAAAACAAAATGAACCATGTCTGGTTCATGATCTGCTTTGTGATTTCAAACTTGATGTGGCAGAAATAAATGAAATGGGGTTTAACGTCCTACTGTTCTGCACCTGACTGGGCTAATGAAGATTGACATACTCCATACAGTGTGCTATGAGGAGAATTGTGCCTTGGCCTACCCTTGTATCAAATTCCAACTGTCAACGGTCCCGAGTGACAAGGGAGGGAAGCATGTCAGAAAACTATCTTGTCATCAGAGTGTTTTACTCACCGAGCCACCGTGGCTGAAAGAGGATTTACTTGATCTAGAAAAAGAATCGAGACCGCCACACCTGACAAAGACAGTTATGTGAAACAATATTTTACGTACCTTGTTGCATTGGATGCATGGAACCATGAGGTGCTGGACCCGACGACATGGGATTACCATACATTCCGGAATTCTTCTGTTGTTTCTGGAATATGTGGTTCCTAAAAACAAAACAATGACAATATATGACTTTGCAGCGTAAACAAGTAAACTGATGGGAAACTGCCTAAATCCCCAAATAAATGAAATGAATTGAAATGGGGTTTAACGTCCTACTTTTCTGCTCCGACTTGGCTAATGAAGAAGGGAAATCCCCAAATAAACAAATGACCCTCATTAATTATTTCCATTCAAATTACTTATCAGCAGAATATCTCCATTATCTAACTTTGTCAAGGTTTTGATGTCATGAAACCATAAATCAATTTCCACCACTTTCGCTTAATTAGAAGCAGTGCCATTGTGTTCCAAATGGTGTGACAAATAGATAGAAGGACGGAGTCACCCATTTAAACAGACCCTAGCTTTCTCTAAAAGGGAAAGAGAGAGATATATAGTTTAAAGTCCACTTGACACAAACTAGGTCATTTTGAGACTAACACACAGTTTAATTTTATTTCATTAATTCGCTTGCGCGTAGGGGTCTTTAGCAGTGGGAGGAAATCAGATCCCCAGAGAAAACCCACGAGGTTGGACAGGCGACCCATCTCCTTGTCACGTATAACCGGGGAATCGAAACCATGCCAGTTGACTCAATGACAGATCTTATGATACAGTGCACACACGCTATCCATTCGCCCATCCAACCTCCTAATGAATAAACAACATGAAAAGATAAATGTAGTGCCTTGAAATTTGATGTGTATGAAAAGTCATTTCAGACCCTGTGATTTAATGGGCAAGCTTTAAACCATTCGACCACCCAACCCACCTTCTCTAAAAAGAAGGGGAACAATAAAATCTTCAATGAAATGAGTTGACTGCAAAACAGTGCAATAATATTTAACCATACATCATGCAAGAGCTAAATCTGCCTATTGCTGGTCTTTCTTTAGGCCTGAAATATTATCTAAATTATTAATTAGACATTAATTAACTTATCCAGACCATAATAGACTCTCGATGGCATCGATAGCCTGCGATGTTTAAGGGATTAGGTTCTGATTTGCTGATCAACTTCCATTCATAATTTAATTATTAAATGGATAATCGAGACTATGTTTTATATCCTACCGACTTTAGTAATGATGATCGAGGCTAGGCCGAAAATTTCGGATCATAGTGGTTCAATTTGACTGAAATTTTCAGCAAATTCCCTTTACAGTATCTAGTTTTTAACTATTATAGCGAGAACTGCCAGCTCTTTATCTTATCTCCCATAATGATATTTAATGGAGAAACATACCTGATCATTTGATGTTGTTGTTGTTTATGCATCATTTGTATATTTGGCATCTGAGATTGAGCACCCGGTGCCATATAGCCAGGATTTGAATTCTGAGGTTTACGATTATGTAAGAAATTGTTTAACATCATCTTTGGATTAGCTGATGAGTTACTATTATTATACATGCCCATTCTTGGTCTAGGTGCTGAAATATTCAAACATTGACATAATAAATGAAATGAAATGAGATTTAAGGTCTATTGTTCTGCTCCGACTGAGTCATCCAGTGTGCTATGACTACGAGGAAAATTTTGCCTGGACAGTGGCACTATGGCCTACTCGTAAATGGAATTTTAACTGCCAAGAAATCTTTAACATGCACGCCAATGTGTACACGCTTTTCATCACATCTGAAAAGATGGCCGTATGATATCCAATATATAAGACAAAATAAACATTTTACCATTGGTACACGAATTGTGTACCATAATGCGTTTCAGCACCATTTGTAACAAGGGACTCGAAGAATGAGGCTAGACATATTCCACCAAATTAAACGGCGTCGCCATATTCTTATCTGGAGAGCATGCGCAATAAATACTATTGGTGTTGACTGGAATAACCAGACCATAAAGATTGCCATTTGATTGAGACTTCTAGCATATTTTGCCGAACATAACTGATTAGAAATTACAGTAAATACAGAAACGATTGGATGTAAATCAGTTTATATACATTCATAAAACATTATTATATGCTTTGCGACATTTTTCTAGGTCCCAATTATAAGCGATTTAGCTCCTTTAATTTGTCAATAAGATAATAAAGATGGCTTTAAGAAACTAAGTACAAGCCGTGAAATATTAGTACTTACTTTGTGTCATTGGTTGTGGAGTATAACCATATTGAGGTGGTTGAGGTTGGGGTGTATTATACCAACTATTAGGACCAGGTGGTTGATACATATTCTGTTCCTGACCATAATATGGACGTACTGGTGGCTGAAATATAACAAAACCACAACACATGTATTTATAGTTTAATCTTGTGTATCTAGCACTAATTTCTTCCACATTCGTTTAATATTAAATCTTTGTTTAAAAATTTGTAAAAATCATTCAAAATCACCAAAAATCATTAAATTTGTACTTGTGTCCAGTTTTAAGCTGAATGATTGATTTTGATAATGAGTATCCAATTTACAAGCATTCAATTTCCTGACCACTGTTCAAAAATTAATCATTATACATCAATAATCAATTGGGTCGTTTATTTTTTAACCATTACTCTAAAATATTTCAATTATAGAGAAAGAGAGAGATGGGGTTTAACGTCCATTCAACACAAACTAGGTCATTCCTGGATTAAAATATGATTCAATTTCAATAATTTGCTTGCACGTAGGGGTGTTTAGTAGTGGGAGGAAACTGGAGGATCCCGAGAAAACCCACAAGGTTGAACATGCGGCCCTACTCCTTGTCACGTACAACCGGGGAATCGAAACCACTCCAGTTAACTCAATGACAGACCTTATGATACAACACACACACGTTAACCATTCGGCGACACAACCCCCTATTTCAATTATATGTTGAATTGAGCTAGCAGTAAGTTAACGTACCTGCATGTAAGGAGCTGTAGAAGCAGCTTTAGATTGACGTCTACGTCGAGTTTGTTTAGCTTTTTTACCGCCATCACTATTATTTATATCCAGTGTATCTTTAGGTTTATCTTCCTGTACAAATATATACAAATATATACAAATACAATTATCATAATTCATACAAAAATAAATACCTCTCTCAACAGTACATACGAATGTCAGTAAATAAAGGTTGCCAGGCAGTTCTTCAATTCAATGGGAGAGACAACCAATATAAATTTCAGAAAGATAGGTTAACATTTACAAGCTACAAAGTTCTCTAACAAGATTTCGTCACGAAGGGGCAAAACTCATTGAAATATTGAGATACTGAAATGTCGTTTCAATGAGTTTAAATAAATTAGGCAAGTACATGTTTATGCGAGTAACAATTTAGTATATTAATATATATTAATTAAAGATACATTATGGGAGATTTGATAACGAGTTGGCAGTTCTCACTATAATAGTTAAAAACTAGATAATGTAAAGGCAATTTGCTGAAAATTTCAGTTAAATTGATCCACTATGAACCGAGAATTCAGCGATTTAAATTTCAGCCTAGCCTCGATCATCATTACTAAAGTCTGTACGATAAAATATAAAAAACAGTCTCGATCATCCATTTCATGATTAAATTATGAATGGTAGTCGAGTCGCAAATGGGATCATAATCCAGGAAATATCGCAGGCTATCGATGCCATTGAGAGTTAATTATGATCTGGATAAGTTAATTAATTTCTAATTAATAATTTAGATAACAATTCAGGCCTAAAGAAAGACCTGCAATTAGCAGATTTAGCTCTTGCATAATGTATGTTTAAGTAGTGTAACTTGAATTAATTAGGTAACTGTACATGTATCTTGACTTACAATTTTTTCTGGTGGTGGTTCTAGTTCTTCTGGTGGTAATGGTGGTGCCTCTAGATAATAACTGTCTGATTGTCGTAAAGAATGGGTGTGATATAAAGATATCCTGTAAATAAAAACATCTACTTTCAATTTTATTATTCAACAACTTTCAATAGGGCTAGTAAATAAGTCAGATGATATAATTATCATTATCTAGCGTACATTAAATGCCAATTAAATACTTCAATTAGAAATGAAATGGGGTTTAACGTCCTAGAACTGTTCAGCTCTGATTAGGCTAATGAAGATGGGCATACGCCATACAGTGTGCTAGGAGTAAAATAACCTGGGCAGTGGCACTATGGGCTACTATTACATCGAATTCCAACTGCCAATGGATCTTTTATGTACACGCCAATATATACAAGGGACCTTGGGTTTTCATCTCATCCGAATGACTAGACAGCTGTCCTTGTCAGGCCCGCCGTTCTGCATCACTGACAAGGGGAAACCACGCCGAAAAATCCTGATGAACTTTCTCAGCCAATGCAGGGATCAAACATGCGACCTCAAGGCTAGCGAGTCAGTGTCTTACCCACTTAGCCACCATGGCTCCAGTTCAATTACAAAATACATAATAATCTAAAATACAACACAACACAACACGTACCTGAACTGGTCCTCATATCTGAGAGCTTTTTTCTCTGTTTTAATAGCACTGAAGTTAGCCCAGGCAATAGATGCTGAATTTCTATAACCTTCTATTACTTCCCACGGACTTATCTTAATCTTCTGAGCTACTTGTAGACCCTGAAATTAATTTATATTTCAATACAAATAAAATAAATTGAGTTGTAAAAGAGTTACCTCCCTTGTTTTTAAAATACTTTTATTTCATGTCCTACACCTGGTTGTCCAGAGAGAGAGAGAGAGAGAAAGAGAGAGTTAAATGTCCACTAGACACAAACTAGATCATTTTGGGACTAACACACGGTTGACTTTTATTTCAATAATTCACTTGCGCATATAGGTTTTTAGCAGTGGGAGAAAACCTGAGGCCCTGCAAAAAAACCCACGAGGTTGGACATCTTTATTTAAACATCTTCGTAGCCCAAATGAGTAGGACGGAGGTAATAAAATAAATTATAAGAACCTGTTTTTTGCCGATTGAATCGAATCCAGCGATTTTATTACCCTTTGTATCGACTAGTGTACCATACGTTTCACAAGTTATAACCTCGTATGACTTCTTTGGTATAGGTAATAACCGCCGTAATTTATCTATACAATTAGACTGTTTATCTCCTAACTCTTTCTGTAATTATAAAAAATAATACATTATTATTACAGATACTAAATAGATAGACAGAGAAAGAAAAGGGGGTTTGATGTCAAACGGATACAAAATAGGTCATTTCGAGACTAACATATAGTTCAATTTTATTTCAATAATTTGATTGCTTGTAGGGGTCTTTTAGCTGTGAGAGAAAACTGAAAGACTCAAAGAAAACCAACAAGGTTGGACAGGTGACCCTACACCTTGTCACGTACAACCAGGGAATCGAAACATTAATTTCATTTATAACATTATACTACAAATATATTTCAAATTCTAAGTTTGATTGAAAGAAAATTTGTTCAAACTTATACATCCATATAGATAAAGCCAATGTTGAGTTATAAGCCATAAAACTAAAATTAGTAAACAAATTGACTTTCGCCTAGTGCTTATCCCATTAGTAATTACAATAAAAATGTGTTAAATCACCAAAATGTGGCAAGAACACAGCTCTTGAGTTTATTTAAAACCCCATTAAATAGTCTCTGGATTTAAATCAATGTGGTATAACTTACCTTTAATTTTTTTATCAGATTTGTGTATGCCTTTTTATTTTCTTCTCCTTTTTCTCCTTCCTCTGACAGCAGAGTTCCGTGAATGAGAACAGATAACATATCCAGTACAGTTGTAAATAATTCACTGTAATAATAATTATAATAACATTATATTTTAATAAATACAAATGAAATGAAATGGGGTTGAACGTCCTACTGTTCTGCTCCGAATTGGGCTAATGAAGAGGGGCAAATGCCATACAGTGTGCTATGAGGGAAATTTTGCCCGGACAGCGGCACTACGACCTACTCTTATATCGAATTCCAACTGTCAAGGGATCTTTTGCGTGCATGCCAATGTGTACACGGGACCTCGTTTTTTTTTTGTCCCATCCGAACGACTAGACAGCTGTCCGTGTCGGGCCCTCCGTCCTGCAAAAACACTGACAAGGGGGAACCACACCAGATAAGGGGGATGAACTTTCTCGGCCAATGCAAGGATCGAACACCCGACCTCTGGGCTAGCGAGCCTTACCCACTTAGCCACCGTGACCCCACCTTTGATAAAAACATAAACAAAATTAAACAAGTAAGAGAAACTGACAATTATTCTTTATCTAATTTTTTTTTTTTCAATTAAAAATATATCAAAATATTATTCACTATTCATTCCCAGCATTAAAACACCCATGCCCACACTACCAGAGTTACTTGGGACTTTCTACAGCAGAACGGTGTCAACATTATGCACAGGCCAGCCCTCAGTCCGGACTTAAACCCGAATGAACATCTTTAGGATGAAATTCAGAGGAGACTTAATAACATCGTACCGATGGATTGCGCCAGGCTTTTCTGAGAGTGTGGTTCCAGGTGCCAATGACGTTCATCAATCGTCTGGTTCACTCCATGTACAGACGTTGCGCTGCTGTTATAGACACTCGCGGTGGACACACCAGATACTGATGTATAGACTGTGTACAGACTCTAAACTTTCTCGTAATGTCTTGGAATTGTGATGAATTAATCACTGATGTCTCAACATAATGTTCACAAAAAATTGCTTTGATCCATTTAGTAAGTCGTTTTCTAGAATGATTTGATTAAAGTGCCTCTCTGATTTTGAAATCGTACTGATGGTTTTTTTGCTCTTTAGTATAGTACAGTGGGCAACATGTTTTGTTATAACATGGCAGACAAAATGACTTCTCACAACTCTATAGTGGAGTTCCTCTGTACAACAAATGAAGATTACCTATAACAGAGTGGTAGGTGGGAAGGGGATGGGATGCTCTAGTGGTCAAAAGTGTCATGCTCTAGCAGGCCTGTCATTTTTTCATGATGCTCTGTGATATTTTATTGCTTTTTCATTTTATGTTGTACCGCCTATTGAGATCTATGTTGATGTAATTGGCGTTAAATAATAAATATTATTATTATTATTATTATCCCTGGATTAAGGTCGTGGTTTTGATCCCTGGTGTTAGCATACATGTATGTGGCTGCTCAAGGTATTAGACAGAAAGATCGTGTGTGTGGATATATTATAAACTTACTTGTTAGTAGTTTGTGTATCTACTACACCATGACTTATTAACATAAGTAATAATATTGCCCATTCACTTGTAGTTGTATTATTTCTCTGTATAGTATCTATCATACCTCCAACCTACAATAGAACATAACACTACACATTACATAGTATCTATCATACCTCCAACCTACAATATAACATAACACATTGTATAGTATCTATCTATATAAACAAGCCAACAGTGAGGCTGATGTCCCCCGCCGAAATCCCCAAATAAATAGATGAAACATATTAATTAATCGCACATCTATTTTTTTCAAAAATATCGAGCAATCAAACTGATTATCAACTATACACTAAGTTTCATCACTCTCTATCAGATAGAATCAAAGTTATCTTGTCCCAAAGCATCGACCAAGGAAATTGCTTATCTCTGCTTAGCTTTAGCTCGATATGTTAATCATTGAACTAAGTCAAGACGAACATCTACATCAAGTTTAAACATTCTACCTCAATTAGAAGCAGAGTTGTTATGTTCCAAAGTCTTGACCAATCAAAATGCTTATTGCTCCTTAGCCTAAGCAGACAATTCTCATCATCGAACTTAGTCAAGGTATTGATGTAATGAAACTATACACCAAGTTTCATCACTCTCACTTAATTAGAACTAAAGTTATCGTGTCCCAAAGCATCAACCAATCAAATTGCTTATTTCTGCTTACCTTTTAAGCAGAAAATGCTCATATTCGAACTCCATCACGGCATTGCCCTAATAAACACCTACACCAAGTTTGAACATTTTAGCTCAATTAGAAGGAGAGTTATTGTGTTCCAAAGTCTCGGCCAATCAAATTGCTTATCGCTCTGCTTACCCTGAGCAGAAAATGCTCATTATCGAACTTAGTCAAGGAATTGATGTAATGAAACTATACACCAAGTTTCATCACTCTCGCTTAATAAGAACTAAAGTTATCGTGTCCCAAAGCATTAACCAATCAAATTGCTTATCTCTGCTTACCCTAAGCAGAAAATGCTCATCTTCGAACTCCATCAAGGCATTAACCTAATAAACACCTACATCAAGTTTGAACATTCTAGGTCAATTAGAAGGAGAGTTATTGTGTCCCAAAAAGTGTGACGGACAGACAGACAGACGGACAAACCCATTTTAATAGTCCCCTGCTTTCTTCGAAAGGCGGGGGACAATAAAATCACAGATATCTGGGTGTGTGTGTTCGCCCATTATGCTTCCTCACAGCGATCCACAGCCAACACATGTGTGGTATCAATTAATGGGCATAACACTGTGACTGTTTTAGTCCATCCAGATTGGGACCGGGCGAATCATGCTTCAATGCCACGCTCCACCCCCACATATGTTGTATCAAATTAACCAGCATGACCCTGTAAATGTTTTAGGTCATCAAATTTGGGCCCAGGTGAATTTGGGCAACGGCCGAATTAGGCCCCTGGCAAATTTGGGCATGGGCGAATTTGGGACCCGGTCGAAGCCGGGTATCCTTCTAGTAGTAGATAGAGCACCGTATCTCACAACCCTCACAGTTTCTATCTGGAATATCTATCGTGAATCACAACACGATTAAGTGTGGTTTAATGATCGAGAGCGAGACATTAAGTAATATATTGAACCAATACGACTTGAACCAGCTCGAGATCATTAAACAACTTAAAATACAGACACTCACACGTGCTTTGCAATGAAATACGTCACATGGGTCCAAAATTCTAACTAGTATAAATAATACACGCTTGGCACATTGCCCTACCATTATTTAAAATAATGATACGCCAACATCAAAGGATGACATCACATACTAAACCTTAGTTAAGAGTAATGATCACTTGTATGATTTAATGAAAATTTTTTTGGTAAGTAAAAGGCCTAGATTCATAAGTCAACACTATCAGTTTATTAATTCCATGTTTGCCGTGCAAGTTTTACAAATTGTAGTTAGTATCAAATTTATTTATAAGTCTAAACGGAAAGTCATATCTAGTAAAGTCTGTACCTGGTTCAACGATTCATTAGTCTGTTGACTTGTTATCGTAAATTAGTATTAAAATAGTTAGTACATACCAGTGAAAGTCGTAACTGTAAATCCTTATGTAGATCTTGTCTAACTTTATATTCATCAGGACTTTTTTCCTGTAATAAAATATATAATATTAAAGGAAACGAAATACAATGGTAATTTTGTAATTAATATATGGTTATATTTATTTCTATGGTTATGAATGCAATGCATGTGCATGACGCTAATGTGTACACTGTAAGACCTGGGTTTTTCATCCTGTCCCCAAAACCTGGCACACTTTTCCTGTCAGCCTTTCAGACACTACCCCTAACAAGTGAAGTCTGGGCATTAACTTTCTTATTGGCCCACAACAGGATGTAAACCCAGAGCATTCTAGTTGAGAAAGTTGCCTTTCCACTCCAGTAACTGGGTTCATCAAATTATCCACCCCTGATTATTATCCTATTTTTATCGACCAATCCAAAAAATCGGTAAATACAAAGGAAGACAGTGAAGGGACGTAACGCTTATCTTGTTGCAAACTTTCTCATAATCACGCGAACAATGCCGCCATACTGTTGTGAACGTAAACAATGAGGCTAAGAGCTATGATCAAGTGAAGATAATATGAATATGTGAATACCCTATGGATGCACCCAGGGGTTAGTGGAGTAGAATAGAATGAGATCAACGGGGATACCGAGGATGAACTAAACTATTCCTTGTTATGGCACCGGATACATATCAAATAATATAGAATGTACCAAACTGATTAAAATACAGATCTATATTTCGTTTCGTTTTTTTATACTTTTTATGGCCTACACTACATGAAGATTTGACACGTTGTACTCGAAGGTCACGTCAGGGGTTGCACGAGCGGCTTTTGACCCTATGACGTCAGACATTGATTAATCAATAAGCGTTGATGTTTCTAGTGGTTTACCCACACGCCAGGAAGTCACTGTAACCGATCGTTTCATTGGCTAATCCCTCACATCAACCAAAACGCTGGTAATATAACAACTCTTTTAGATCCTAGTGTAGTTAAGACAAGTAAAACGAAATTTTGAACTATAAAAAACAAAACGAAATAGGATCAGATTGAAAATCTACTTACCAATATTTCCTTCATATTAAATATAAACTTTTCAAGTTGCGAATGAAGGGAGTTAAGCAAACCCTCCCGTTGTTCATCTTGACCTTTTAAACAGGTCAACACTAATGATAAGAATGATTGATGCCCTAATAACGATTTACTGAAATATAAATAGCAAACATATTCAATACATATTTTCAGAAATAAATGTCCATTTTAAAACATACCATTATAATTACAGAACACAATTTTTATGGGAAACAATCACTGGTTTTATTCTAAGAGCACGACGTTTCGACAAGTATCCTCTTATTGTTATCCTCTTATCGTTTCCCATAAAAATTGTGTTCTGTTATTGTGTACCCCAATCACTAAATGCCACTTAAAGATTATACCATTATAAAGCAACTTATAGAGAACATGCTATGGTCATTCTTTCAAGTTGACTTTACAAAAAACACGAAAGATATTTTCCCCCAAAACATAGCGATAATCAAGAAAATAATTCTGTATTATTGATTATTTCTTTAATACTAACCCAGTCTCAACCTATTGTCTTCACAAGAACACGAAAAGATATTTAATTCTAACCCAGTCTCAACTACTGCTCATTGTCTTCACAAGAACATCAAAGATATTCCCTCCCCCCCCCCCCAAACTAAGACATAGTGATAACAAAGAAATATTTCTATATTATTGATCAATTCTTTAATAATAACCCAGTCTCAACCTACTGCTCATTCAAAGCTGTAAACTATTTTGAGGTGGTATAGGAAGAAGTAATTTTAAGAAGTTTAAGAATGAGCAACAAAACCCAATTCTGTGTGTGAAATAGATTTATTTAATGTCCGCTTCCACCGAAGTGATATCGCAGACAAACCCAGTGGAACAAACATCACTTTTTCATGGAACCAGGGTAATCAATTAAAAAAGAAAATCACAAATATTTTCAAGACCCAAAAGCATTTGTCACAACTGAATAATCTAGTTATCAATGGTAAAATGCAACAATGATAAATAGGTAAAAACAAAAATACATACTTATGGAAAAACAGCTACTAGTTTTTTTGGAGGCAACATTTCGTTGAGAATACATTTTTTCGAATGTCGCCTAAAAATACACTAGTAGCTGTTTTTCCATAAGCATGTATTTTTGTTTTTACTCAATCCAGTTATTAAATGCTATTCAAAGATTATGATTGACAGGTAATATATATTTCATGAAGAATCCAGAAACTTACCTTTTTTGATTTTTTTCTCTGTCAATTTTACTTTTTGAGACTAGATTATTGCCACTTTCTAGAACCTGACCAGCAGATTTCAACACTCGACCTTGTACATTGGCTGATAATTTTGATATTAAAGGTGCTACCAACCATATACTATCATTAGAATCAGACCTATAAAAAAAAATATAATTATTACCTAGGGAGGTGAACTTTACACAGGCAGTGGAGTTAAAATAGCTAAGTCTCTAACTCAATATCATCCAAAGTCTTCGACATTCAAAACACGAATTATTTGTCAATTTAAATCAACATTGATGTTGTTATCTTATCGGAAAAAGATGGGCTTCTGATATCCAATATTTAAGACAAAATAAACATTTTACCAATGGTACACAAATTGTGTACCATAATGTGTTTCAGGCCCATTTTTAACAAGGGACTTGAAGAACGAGGCTAGACATATTTCACAACTCCTGTCAAACGGTGACGCCATTTTATCTGGAGAGCATGCGCAATAGATGGGAATAACCAGACGCTAGAAATTGCTATTCGATTCAGACTCATGCCGTATTTCGCTGGACATAACTGATTTGACAAATAATTGACAAATAATTCATATTTTCAATGTGTAAGACTTTGGATGATGTTGAGTTAGAGACTTAGCTGCTTTAAATTAACTAGCAAGTAAACTTACTTATTATTAACATCAGATAATGGTGTAGAACTACTGCTAGCTGATTTATTAACTTCTGTTTGTTGATGAAATAAGTCTATTGTTCCTTTAGCTAATATATCTAATAAACTATTCGTCTCCTATAATCAAAAAAAATTACACCAATATGTATTACTCATCCAATAATCTCGAGCTTGTTGATGATGTCAAACTCTGGGGTATCCAGTCATTTTCCACGTTGACTCCCAAATCTACATAGCAGTCTGATTTCTTAAATATTAGTGCCATTCGGACTAACTGCGGCTGCCACTACTTTTTGTAGTAATATTTCATAAACTCTAAAATAGGCCATCTTAATAGACACTAACCCATCGCAATAAAAAAATATATACTTACAGCAACCTATATAGATTGCTTAAACATTAACTGTAATTCTAACCCGCTAATTTTTTCATTTGGACCCCAACATCTACATAGCAGTTTGATTTCTTAAATAAAATATTAGTGCCATTCGGACTAACTGTGGCTGCCACTACTTTTTGTTTTAATATTTTATAAACTCTAACATGGGCCATCTCAATAAAAAAGAGGTATACTTACAGCAACCGATGTAGATTGTTTAAACATTAACTGTAATTCTAACCAGCTAACTCGTAATGACCATTTATCTAATGTCTGAAATATACAAATGAAATGAAATGGGGTTTAATTTCCAAAATGAAATGAAATGGGGTTTAATGTCCTACTGTTCAATTCCAACTGGGATAATGAAGACTGGCGTAAGCCATACAGTGTGCTATGTGGGTAATATTGGCCGGATAGCGGCACTACAGCCTACTCTTATATCGAATTCCAACTTTCAAGGGTTCTTCTATGTGCATGCCAATGAGTACACCGGGCCTCAGTTTTTCATCCCATCCAAATAACTATACATTGTCCCTTGCACTAATGACAAGAAGGAACCACACCATAAAATTTATGAGAAACTTTCTCGGTCAAAGCAGGGATCAAATACAGGACCTCCAGGTTAGCGAGCCAACGCTTTTTGTCACTCCTTAGATTACTTTATTTATCATGACTGGACCTTCTGAAAGTTTTTTTTCGGGAAACAGTTAAGTAGAAGTGGAAGTGGAAGTTAACCCCATTAAAGAACTATTTTTTTTATTTTTAAATTCAAGTATTAATGTTAACTAACCTGTAATATTCTAAGTATATTTTGTTTATTATCCGGTTCACTACCATCAATCTGATTGGGTACACCAGTAGGATAACAGATCATCTGTAATAACTGATGAGCTTGTTTACTAGATAACAGATGATCTAATAACATATCCTCATGAAATAAACTATCTGGTTCCTTTAAAAACTTCTCTCGTACCCATTCCTGACTACACATTTCACGTAATGAATATTTGGCGAATTCACTTAATCCAGCTCTCTCAACACCCGTCTTCTTACTGCCCATAGAAGATCTGAATTATTACATAATATACAAATATATATTTTCATTCATCGTTTATCTTCTTAGAAAAAGATACAATAACTTCATACCCATCTGAATGTGGTCTATAGAAAAATACACTACAACACAGGTATCATTTAGTTGTGTTGTTTTAGAAGGAGTTTCTGTATTTAATGTTTATTTTCAAACTATTATTGGAAAACTGTTTAAATTCGTTGAGAATCATAGAAAATCATTGGGTTTCTACTTTTATGTAGTTGTGGGTTTCTAACTGTTTAGAGTCTCAAAGATTAATCAATTACCCAATACTGCTCTAGAAACTAAACAGTTTTAAACCCAACATTCATTATCTAATCTAGACAGATAAAATTAAACTACACAAAAGTAGAAACCCAATAGTTTTCTACGATTCTCAACGGATACATGCACACACCCAAAGTCTATTATAACAAGATAATTTTTCTCCATATAATTTACTACATAGTGATCGACCACAACGACCAGTAAATAGAGAAAGAGAGATTTCAATAATTCGCTTGCGTGAAGGGGTCTTTAGCAGTGGGAGAAAACCAGAGAAAAAGATGAGGTTGGACAGGGGCCCTACTCCTTGCCACGAACAACTGGGGAATCGAAAACACACCAGCTGACTCAATGACAGACCATATGATACAGCGCGCACGTTCTAACAAATCGGCCATCCAACCTCCCGACCAGTAAATAAAAATGTCCTAAAATTTTATGGTTCTAGTTCTCATCTTAGAAATGTTGAAAGAAATAACGTATATTTTTGTTTACCCTAGCAACTGTAGATCTATTTCATTATCATCATCTAAACTACGTAATAAACTAGTAAATATATCGCCTGATTTATCTTTCTGATTGGCATTTCTTGCTTTATATTCATCATCATTATATGAATCACCTACAAGAAAAAAATAAAACATCTTTCATAAACGAATATAAATATTACACAAACAAGATTCAAATATATAAATTCTTGTCATTGTTGTGTTGTACTGCCTATTAACTTATATATATCACACAAAATGTTTTAGCTTAACCAAAATTTTACTTAAATTATATTGCCTCTGAGGTGTTTCACTGACACTATATTCCAGGTACAATTCAGCCTTAAAAATCTTGACCCTATGACATCAGACATTGATTAATCAATCAGTGTTGACGTTTCTAGTGGTTTACCCACAGTTCCGTGCATCGCACGCCAAGAACTCGTCATAACAGAACGTTTCATTGGCTAATCCCTTACTTCAACCAAAACACTGGTAATATAACAACTCTTCCAGATCCTAGTGTAGTAAAGACAAGTAAACCAAAATTTTGAACTATAAAAAACCGATGTGAGACTAACCTAACATGAGAATAGCCTTTAATACAGCCAGCACACCGCCTACAGTAATACTATCATGTGCTGCTTCTAACAGATGACAATCAGCTGATGATTTAATTAACGGAGCATTCCGACTACCAGATGATAATCCTGGTTGTGGTTGGGTTAGATGAGACGTTTTAAACAGACGTAATAACAGGTGACATGTCAGACGGGCTCCAGACTCTGCATCTTGATCTCCTCCCGCTAAAAAACAAACCCAATATTAATTAAGAAAATATTTCATATATATACATATTAAAATCAAGAAATAGGTAACGAATTTATATTTGACTTGTGTATGTAAGTAAAAGATAGGTTTCCAGGCAACAATACATACACCCACAACAGCAAAGCTGTCCTTGAAGTCCATAAAGGTAGTGAAATTCTGATTCTTTTGTAGGTGATTGGAGCATTTACAAGACACTGAAAACTGATCAAAGGCAACAACTCACAAAGTGATTATCAGGAATAATTGAATTTGAGAGACTTCTAGGTCTTTCCGATGTGAACAGGTACTGGAAACCAGATGATAATTTTAATGTTTGAGTTAACGGATATTATTGGAAATTAATAGGGCACAAGTCTTAGAACGACAGGAAAGTTGGACAGACGGAATCGGATGAAGGGTGACAACAATATTCGAGCACATTTAAATGTGGGCAAAGATAGAGAGAGAGAAATGGGGTTTAACGTCCACTCGACATAAACTAGGTCATTTCGGGACTAACATGTGGTTTGATTTTATTTCAATAATTTGCTTGCGCGTAGGGGTCTTTAGCAGTGGGAAGAAACCGGAGGACACGGAGAAAACCCATGAGGTTGGACAGGCGACCCTGCTCCTTATCACGTACAACCAGGGATTCAAAACCATGCCAGTTGACTTAATGACAGGCGTTATGATACAGCGCGCACATGCTAACCATTCGTCCTTCCAACCCACCTCAATGTGGGCGTATAAAATCATCAAACAAAACTTACCAGATGGACAGGCAGCCATTAGTGATGGTAGCGCCACATGTATCACAAAATCTTGTAGAGAGAAACAATGTCTAGCAATCAAGATGGCCGTAAATACAGATAGTGAATCGTGTATAGACATATCACTCACCTGAAATAAAATTATTACAATCTAATACAAAACAGTACAGTGGATAATGGAAGCTTGGGTGTTTATTATTTTTAAGTTTTTATTGGCGTTTTCCATAAATGAAGATATCGTAGACTATAATGGCTATATCTTTGAATCATATACTTTCAAACGAGACATCAATGTTAGGGTGCCCCGTGCAGCGAAACGTTTCCCTATAGAAAGTTGAACTCGACACGGTGAATGTGCACACTTCAGTGGCTTGTCTCGAAGTGATTTCTGGTTTGGTATATATACTATTCAAAAAAAGTAGGGGATATTTGATTTTTAAGTGTTATTAAAGTCACCTAATGAAACTGACGAAGAAACAAATGACAAAATGAAATGAAGTTCACATTCATCGATTTATTCCAAATGATCGTTAGACTAAGTAAGGCACAGACTGACCATTATAAGGGTAAAATGATACCCGGGGTCAAACAGCAAAGTTACCACAGCATCACAACCAAGTCAGTAACGGGTAAATCCTCCTCTGTTTGCCAAACAAGCATTGATCCGACGTGGCATACTCCTAATGAGACGTCTAAGGTCATTTTGGTCCAGATTGTCCCATTCCTGTTGCAACGCAGCAGCAAGTTCTTGGACATTGGCAGGACGTTGTTGACGTTGACGTAACCTCTATCCAAGCATGTCCCAGACATGCTCGATGGGGGAGAGGTCGGGACTCAGTGCTGGCCAAGGTAATGTGGTGATGTTCTGTTGTTGGAGGTAACCTGTAACGATCCTGGCCCTGTGACATCTTGCGTTGTCATCCTGGAAGATGAAACGGCGGCCATGACGTCGTGCGAACGGCACAACATGGACTGCCAAGATGTTGTCCCGGTAGTACTGGCCTGTAACACGCCCTGCAACAACATGTAAAGCCGTTCTTCCAGCAACAGTGATGCCTCCCCACACCATAACAGAACCACCCCCAAATCGATCATGTCTGATGACGTTAACGTCTTGAAAGCGCTCGTTTCGACGACGCCACACCCTCCTACGTCTGTCCAAAAAATCAACAGTGAACCTTGACTCATCTGAAAACATCACATTGCTCCAGCGTCGATTATCATAGTGTTGACGATCCCTACACCAACGACGTCTTGCCTGAATGTGATGATCTCTCAAACAAGGGATCACGCGAGGACGTCGGGCGCGAAGGTGACCCCTATCCAGTCGATTCCGAATCGTCTGGCCACTCACTCTCACACCAGTGTCTGTTTGAAGACGAGCGCTGATCTGATTTGCTGTGATGACACGATTTCTCAAGGCCAAGGTACGGATAAATCGATCCTGGGCTTGAGTTGTCGCCCTTGGTCGACCTGAGCGTGGTCTGTCCTGTACAGATTGTGTATCACGGTATCTGGACCATAGCCTGCTTATGACAGACTGAGAAACATTCATCGTCCGCGCCACAACCGCCTGTGTTGTGCCGATCTGTAGCATGCCAAGGGCACGTAACCTTTTATTTTTTTGTAAGCCGACGCATATCAAAATTTGTTTTCTGGTCACTAAAACAATTAAACTGATGTTTCCACCCTGGAATTCAATGCCACAATGACTGTAACATTCAAAGTCAGAGTCGTGCAAATCTTGGGTTGGACCCCCATGATGATCCCAAGCATCACCTGCATTCCATGCGGTAGCTATTGGTGCGTTTGGGCGTCACATGTAACTGGAAATGTTTCTTCTGTTAGGTTCTATAGTGACTTTTTTCGTAGTCATTTGCATATTTTAGTATTATGCCCCCAAAATCAAATATCCCCTACTTTTTTTGAATAGTATATATAAATTTTGTGGTGTAATTGTCGAGATATTTGGAGATATTTATTTATGGTGGGGCACCCTATCAATGTGAGCCACTATCTATCTAAATGAATACTATGGGCTGAATGTGTTTTAGCAATTTATACAATGGATGTAGTAAACTGCTGGGGAGTCATGGTGGTGCAATGAGTAAAACGTAGGTTTTTTTAACCACGAGGTCTTGAGTTCGATTTCCGCTTGCCAATGGTGCAGGACAGAGAGCCTTGCAAGGAACAGAGTCTAGGAGTTTGAATGTACCTATTTGGAATTTGAAATAAGAGTTGGCTGTAGCTAAATTTCTCTCATAGCACACTGTACGTCGTATGCTCCTCTTCATCGTAAGAAATTAATATTTACATTATAAGTCTACAAGCGTTATTTACTATAGTATAAAAGAAAGCAATTCTAGTCACATTATTTTTTTATTTGGACTTTAAGGGACAATTGTCTCCGAAAATAAATGACTTCTGAATATTTCGTCACAATCTGTATTTTCTCAATATTTTCTGTAAATGTGATTTTTATATATAAAACTGAAGTATGCGAACACCAAAACGTTCTTTTACTTAGTTAAAAATTTAGCATCACATCTGATGAATCATGTGGTAATCTTGGTTAAATCTATTTTGACCTCCCTCAGACTTCAAGTTTTCAAGGAATTGATGCAAATATAGGCAACATTTTCGGGTATTAGATTAGGTAAATTGCGGGTCACATGGGTGGGAATCGAATTTGTATCTCTTCGGAGAGAGAGAGAATAATGGGGTTTAACATCCACTCAACACAAACTAGGTCATTACGGGACTAACATATGGTTCAATTTTATTTCAATACTTTGTTTGCGCATCGGGCTCTTTAGCAGTGGGAGGAAACTGGAGGACCCGGAGAAAAAAAGACGAGGTTGGACAGGCGATCCTACTCCTTGTCACATACAACTGGGGAATCGAAACCCCGCCAGTTGACTCAATGACAGACCTTATGATACAGCGTGCACGTGCTAACCATTCGGCCATCCAACCCCCCGACTAGAATATGGAAAACTTACATCAATTTGTGTGAGAACATCAATAAAACCACTGCTACTGTTTGATGAACAACACAAAGCCTTTAACACACCCAACCACTCGGAACTTAAAGCATTACATCTAGCAGTAAACTCAGCACATAATATAGCTATATCATTTAATCTGAAATATACATATTCTAACAATTATACACCATTATTATACAATGATATATCACTTTTTAGTTATTACTTATTGCAGAGCCAGAGAAATGGAGTTTAACTTCCACTCAACACGAACTAGGTCATTTTGAGACTAACACATGGTTCAACTTTATTTCAATAATTCGCTTGCGCGTAGGGGTCTTTAGCAGTGGGAGGAAACTGGAGGACCCGGAGAAACCCACAAGGATGGACAGGCGACACTACTCCTTGTCACGTACAACCAGGGAATCAAAACCATGCCAGTTGACTCAATGACAGGCCTTATGATACTGGCCTCTGGTGAGTCACCTAATAGGAGAGAGAGAGAGAGAAATGGGGTTTAACGTCCACTCGACACAAACTAGGTCATTTCGGGACTAACATATGGTTTAATTTTATTTACATAATTCGCTTGCGCGTAGGGGTCTTTAGCAGTGGGAGGAAACCGGAGGACCCGGAGAAAACCCACGGGGATTCGAAACCACGCCAGTCGACTCAATGACAGACTGTATGATACAGCGTGCGCACGCTAACCATTCAGCCATCCACCCCCCCTCACCTAATAGGGATGGTATCTGTCACAGTCTAACAATAGTTGTACTTAGATTGAAGATGTGGTTATGATTAATGGACTACAAAATGTTTTGAATTAGAATTCAAAAAAGTGTGTTTTTGGGAACAGTTAGCTCTTTACTTTCAATTCCAGTAAAAAAATATTAAAGATAGTATAATTATAATCATCAGATCTGCTCTACATCTAAACTTTAATTATTTTAATTTTATTTTTACCTTTCGGGTTGCTGTGAACCACAAATATTGAGGGTTGCATTACATACAAAACTATATAAGTTTAATGAATTCTCCTGAACTTGTCGAACTAACTGTTGATCTAGTGGATTTTTGCTGTAATAATAAAACCAGATCAAATATAAACAATAGCAAGGATTAAATGTATTCAATTTTTTTGTAAATGTATCTGATATTTTGTAAATAAATCAGACAATTTGTAAAAGTATCAGATATTTTGTAAATGTATCAGATATTTTGTAAATGCATCAGATACTTTGTAATTGTACCAGGAGTCAAGTAAATGTACAAGGTGTTCTGAAAAAAGGTAAGTATACACTGCCTTGTCCAAACAAAAGACAATACTGTGAGACTAGTCTCATATGGTCAACTGTCTGATGAATGCAGAGAAACAATGAAAAGGAAACTGACTAAACTGAATTCAGAGAAGAATTATACTTACCAGCCTTTGTTAATGACATCAATCATAAAGGCAGGATCCCATCTTAGATTAGATGAAGATGCATTAACTGTAGCATATAATGTACTCTTCATCTTATTATATGGAGCATTAAACATCTCGGAATATTTATTCTGAAAACATAGATCAGATGTTCTTAATAACAAAACAAAATAACTTAACAGGGTTATCATTTATGTACTATTAGTAACAAATATCCATCTCCATTCAGAGGGAGGGAGAGAGAGAGAGAGAGAGAGAGAGAGAGAGAGATGGGCTTTAACGTCCACTCGACACAAACTAGGGCATTTTGGGACTAACATACGATTCAATTTTATTTCAATAATTTGCTTGCGCATAGGGGTCTTTAACAGTGGGAGGAAACTGAAGGATCAGGAGAAAACCTATGAGGTTGGACAGGCGACCCTTCTCCTTGTCACGTACAACCGGGGAATCGAAGAATCGCCAGATGACTCAATGACAGACCTTTTGATGCAACCCGCACATGCTCTAACCATACGGTCATCCACCCCCCACCTCCATTCAGGGTGATACCAAAGACCAGCTGTCATATATTACAAGGTATATAACTTATCCTTATTTGAAAACATTACATATGCCAGGCAGTGTGCTATGAGGGAAATTTTGCCCAGACAGTGGCCCTATAGAATATTCTTATTTCAAATTGTCAATGGTTCTTTTAAGTGCTTGCCAACATGTAAACAGGGCCTAAGTTTTTAGTCCCATTTGAATGACTAGGTCACAACTTTTTAAAGTTCTGGTTACATTAGCAAGGCTTCATCTGATACTGCAGTTTGAAGGGAATTTATAGCTCAATTTTTATTAAGCAAAATTTTTTTTTGGGTGGGGGGGGAGGTAAAATTAACTGCTATAAATGAAAGACAACAGTAGACGTCGTGTTGTGCTTACCTTGAGGTAAATATTACAGCTATACGTATCACATAAATACGCTAACATACATCTTGAGGCAGACGTACAATCAGCAGGATTAGATACATCTAGTAATCTCATAACACCAATTAAACTAGAAAAACATAAAAATATTGAATATATCTTATAACCTCAATTAAACTAGAAAAAATATAACATAAAAATATTGAATACATCTTATAACCTCAATTAAACTAGAAAAAATATAACATAAAAATATAGCTTATAACCTCAATTAAACTAGAAAAAAATATTGAATACATCTTAACGTATTTGCATTTCAATATCCCCTACCTTTTTTGAAGAGTATATATTACTATGTAAAAACATTGAATATATATATTATTACATAAAAACATTGAATATATCATTATTACATAAAAATATTGAATATATCATTTTATTTTATGATCAGTAGTGGAATACCGCGTTTTATCAGTGAAATAAAAGTGTTATTCCACTGGCTAAAGTAGTCCATGTTGTTTTTACCTAAAATGATTGTAAAATCATAAAATAAATAGAACATTTGTCGTTTTGTCGTGAATAACATATTTTATTTCATCTCTAAGCAAGAAAACGTTTATATTTACTCTAAAACGACAAATATCCTCCATATTACGTACAAATACGGTTAAAGGAACTTTTCAAAGAAGATGAAAATGGAACTAGAACTGTTAAATCCAGGAACAGAAAGCAATGGAAAGGCATGCAATGTTATTTTGCTCCGACTCAGTGTTTTGCCTGTGCTTATTCAAGGGTTCTTTTTATTGCACTATCACATCTGTCCCCATAAAAGACTAGAAAGCCTAGCAAAAGATATCCTTGGCAAGTGGGAACTGGCTTACAATGGAATCCAGCATCCTAATCACACTATTGTTGCCTAGTTTTGACTAAACTTAAATTATATTTTTAACTTACCCTTCAAAGGCATCAGCTGTCTGTTCTTGTGATACCAACATATAGGAGTTATAATTCCTTAATACACTAACAATACATAGACCTAATGACATAGTATAACTACTGACTAATGTCGATTCTTTCATCTTTAACTGGGTTACTACTTCACATAATTGATTCAATAACTGAAATATATATACAAATAGAAAAATATAACGAAATAAGTTTATTTATTCCTTACGTCAAGTTGAGTCAAACGAAACCAATTATTTGAAGATCTTCAGTAGGTTGGGCCTTTCACTGCCCAACAAGAAAGTTCATTGACATTATCCGGCATTGACGAGGTCCCATGTAGACATTGGCATGCACGTAAAAGATCCCTTGGCAGCTGGAATTCGATATAAAAGTAGGCCGTAGCACCACTGTCAAGGCAAAATTTCCCTCATAGCACACTGTATGGCGTATGCCCGTCTTCATTAGCCCAGTTCGGAGCAAACAGTAGGACGTTAAACCCCATTTCATTTCATTTCACTCCCATTTTTGGGTATGGATGTTTGAAATAAATCATGCTTGTATCCCAACAGAATACTCTATACAGAGCCTGTAATATTCTACGTTCGGCACCGTTATATAAGACTATAAAGAAAGATTTTCAAGGCATATCCATTACAAATGAATTTGATATATGTATATGTTTGACAATTCTGTTATGTGACCAAATGAAATATTAGCTAATTCTCACCTTAACAACAAAATCGATTAATCCATTAATATTCATGGCGTATTCCATCATATCAAACAAATACGCTACATGATCTACTAGGGGCAGATAACTAGAGTTACCATCAATAAAACTTCTCATTTGTTCCATTACAGCATTTACACACTGATTCGTCACTGCATGTTCATCAAAAAATGACAGACGCTGAAATTTGAGGAAAATGGCTTCCAAATTTGGGAGAGACGGAGCGGACATTCCTGCTACAGCTGCTTCCCCTTCCTTTTCTTTCTTCTTTTTGACTTTCCCCAAATCTCCGCTACTGATATCAATGGAGTTTCTCTTTCCATACAAACGCAGAACTTCTTTAGAAATTTTCTTGAGGAAATGTCTTGCTTCGTCTCTGGCTTTTCCGACTCCATACAGCATCATCATTCTTTGATTACTTTCATGTATAGAATATTCATCTTGTGGTATAGCAAAATGTGTGACATACTGCATATGTCTAGAAGGACCTTTAGGCTGTGAGGGAGCTTGTTGTGATTCACCAACGCTAGGTATATTCTGGTCACCTTTCTCAGATTTGACTGACTTCACTGAGGCTAGAAAATATGAAAGTAGAAACATCTCATTACATATCTTTATTGTGTTAGTGTGACAAAAAGATGCTGTCAGGAATCAAACCCACTATCCAATGCATGGAATCCATCCACTTATTGTCATAGTGGCATATTAAATATCGTTGTGGTCTGAAACCTTATGTTTATGTAGATGTTATAAGTTGTCTCCCTTATGTTGTAGATCTTCTGCCTTTTTGAATAATAAAGACAGAGATTGGAATTCTAAGATGGAGAATGGCTGTTTTTCACTTGGGAAAAGCTAATTATTGGCCGACTGGGAAGGTTTGGGAATTTCCGATGATTTCCAATGATTGCCGAATCCAATTTATCTTTTACCCCTCTTAAAAGGGTTAGGGTTAGTATTCCCCAAAATACTCATTTATATAAAGTTGCCATTGTGGACTCAACTTCGGTCCAATTTACTGTCAGAAATTTCCAAACCTCCCCACCCGGCGTACAATTAGCATCTCCCTTTTTACTTTCATCCACAAGTTTAGCTTAACACCCCAGAATCCGAATATATAATGGGGTACCAAAGAAATTGCCCAAAACCAAGTGCAAATTCACAACTTTGAAAACATATTTATCACATTAATTGACTGTCAGATGTGTCTCAAATTATGCACAGAATCTGAGTTTAAAATCCCAGACTTTGTCAAATTTCATCAACTTAAAAATCATATTTTTAGTGATTGTCAATTATGATCAAAAAGTGAATGAAAATCTGTAGTTACCTGGTGGTTCTGGACTAGATTTTGATTCATCTTTAACAGAACTAAAGAGACTACCAAGGTCACTCTCCATGGCATCCATAGTGAGTATATTTATATCAACTTTAATATCATCTTGTGGCTGCAAAAATAAAAAAAATTATTCAATTTAGTCACACATCACCCCACTTTTGAATTAATGGTAAGAAGTTCACAACTTTTCCCCATGAGAGAAAGAGAGAGAGAGAGAGAGAGAGAGAGAGAGAGATTAACTTGACACAAACTAGGTCATTTTGGGACTAATATATGGTTCAACTTTATTTCAATAATTCGCTTGCGTGTAGGGGTCTTTAACAGTGGGAGAAAACCGGGGAATCAGATCCACGCCAGATGACTCAATGACAAACCTTACAATACAGCACGCCGACGCTAACCATTTGGCCTTCCAACCCCCCCTTCCCATGACAGACAAGTGAAACCCCTAACTACGACAGACTGGTGATACTGACTTAGTCACATGTTTGGTTGCCAGATAACTGAACATACAACCACCAGCAAGTCATGAGCAAAATACATAATTGTTTTTTAAAAGAGAGAGAGAGAGAGAAATGGGGTTTAACGTCCACTCGACACAAACTAGGTCATTTCGGGACTAACACATGGTTCAATTTTATTTCAATAATTCGCTTGCGTGTAGGGGTCTTTAGCAGTGGGAGGAAACCGGAGGACCCGGAGAAAACCCACGATGTTGGACAGGCGACCCTACTCCTTGTCACGTACAACCAGGGAATCGAAACCCCCCCAGTTGACTCAATGACAGACCGTATGATACAGCGCAGCACGCACGTGCTAACCATTCGTCCATCCAACCCCCCTTGTTTTTTATAAAGTTTAGATCATAATTAAAGACTTAAAAATTAGGGTATCCTCAAGATTTCATAACACAGGGGAATAACGTGGAAAAGTTAATATTGAAAATTGTTAAATATGAATAGGATTCTTCATTTCAATAAGATAGACAACAGATATGTCAATTTCAAAACTATATACAGAATTTTGCATCTGAATAACAGATTGTTGGCCGAACAGACAAGGGAGATAACAAATGTCGGCGCACGAAAACCATTTTATAAATATTACCTCATGTTTTATACTGAAACTTTCATTAAGACTTTTAACACTACTAACATCCATCATGCTATCACAGAAAGGTACAATAGGTGCCGTCGATCTCATTAATTCTCCACGAGATATCAACGTACACATGTACGCATCATGGGAAAATACTTCATGACGAGTCAGTTCACAGAACAAGTGGATGAGATTCTTAAATGCCAGTTTATTTTCTTCTGACGGATTATCTTCTGCAGAAAAACAAAATACGAAAGAACATTAATTTACAGTAGTTAGAGAGTGATTGTTACAAAAATAAATCGAAAAGATTCGGGACTAACATATGGTTTAATTTTATTTAATTAATTCGCTTGCACGTAGGGGTCTTTAGCAGATGGAGGAAACCAGAGGAGCCAGAAAAACCCCACCAGGTTCGAGAGGCGACCCTACTCCTTGCCACGTACAATCGGGGAATCAAAACCACGCCAGTTGACTCAATAAAAGACCTTATGATTGAACACGCACGCGCTAACCATACGGCCATCCAACAACAACAACCCCCCCCCGCCCCACTGTTCAAAAATTAATCATTATACATCAATAATCAATTGAGATGTTTATTTTTTAACAGTGATTGAGAAATTAAATGCTTGTAAATCGGACACTCATTATCACAATTGAATGGTCAGCTTTAAACTGGACACAAGTACACATTTTTATGAATTTTTAAACAAAGATTTCTTAATTAAATGAATGTGAAAGAAATTAGTGCTAAATACACAAGATTAAATAATACCCGGGTTACAGTGTAATGCATCTTTAATAAGAGGTTATGTCAAACATGCTTCTATTAAAACTACCTAAAACAGGAGCAGACGTATCAAGGAAATCCATGAGCAAATGTTGAAAGATGGGAATACTAGGAGGTACCATGGCATCTGATCCAATAGAATCTTTATCATCCATCATATCACTATCACCATATTTCTACAAAATAAAAACAGATCATAATATCATCATATTTCTACAAAACAAAAACAAATCCCACATCACTATCGCTAAATTTCTATAAAATAAAAACTGATCATATTATCATCATATTTCTACACAATAACCAGTGGCTGCCAGGCAGGATACGCCCACATTTTCAAGAGATGGATAGAGAACAAGCCAAAAAGAAAGTGATTTTTCCTGGCCATAATTCAGGAAATTACAATTCAATATGCGCAAATATCAAAAGCAACCGAGATCTTTGGGTTATAAACTTACATTTCAAGTTTCAACAAAATCGGATAAAAATTGTGACCTCTATAGGGTCCACAACCTTGATATACCATATTTTTACGCTATTTGAGAACGAACGGCGGCCATTTTGTCTGTCAGTTTTGGGCTGATTTTCACGAAATTCAAACTCAGCCGTCCTTAGGGTGTAACGGTGATATAATAATACGTTTTTTTAAATCGGATAAACAATATGACTTTTATAGGGTCCACAAGTTAAAAACGCGATTTTTCGTACAATCAGGGGCCATAATTCAGGAAGTTACGGTCCGATATGCACGAATATCGAAAGGAACCGAGATCTTTGGGTTATAAATTTACATTTAAAGTTTCAACAAGATCGGATAAAATTTGTGACATCTATAGGGTCCACAAGCTAAAAACGTGATTTTTCGTACAATCAGTGGCCATAATCCATGAATTTTCAATCCGATACATGCCAATATCGAAAGCAGCCAAGATCTTTTGGGGATAAACCTCAATTTCAAGTTTCGTCAAAATCGGATAAGAATTGTGACCTGTAGAGAGTCCACAAACAATTGTGGACGGACGGACGGATGTCCGGATGGACAGGGGCGACAGCATAATACGTCCACATGACAATGTGGGCGTATAAAAACAGTTTATAATATCACATTTCTACAAAACAAAAACAAATCCCATATCATTAAATTTCTATAAAAAAATTAAAAAAAACAGGTCATCATATCACTATCTATCATATTTCTACCAAAAAAAAACCAACCAGTTTTAGATAATATTGATGATGTTCTGTTATAAAACTACCCACCTCACTACGTATTTCTGTTTGTCTTCTGTCTAGTAATTTAGCTACAACTATAGCCCTATGATCACCACATCGTCTAGTACTAACAGCTAAATCTAATAATAGGCGAATTATAGCATCATCATTTGGCATCGACTGGAAATATAAATAATTTAAAAATTCATTTCTCTATATAGATAGAAACCTTGTGTATATTTTTAGATGCTGTTTTTGTTGGGAGTAATCTGAATTTGGGTCTGAATCTATGAAATGTATAATATTTTCAATTAATTGTTAACTTATTAAGAGATCCGGAGCAGAACAGTAGGACATCAAACCCCATTTCATTTTAACATAACAAGTGAAATAGTGCCAGAATATAACTCTGAGTCTGCTTTCATTCTGGCTTTGCATGTTTTAGGCTTCTTTGCTCATTTTCTTCCTTTTCTAAAAGTTAAGTATTTTTAGTTTTCTGTGAGTAAGTATTTGGGGGGAAATTTATTGCATTGATTGTTCTTGTTTATCACATGATCTTTATTTATTAAAGATACATTATGGAAGATTAGATAAAGAGCTGGCAGTTCTCACTATAATAGTTAAAAACTAGATAATGTAAAGGACATTTGCTGAAAATTTCAGTCAAATTGATCGACTCTGAAACAAGATTTTAGCGATGGAATTTTCGGCCTAGGCTCGATCATCATTACTAAAGTCGGTACAATATAAAATATAGTCTCGATTATCCATTTCATGATAAAATCATAAATGGAAGTCGAACAGTAAACTGGAACCTAATCCAATAAACATCGCAGGCTAGCGATGCCATTGAGAGTTGATGGGACGAAAAACCGAGGTCTCGTGTAAAAGATCCCCTGGCAGTTGGAATTCGATATAAGAGTAGGCCGTAGCGCCACTGTCCAGGCAAAATTTCTCTCATAGCACACTGTATGGCCATCTTCATTAGCCTAGTCAGGAGCAGAACAGTAGAACATTAAAAACATTTCATTTCATTTACAATATACAATTTGCAACAGCTTTCACTCACCTCATTATCCTGAGACTGGTTAACAGAGAATATTTTATTGTAAAGCGTATCCATATTATTGACCACGTCCACCACATCAAATTTATGACGGTCAAATATATCTAATACTGTTAATATCTTAGATATTGTAGCTCCTGTAAAATATAATAATAATAATAATAATAATCGTTTTCTATAGCGCTGAACAGTCAGTCAGTCTGACTGCTCTGTGGCGCTGCGTATGCAATTGCTCTCTCACCAAATTTTGACTTCTGGACTGGACATATGAGATGAATGTAAGGAACGAGAAGGTACATATTGTTTAATCAAATCAGAAAAATAGGATGGTGCCAAATATACAACATATCTATCTATTACAACTTCCGTTCACTGTCAGAGCCACGGTAAAGAAATCAAAATCAAACGAGGTTTTCTTGTTTTTTGAGTGTTTGCTTACTTATACATTATGCAAGAGGTAAATCTGCCTATTGTTGGTCTTTCTTTAGCCCTGAAATGTTATCTAAATTATTAATTAGACATTAATTAACTTATCCAGACCATAATCAACTCTCAATGTCATCACTAGCCTGCAATATTTACTGGATTAGGATCTGATTTGCTGCTCAACTTTCATTCATGATTTATTCATGAAATGGATAATCGCGACTATGTTTTTTATTGTACCGACTCTAGTAATGATGATCGAGGCTAGGCCTAAGATTTAATCGTTAGATTCTCGGTTCAGAGTCGATCAATTTGACTGAAATTTTCAGCATATTCCCCTTTACATTATCTAGATTTTATCTATCATAGTGAGAACTGCCTGCTCTTTATCTAATCTCCCATAATGTATCTTTAACCTAAACAGTATCAGTATATTAAGTGTTGAAGCTAACTTACCCTTGCCTGTAGCAGATTGTTGACATTTATCAGACGACCATCTTGTTTCAGCCATTCTACCACGCTGTTTAACTTGCTGCTCACACAGTCGAATTTGAGCTCGGAACTACAATCATTAAAAACACAATAATTATAGATATAATTTTTTGTTTAAAGATTCGTAAAAATCATTTCAACTCACCCAAATCATCTAATTTGTACTTGTGTCCAGTTTAAAGCAAACCATTCAATTTTGATAGTGAGTGTCCAATTTACAAGCTAAATTAGTGCTAAATACACAAGATTAAATGATACCCAGATTACAGTGAATAATAATTCAAATACCTGTGGATTTTGAGGGCCTGGTAACATTGGAAGACTGGAAGGTGCACATGGTAGGAGGTCTAAAGGTGAACCGCATATATAATTAGTCATTTTACCATCACCCAATGTATTCCATACTAACGATGTAGGACAGCGTAAAGTAATGGACTGTAATATAGCACTAAGGTTTAATATAATAGTTCTATGTTGAGGACAGCTACTGTACTCAGCAAACATGGCCGCTATAGGATTGGTGTAGGCTTGATTATTAGAGGTTGTTGTTATATTTCTGAAATTAAACCAATGAATCAAAATTAAAATTTAAAATAAGATGATTGCAGTTTTTAAGGAAGACATGAATCATTATACTGAACTAACGATAGGTTGACAGTCATCAGAGTAGTCCCCTAAAAAGCCCAATATCATTAGCAAGACAACAAGTTTCTGAACAAGTAGCCCGAACTGGGCTAATGAAGAAGGGCATACGCCATACTGTGTGCTATGAGGGAAATTTTGCCTGGACAGCGGCACTACGGCCTACTCTTATATCGAATTCCAACTGCCAAGGGATCTTTTACGTGCACACCAATGTGTACACGGGACCTCGGTTTTTGGGACTAACATATGGGTAAATTTGATTTCAATAATTTGCTCATGTGTAGTGGTCTTTAGCAGTGGGAGGAAATCGGAGGAGCCAGAGAAAACCCACGAGGTTGGACAGGCAACCCAACTCCTTGTCACGAACAAGCGAGGAATCAAAACCATGCTACTTGACTCAATGACAGATCTTATGATTTCATGCGCACTCGTTAAACCGCTAGATCACCCAGCCTCCCTCCACAAAGCCAGCAAGGACCGTAATTATAATGGGATATATATAGTAGCTTGGTTGACAATTGTGTGCAGATTAGCTTACCCATTTGAATTAGTAGTTAACATAGGTGATTGAGTTCGTGGTGACGTTGTTCCTGTTTCGCTACATAAAAAAGATATCTTCTTGGCACAAACAAAGGCCAGTTTTCTTGATAACAGAGCTGAGTTGGTCATTTCATCCATGTACTGAAATGAACAGATTTTTGTCATATTAATTTCAACCAAACATTTTCAACATATCTTTATAGTATTTATTATTAATCTAATTGTATTTTCTTCTAATAATAGCTTTGTTAAAATTCTACCTTTTTCAAATATTTATAATTTCAGTTTGAGATAGAAGTTTTGGCTATATTTCGTCGAAATTTTAAATTGACGGAGAGAGAGAGAGAGAAATGGGGTTTAACATCCACTTGACACAAACTAGGTCATTTCGGGACTAACATATGGTTTAATTTTATTTACATAATTCGCTTGCGCGTAGGGGTCTTTAGCAGTTGGAGGAAACCGGAGGACCCGGAGAAAACCCACAATGTTGGACAGGCGACCCTACTCCTTGCCACATACAACCGGGGATTCGAAACCTCGCCAGTCGACTCAATGACAGACTTTATGATACAGCGCGCGCACGCTAACCATTCAACCATCCAACCCCCCTCTTAAATTGACGGTACATGCAGGGTACATGAGTATAATAGAGAGAGAGAGAGAAATAGGGTGGAACGCCTGCTTGACACAAACTAGGTCATTTTCGGACGAACATATGATTCAATTTCATTTCATAATTTGCTTGGCCGTAATCATTGTCACGTTCAAACAGGGAATTGAAACCATGCCACTTGACTCGATGACAAACTTGCATGTGTTAAACCACTAGATCATCTACCCCCCTTGAGTAATAGAATGACTCCCATATATTCTATGGTAGAAGGACAACTGTCGAGGAGGAAAACTGCCTGTGAGGACAATTGCCAGCAGTGCATTGCTGGCTATATTAGTGTCTTTTTGTTATTTTGTTAATCATTAAAATATAATACCTGTAAAACTTGAGCTATGATCAGTTTTAAAACCGTGTCATCAGGTTGTTTCATTTTCTCAAATAAATCTACCAACCATGATAAATATTCATGTCTATCTAATAATCCCTCCTAAAATACACATACAATAGTGATTACAACCTAGTTGTCAGGATGGAACAAAAAACGAGGTATATATTGCCATGTACACACAGTAAGAAATTGAACATTGGGTAGAATTTTACCCAGGAGCATTGCATGCATGACCATAGTAATTACAATATCGGTTTAAGGTGGTTTCAAAGTGATCTAAGTAATGACAATTGACGATATATCAAATCTCATTCCATTTCAATCTGGTTAAAACACAGATCCTATTTCGTTTCGTTTTTATAGTTCAAAATTTCGTTTTACCTGTCTTTACTACACGTGGATCTGGAAGAGTTGTTATTTAACTCGTGTTCTAAATGGCGTCAGGGATAAGCCAATGAAACGGTCTGTTACGGCGAGCTTTAGACATGTTTTTCACGGAACTGTGGGTAATCCACTAGTAACATCAATGCTGATTGGTTAATCAAATGTCTGACGTCATAGGGTCATAAGTCGGTCTTTTGACCTCTGACGCGACCTATCGCTACAACTGGTCAGATCTTCATGTAGTGTAGGCCACGAAAGTATAAAAAAAACGAAACGAAATATAGATCTGTATTGTAATCAGATTGATTCCATTTCATTAGCAGCCATTAGAATCGTTTTTTACTTACGTTATACATATGTCTAGCTAATCTACAACAGTAATGCCATTGTTTTAAAGCTGCGTCCATGTCTGCTTGTAAGGGCGTCTGCTGGGTTGTGAGGAAACTAGTCTGTGTACCGGAACCACCATGGTAAAATTCCTGTACTTTCTGTAACTGGTCTTTTAGATATTTAGTTATGGCTGATGCCCATTCTGTAAACAAGATTAAAACATTATAAAGAAATAGACAAAAAATGAAATGAAATGGGGTTTAACGTCCTAATGTTCTGCTCCGACTGGGCTAATGAAGACGGGTATACGCCATACAGTGTGCTATGAGGGAAATTTTGTCCAGGCAGCAGCACTATGGCCTACTCTTATTTCGAATTCTAACTGCCAAGGGATCTTTTACGTGCACGTCAATGTATACATGTAACCTCGGTTTTTTCGTCCCATCCAAACTACTAGACAGCTGTTCTTGTCAGGCCCTCAGTCCTGCACCACTGACATGGGGAAATCACGCCGGAAAATCCTGATTAACTTTCACGGCCAATGTGAGATGGACAAACTCTATACACGGAAATAGATCAATATTTCAATATTATATAGAGTGGTCAAGTTTTAGTTCTGTCACAGAGGCAAGTGCTATGGTTCCATTCCCAGGCTACTATGAGACAAGGAGTAAAGCTTTCTCCAGATTATCTGGTTTTACCTCCCCAATAAATCGACATATGCCCACGATTAAAGTTAGTCACAAAATGATGGTTTAATTTTTATTTCAATGGTTTAATTCGCTTGCATGTAGGGGTCTTTAGGAGTGGGAGAAACCGGAGGACCTGGATAAAACCCAGGAGGTTGGACAGGCGACCACATCAAAAAGTACAATGTGATTTGTCAATATATGAATGAATCAAATGGGGTTTACCATCCTACTTTTCTACATCAACCAAACTAATGGAGACAGGTATACTAAACTTTAAAAAAAAAACGTCGGTACGATTTCAAAATAGAGAGGCACTTTAATCAATCAGAACCTTTCCTGGGTTCAATTCGGTTTTTGGGAAGGAGCATTATTGGTCAGGTAAAGTTGGAGATGTGGTCACAAATATACAATAAAAACACTTGGCAAGTCTTATGCTATGCATCTATTCAGAGTAACATACCAACCTGACATTTCTTTTGCTGCTTAGTATATATAAACTATTGCTAGGTTCCCACTATCACGATTCGTGCTACGAATGAAATTGTCGTTTTAATTGTGAAGTAATCTTTGTGATCCTATCAGGTCTTATCATATATTAAGGTCATTCGTAGCAATCGTGTTCATCTTATCGAAACATATTTGCATGTAGCAGATTGTGGACTCAATAGAGACAATCCTTTCATAAGGCATCACACAACAGTGGGAACCTAGCACCAGAAATTACCTGAAGATTGATCAATAGTTTGTCTCTTTCTGTTTCTATTTTCTTGTGTAGCTGTATTATAGGCTGCCATCATCTTTACAAACCATGCAGCTCGTACCATGGGTATACTATATTCACATAATGTAGAAAATGTGTCTTCTTTTCTATTGAACATCGGTACCTGAAATATTCAAATTTTATAATCTTCTGATTTTGCATTTTCAATATTAAAGATGGGTTCCCAGAAAAGTATTTATCGGGTGATTATTTCCAATAAAAGTATGGCACTTTTGGTATATATGGAAAGTAGAGATATCCAATCTTACTAGAAAAATACTGGATTCCCCGAAAAACACTCATGGAGCATATACAGGACAAAAATGTAAGGGTTCCCCTAATCAACAGCCTGACGAATTTCTGCACACGTGATGTCAAAGGTCACATGCGAACATTGAGTGCTTGATATACAAGTTGATAAACTTTATGAAGAGTTAGACGTACAACACTTTCTGAGATAAAAATTACGGAAAAAGACGCGGATAGTGGATAATCCGATAATTTAATTAGGATTGGATATTTGTAATAAATAGTAAGCGATTAAAGACAACATCGTCTTATGTATGCAATGAATTCTCCTCTGACTTCCAAGAGAGGTAAGTCACGTGACGTAAACAAACCTGGTTTGATCGAATTTTTATAGCAGGACATTCCTTCGCAATTACAACGTTTGAGAAGGATTTGAAGGAAAATTATGATAAATTAATTACTTTGAATATGTTTTTAGTCCATATATACCATTAAATTACCCAGTTTGCGCGGGAATGTATCTTTAAATATTGTGTTACCCTGATAAAAATATATTAAAATCTCTGAGTGTGATTTGAGTGATATATACCACTATTTTTTAATGTGTTCCATTATAACTGGATATAAAATGAATTCATTGATTTTTGGCCTCAAGATAGTTATTTCATTTTTTTTTGATTGAACACTAAATAAAGAATCTCTCACAAGTCTTTTTTGATATGAAAAAATATCAACACAAGTCAATAAAGTAAAAAAAAAACCGAGACTTTGCAAAGTTTGATATTTTTTTATATCAAAAAATACAAGTAGGAGATTTTATTTATCACCCAACCCTTTTTTACGCGCACAAAATAAGTAAATATAATTCTTAGCTATAGATTTAATTTTACTGAACCTGATTACATTACGACGTAGTGATACATCATTTTTTAACAGCAATTCGCCCGTTGCAAATTCCTATATATTGACCCGTTGTTTTCGTTAAGGTTATGGGGAGTATTGTAATTGTTTTTGGTAATTGAGAACTTTTCTCCAACAATATTACTGGATCCAAAAAGTAGTTCCTTTTAATAAAAAAGTAGTTCCTTTTTAATTGACCAATCAAATTCATGTAAAGCAATATCTACTGTAGAAAGTGTTATTGTGTCATAAATGAATATATAGAGGATATTTGTCGTTTTAGAGTCAATAACATATTTTATTTCATCAAGAAGCAAGAAAACTTATATTTTCACGAATGCGTAGCATGAGTGAAAATATAAACGTTTTCTTGCTTAGAGATCAAATAAAATATGTTATTCACGACAAAACGACAAATGTTCTATTTATTTTATGATTTTACAATCATTTTAGGTAGAAACAACTTCTAGCCAGTGGAATAACACTTTTATTTCACTGATAAACGCGGTATTCCACTACTGATCATAAAATAAATTCAAATACTTACTCTTTTAAACATCTGTGAAAGAGGTTTATTGCCTGCTAAATCTTTAAACCATGCTTCCATAACTGTTGGTTTACTTCTTCCCTAAAATATCAAACAAAACAAATATTAATGGTTGTCTCAAGCCGACGTATTTTCTGGCCATACATTGTCACATTACAGTAAATGTAACTGTACTAGGAAATGTAACAGCAAAACTGATCATGGCAAGTGAAAACAAAACAAATCTGGACTGACGGCCAAAATTTTATGCACACACCCATTCCGACCTGTAGGACTGGCCATAATATTTTTTGTAGATAATTGTAGTTAACATAAAACATAATGTCCCATCATTTTTTTAAGTACTTATTAATATCAAACTTAGCATTAACAAGCAACAAATATACTTCCACCAACAGCTATTCAAGCGTGACTGTTAAAAGTTTTCATGTGAGAGGTAATAACTACACATCTGATGTGGAACTATAAATTTAGATAGGATTCCTTGTTACGAATATATATAATACTTACTGGCCAGAATATTTCTTTATTCGGCAAACTCTGTCTTTTCTTGGAGTCTTGTAATGTGTTGAACTCCATTTTCTTTGTAAGCACAGAGCTGAAGTAAGTTCCAAACTGAAAAACAAACAAATGTAGAGATATTTTGCCTTATTTTGCAAAAAAACTCTGCTGTGCCTGATAATGACAGCCTGATGTCAAGATACAATATCTACCATATATGTAATAAATCAGAATAAGACTCTTGTTGTAACTTTTAAAATGTGAATGTAAACACAATGATATAGTAGGGGTCATTAGCAGTCAGGGGAAACCAAGGATCTGGTGAGAACCTACCAGGTTGGGTAGGCAACCCTACTCCCTGTTACATACAAACTCAACGACTGACCGTATGGTCTAAAGCACACACGTTAGACCACTCGACCACCTAAACCCTTTTTAATAACAGAAGTCAATTTTTAGACTAACCTTATCAATATTGATATCAGCATTTTTTTCTGATCCATGCTAAAACATAAAGAGCAAGAATATGGTAAATTACATAGATATAATAATATTCAGATCAACAATTAGATGTTATTCGTTTTGTTTTAATTCATAATCTCTATTTTGTATTTTACCAGAAAAGTTTTATCAGTGTGTAATGTTCTTAGTCATTCAAATCATGCTAACACATTGTCTACTGATATTATAACCTCTCCAAAATCATGACTCATGGCTGAACGCATACAACCTTAACTCATAAGAACTATATCCCTTACTTATTTTAACAAAATTACTGTTCATTCGTCAGTTTATCATCCAAGAGAAAAACCTGGTAGCAACATGAAATCAGTAGATATTAATGGTAAATTTAGATGCCACACCCTCTGTTAGTATTGAATGATTTGAATAATGATTTACTGATAGATGTACATCTAATTGTCTATGGTTTGAAAGTCTAAATTTGCTATTAATAATCTGAAATATTGTGCAGTGTGCCTTTAATATACATGTAACTTGCTATGAATATGATGATGGCGAATGCATAAATGCAGTAATGAGCTTATACATATTCAAAGAGATTATAGGTGATCTAAGACAAACTAATGCTGGGTATTGCCACAAGATCAGTATAATTTACCAACAGGATAAATGAATAGTTGATATTTTTAGTCCTTCTAGTCGAAGAAATAAAACTGTCTTATATCATGGTATTGATGTCAGACCAAAATAAGGACCAAAACAATTTAAGAGTGTTTGTGTACCTATGGATAATGTGTGACATGGATAATTAAGAGTGACAGGTTACTTACATGTACTGAAGCGGCAAAAAAAACATTTTAAAAAATGGAGATACATTGATTCAGCATCTCGTTTTACTCAATAGTATAATGTCCTCTTAATCAAACTTACCTCATCAGAAAATGTTTGAACATTGCTGAATCCATGTTTAACATTGCTGAGGTTGAGTTCATCCTGAAATAAAAATAAAAAATAAAATGAAAATGACAGAAAAAAACTTCAAATAGGCAAGGCTATTTTTTCTAACAATTAAACTTTTCCTGGTATCTACAGTAAGTATATTTGTAGTTTGAATATAATAATTTATGGTATTCCCCTTGAATCACAATCAATCAAACAATCAAGAACATGAAGTCTCCCCCATATCTGATGATATCGCAGACATGTTGTCATATTTCATTATGCTTAGTGCATGTGCAGGGGTCTTTCATGATGGAGGAAACCGGAGTACCCAAGTAAACGCACAAGGTTGAGAAGGTGCCCCTATCTACAAGCCACATACGCTCACACCAGGGATCAAAACCACAACCAGAAGCCAGAGGTGACCGGCCAGCTAGACCTCAAAGTGCAACACTCTAGACCACTAGGTCATGCCAACCCCCTCACCATGTCACCAAAGACATATTAATACGCCTTCAAAGATGCTAAGATTATGGCAAGTAGTTCAGATACTGACTTGGTTACTGACATGGTATTATCTTACCTAGGCCACATACAATGTATGACAATTCCATTACAATATTTTTCATCACCCATTTATTTGCAGGATTTAATTTCAATATTCATATGTGAATATGCTTATGGAACAACATTTATTACTGGGCATTTTTTGAGGCAGCCAAAATATCCCTTTTTTGTAGACATTATTCATTAAATATGGACTGTGGTTGAGGGGACATGATTAGGGAGTTCTAGGTCAGTATTCTCTAGGCTAATGAAAGAAGTTCAGGAAGCCCTTGTATATTTTGATAGGATGGAATAGTGACAGATCACAGATGTGCAAGTATTCCTATTCTCTAGTTTCAACCCTCTACCCACCACGCCAGACGCAGACCATATCCTACCACCAGTAAATTGATAACCCAACTTGTTGATTCATATATAGGCAGGGTAGTGATACATTTAGTACTAATAGCCTATTTAAACTAAATTAAACTAGTTCTACATTTACTAGCACCATACATGTAGATAGTACCGTATTAATCTGCGCTGGCATTTAAAATTTCAGTAGTTACGTGAATCGGGTTAAAGATAGTGACATATATGTACTAGACAAACGTGCAATCTCGAAAAGCCAAATCAATAATACAAGTATTCAAAATTTCATGTAATTACATACATGCATCAATGCCCTGATGATACAGATTTATGTTGGGATGCATTTATAAAATTAATCTTTTGTCGGAATCAGAAAAAAAAACCCCCGACAAACAGAATGTGGTGAAAGCGATTTTTAAAAACATTTTCCAAAAGAATGTTAAAATATTATGATTTGTACACAATCTACAAGTAATGTTTTATACCTCACGCTGTTTAGGTTCCTGTGGATAAACATCTGGCGGCCCAAGACTAGATTTTTTCAGCGGTCTATATTCTTGACTTGGGTACGCCGCCATTTTGGCTTGTTTTCACTGGAGGTGAAGGTCGTTTATGGAAGATAACTCTTCCTGATATTCCGGAGACAGACCAAAAAAAGAAATTCGGTCATTGACATTAAGTACTTTCTTGCCTCATTGCCCGGTTCCAATTTCCCCTCAAATTATCGTTTTACTGTACACCCTCACCACAGATGGATTAGCATTTTGAACATTTTGCTAAAGAAACGGGGATAAGTTGGTAATTTGTGGTGGGGTGGTCTTATAGGAAGCAGTAACTAGCTGGTTCATATTTGAATTAATAATAGAAATTATTCATTTATGTTTTGGATGATGATTTTATAAGTAATATAATTTTCTCAATATTAAGTAGGTAAAAACGTCACGCGCATCTTTAGTCCTGATTTTGTACTTTTAAAAATGCCTAACAGCGCAGTGGATGCATTTAGGAAGTGGCACCATTTCTGACAGACAAAAAACTGGTTGCTGTGCAGTTTCCTAGCATTTAAAAAAACTATATTAGATTTCTATCGCGTGCTAATTAAAGACACACACATATGCACTTTAGGTTGAGCATGGAAGGATATGAATCTACAACGGCTGTGCATTCCTTTTTTAATAAGATATCCAAAAGGTTCCAGTCGATATATCTTCAATAAACAAAATAAATTTGATATTCGGAATCAGTGCCCTGTTTCACGAAATTTTGACGGCGTGGCTAAATGGGAAATAACTCCGCATAAATCAATTATCAATTTAGAATTCATAAAACATTTTTTAAAACGTACGCAAGTTTATTCTCGATCTGGGTCCTGTAAGCACACTTAGGAAATATGTGCACGTGTAATATATCACGCTATTTCCATTTCATGTATGTAACTTTCTTGTACTTATATTTCTTAAAGCAGACTAAAGTTCTTGGCCCTGTTTCTCGAAATCTTAACTAAAGATAAAATCCAAATTTTAGTAGGTACTTCAATTTTGATTGGCTAAGCTCTAAAATCAATCTAATATTATCCAATCAAATTACTAAAATTTGGATTTTATCTTAGTTAAAATTTCGTGAAACAGACCCCAGGGCCACAAAATCAATAATTTAAAATTTCAGATTAGTTCATTTATATGAGTTAGGTCTGTTCAATATGTAAAAAAGAGGCAGAATGATCTTTATTTTCCCATACTTTTAACATTTTTTACAGCCCGCATATATAGTATGGGAACGAGCGGAGTGGCCCGTTTACAGGGGAGCGGATTCGAAATTGGGGATGGTTGGGGGGGGGGGAGGGTATTGACAATTTCTTTTTGACTACTCCACTGCAGTAGGAAGACTTCTCGTGATCCCTATTCTTTATTTATTTCTTCACCTTGAGGGTCCACGTAATACTACGGAAGTCGCGGTGGCTCAGTGGCTCAGTGAGTAGAACGTTGGCTCACTAACCTTGTGGTCCCGTGTTTGATCAAAGTGTTGACCGCGAAAGTTAATCGGATTTTCCGGTGTGTTTCCCCCTTGTTAGTGGTGCAGGACGGAGGGCCTGGCAAGGTACAACGTATAGTCAGTCGAATGCGACGAAAAACCGAGGTCCCGTGTTCACGTAAAAGTACCCTTGCGGAATTCGAACTAAGAGTAGGACGTTAGACCCCATTCCATTTCACTCACGTAACACTACTCATTTCCCTACTGTTGGAGGGGTGAGGGTGTACCAACGAGACGTTTAAAACAATTTGAGGCGTGGGCCGATCAGCAGGATGATTATAATGTAGTTTTCATTTTAAGAAAAACGTTTTGGATTCACATTTTTATTAAGCTTCGAAGACGTTTAATGGGTTTTTTTTATACACTAGAATTTAATGTTTCACAGCATATGAAATTAATTAATTAGCACATAAATACCGACAGTAATTTATTTGTATACGAAATCTGAATTACATAATACAACATTATAATTGAGATGTATTATATACTGATAATAATACAATAGAACGATCCGACAGAATTTAGAATTAATTATATATTATTTTCCTGTAGTCCTATTCCTGTGTAACACAAAGTTAATAATGTTGTGGGTGATTTGTGTGATGTTGAGTATAAGACGCATCTCATCTCACTTTATTAGAAATTGTATGTCTATCCACCCATCGATGAGAAGGGGGTTGGGTGGCCGAATGGTTAGCACGTGCGCACTGTATCATAAGGTCTGTCATTAAGTCAACTGGCGTGGTTTCGATTCCCCGGTTGCACGGAGTAAGGACGCCAGTCCAACCTCGTGAGTTTTCTCCGGTCCTCCGGTTTCCCCCCACTGCTAAAAACCCCTACATGCAAGCAAATTATTGAAATAAAATTAAACCATGTGTTAGTCCCGAAATGACCTAATTTGTGTCGAGTGGACGCTACCCCCCTCTCTCTCTCTCTCCATCGATGAGAAATCCCGGCTACCCCACTGATAAAAGTATAAGGCGCGTACCATCTGGAATTAAAATACACCGGCATCTGCAGTATATATTTGTATTTATCCAACTTTAAAGGGGAAGAATACATTTACGTGTTTATTATTTGGCTCGATCCGCTCAACTGCCTTTCTTTTCTCATCTCTTTTTATCCGAAATTTTAGGGCTTTACACCCATCGATGAGACATTCTAGCTACCCCACGGAAAAAAACCCGCCCCAATCCATGCTTTCTTGTTACTTCAATGGACAGTCTTCTGATATTATCCATAACATAAAAACCCAACTGCTTTAATGTAACATATAACAAACTGAACACTGACGTCGGTTCTGATGTGGTGGTTTTGCGGCAAAATCACTAATAAGAAGGGCCAAAATATATTGCCGAACTACTTTTGGAAAATCTTGTATCCACCACCATTAGTTATCACGTCTTATAAGTGTTGTTTTTGATCCATGTGTTAGTCAATTCGCATGCATGTGTTAGTAAATTACCATTTAACGATCTTAACCCATTAAATCTTGTGCCTGTTTTAAAAAAATAATTGACAAATGACCTCTATTACGAGACTGTGTGCCAAATGTGCAAATGACCTTCATACCCATCACTTTATTTGCATCTACATGTCAATTAACCCTATAACGCACATATACATAGTCGCTAAGATTCCATGTGTGATAAACTATAACACATACTTATGGAAGAACAATTACTGATTTATTTGGGCGACGTTTCGAAGAGTATTCTCTCAACGTTTTCAAGCAAGTACAGTAACAAATGTGTAGAGCAATTATATATAGACAAGCAAAAACAACAATTCAGAAACCATGCATGACAACAAGAAGATCAAAGGAATCTGTAAGCCTTTGGGGATAATGTTGTTGTCTCTACATCGCATCAGAAAAGTAAGATTACACTTGGTTTTAACATATTTACCTTCCAATCTGTTACTTGTATTAATAGAGGAAACTGCCACATCTCCATACTGATGACGATAATGATCTTTTAGAGGCATTTAGTAACTGGATATAATTGCTCTACACATTTGTTACTGTACTTGCTTGAAAACGTTGAGAGAATACTCTTCGAAACGTCGCCCAAATAAATCAGTAATTGTTCTTCCATAAGTATGTGTTATAGTTTATTGCTCTATCCAGTTACTAAATGCCTCTAAAAGATCATTCCACGTGTGTTCGATGTTTAATCGGTGTCTGTGTATGGAAGACCAAACGGCTCTTTATTCAGTGTTCTTAATTCTTAATTCATAGTCCCTAATTCTTATGTCTTCATTTGTCATTGTATTTCAGGACTATAAATTAAGAACAACGAACTAACAAACTGAGTAAAGGGCTGTTCCGCGATGCTACTTAATAATACTTATACACTGTCCCCTTTTTATTATACAGGTAATTTATTTTTGGTGGCGAGGATTCATTTTATATGGACATGGATCCAGTTCGGAAAACCCTTCTGTTACGTCATATTTCCCCGTCGTGATGCTTCTGTGTCCAAGCATTCAATGATTTTGGTCCGTGTGGATCACTTTATCACAAATCGTTTGATTAATTGTATAGGGAAAGTATGCCGTGTAAAATAGTTTAGGCATTTTAAAGAGGAATTTGTGATTTTTATTATTTTAATGTAAAGAATGTTAAATTTCACAATTTCTATCTTCTGGTAAGAGAGGATCTTCAATCTTTGTTAACGGAACACCTTCCCAAATTCCCTGAAAAAAAAATCAGCATGTTAATAAAATAAAACCAGGCCCCAAGTTCACAAAGTATTCTCAGACTTAAAGGGACTATCCCGATTTGAACAGAGTCTCAAAAATAAAAGTCTGAGTTCGTATGAAATTTAAGCGCCAAAATATAGAGGAATGGTGTATTTACCCTGGATCAAAAATTCAGCTCAAAATATTGAGTTGTTTGAACGTGAACGTCAAAAATGCTTATCTGGACACGTAACCATTTTGAGATTTCTGGTCATTTTTTTCGTTGGGTGACCTGATAATCTATCGCCGTTCCTTTAGAGGTCTATACAGTGAATGACCCATGTGCCGTACTGGATAACGAAACGTTAATTCCACCTACGCATTGTTTTTATAAAATAAAAGTCTGTTTTATCCAGACGACGCATAATACAGCTTGAGACCCCGGTCTCCATTTCCAGATGAAGACTGACGGGTGTAAGTTGTTTGAAAACATATCACAAATATTGAATTAGTTGATCGGCCCTTAGGTACGGGATATTTAAGGTGTTTTAACAGTTTTATTCTCCAAAATATTATCGGGATTGGCCCTTTAAGTTAAGAATTTACTTAAAATTGTTCGCCTTATTTTAACTAAAATATAGTCCTTTATAAAACTTTTGTTGTTTTAATGTATCAAATACATCAATAAGGAACTATGTGCAAATTTTTGTGTATCTGGATCCAAGATATTTCTCATAAAAAGTGAACGAAAGTAGAGTAAATTCTTAAGTCTGAGAATGCTTTGTGAACTCGGGGCCAGTTAGCAGTTACTTGAATGGCCGTCCATAATGACGTTACTGAACATCCACAGGTAAAATAGGTCTGGGTGAGATTGACCACAATACTGACCACAGTCTGGAGAGTTTCAGGTGAAATCCTGACCTCAATTTTGAATTCTTTTTAATGGGTATGATAACTTACTGGAAATCTTTGACCATTCGATTGATTACACTGCATGGATATTGGTGATGTTTGATAGGCATAATTCAGTATATTGACATTTTGTGGTAACCATGGTATAACACCATAATTATGCTTAATACCCCTATCAGGTGATATAGGTACACGTTCCATTCTGAAATATATAATGATGTAATTTACAAGTGTATTAACTGATATATTCGACAGTAAAATATGTATAATGTTATTGGAGACTCATAAATGACAACTACAGTAGTGTGATATTAATGGATGATAGAGAAAAAGAGAGAGAAAGAAATGGGGCTTAACGTCCACTCGACACAAACTAGGTTATTTCGGGACTAGCGTATCGTAAAATTGTATTTCAACAATTCGCTTGCGCGCAGGGGTCTTTAGCAGTGAGAGGAAAGCGGAGGACTGGGAGAAAACCCACAAGGTTGAACAGGCGACTCTAGTCATTGTCACGTACAACCGGGGAATCGAAACTAAACACTATAGTATTTCCATAATATTCTGCTCTAAACCTCCATTTGGCGGTCTTCACCTCGGCTTATCTTACGTCACCTACCACGGGAGTTGGGTATTCGAATGGTCTAACGAGTGCGCTTTAGATTATAAGGCCTGAATCCGTACGTAACTAACGTACGAAAATTAATTGGCGGCTAGCTTTTTTTTCGCACGTATACAGTGAATGGCCATTTTGCTCAGTAATCCCAGCCAGAATGTGGCTATTTTCTAAATTTGCGTTAAAGTTTAAAATATTTGTTTTAGAACTGAAACACATTAACTATTAGTCAATCCCAACGCTAAAAACATCAACAGAATTGATTGTGTATATCTGAAATAGACCCGACCGACGCACAAAATAGTGCAATATGGCGGCCTCTTTGAACAACCCTCGCAGACGCTGTCATTAAAGACAACGTCAATTCTATGAGTTGTAGATGTTATTTTTGTGAAAAATCATTGGAAGAAGAGAGAACATGTTGGGACTGTACGAATTATATAGTCTTTATGGGTGCAACGGACACGATGCTGAAGATAAACCTATTGTTTACAATCTTGACCTCATGACCCATTAACGCCAATGTCATGACCTGTGATGTGTAGATCACGTAATATGGATATCATGGCTACTGACTGGGTCTGAGATACTTCTCCGCAGGTGGCGTGTCTCAGATGTTCAGAATGGCCTGAATCATGAGGTGTTGTTTTGACTCCAAGCTTGTACATGACAAGGAGTACCCTTTTTAATGCAGCAATAATTAAATAGCAAAACATGAAACAAAAAGTTTACCTGTTCATAAAATAGAAGAAATTTTGCAGGGCGTTGTCACTAATGGAACTTTTACAGACTTCTAGATCGACTTTAGGGTAATAGTGGATATAATTAACACACATTTCTTCTGTTATAGAAAAACCACCCTGTAAATAAAACCATCGTTATACAGTTCATGTTTAGACCTTCCCGATAGTTGCATTGAGAGAGGGAGAGAGAGAGCAACGAAGGGCGGGAAGTGTTCTCAGTGGTGCTATAAATATGACGGACAAGGTATATCTATTTTTTTTATGGTCGACAATTTTTTCACGGGGCATTGGGTGGGGGGGGGGGGTGCGAAACTTTTTGCAGCTAGGGGTCCCCTTAGTTACGGGCCTGATTTCGGGACCAACATATGGTTCAACTTTATTTCAATAATCCGCTTGCGCGTAGGGGTCTTTAGCAGTGGGAGGAAACCGGAGGACCCGGAGAAAACCTACGAGGTTGGACAGAGTTGTATTAAAGATGTGTGAGGAAGATAAAAATTGTGGTAAGCATCTCATTATCCCTGAGAATAATATTTAAGGTTTGAGAATTATGACTTTAATACTGGTATCTAGTCTCATCGGAATCTAGCAGAACACCGAGGCCGATCATTACATCTAGAGAGTGTACACTCTTCACATTCCCATCCGACGTGAGAGACCAAATAGACGGCCTATTTTCTGAGTAGGATGTTAAACCCCATTTCATTTCTATTTCTTAAAGGTATTATTTGGGATGATTTAAAGGGACCATCCCGATTTTAACAGAGTCTCAGAAATAAAAGTCCGTGTACGTATGAAATTTAAATGCCAAAATATGGATGAATGCTGTATTTACCTTTTTCTGAAAATATCAGCTCAAAATATTGAGTCGTTTGGAGGTGAACTTCAAAATCGTGTATCCGGACTAGTAACCCTTTCAAGATTTCGGGTCAATTTTTTCGCTGGGTGACCTAATAATCTATTGCCGTTCCTTTAGAGGTCAAAATGGTGTGTGATGCATGTGCTGTACTTGATAATGAATGGAAAATTTCGCCTACACGTTATTTTTAGAAAATAAAAGTCTGGTTTTATCCAGACACCGTATCATATAGCTTGGGACACCGGTCTCCATTTCCGTATGAAGACTGACGGGTTGAAGTTGTTTGGCCAGGTATCACGTACATTGAATTAGTTGCTCGGCCCTAAGGTAGAGGTTTTTAAGGACTTTTCACACAAAATTAAGCAGTTTTATTCTCCAAAATATAATCGAGATTGGCCCTTTAATACAACAGTATAGAGTTACCTAAACATCCACTTACGTATGTAACATTAGATCTAGAGAGGGTACTATCTTCACATTCCGTGATGAGAGCATCGCCGGGTAATATATTAGCAAGATGGCGCAAGACTCTAACTTCTTGAAAGTGGGGACTGTAATGGTTATCCCTGTTCACTTCCGGGAGTTCACGGCCATTACGCACATGCTTCGTCCACACCCTTTTCCCGGTCAGATGAGTATGTAACTGGGAGGCGAAGATGTTAATACCACCACGGGGAAACGCCTGAAATAAAAACACAATCACAAGATTCAAACACAAAATGACAGGGGCAAATATTAAACATGCATTATGCAAGAGCTAAATCTGCCTATTGCAGGTCTTTCTTTAGGCCTGAAATGTTTTCTAAAGTATTAATTAGACATTAATTAACTGATCCAGGCCTTAATCAACTCTCGATGGCATCAGATTTCTCCGATATTAAATAGATTAGTGTGGTTCAGCGATACTTTGATTTAATCAAATATGGAGGACCGAGACTTAGCTTCGATCAACCAGTACGGTGGTTGAAATTATTGCACACGTCTGTCAAACCTTCAAAGGCTAATATCTTCGCTTGCAATAGAGTAATTTGAATGAAATTTTCAAATTATTCATTTTACATCATCTACTTTCGAACTATTATAGCAAGAATGGCCAGTTCTTTATCTAGATCTTACATAATGTATCTTTAATGTACAGAAATCTATTTAAGAAGGGTTGAATATCTTTGATCTGCACGGAAACTGCCACAGCGAATAGTTATGTCAATTTTTTAATGTTCATTTAAATTTTGAATATGATTTGTGTATATCTTCTATAACACATATTTGCAATATTTGGGTGCTATGGACAAACGAAACGCCCTTATCGGTTCTAGTCGTTGGTTAGTAGGACCGGGATAGCGTCCATATCTAATTGGCCGTATAACAAAATAAAATAAAAAACATCTGACGTATATATTCATGCTACCTACCGCCTGAGTACATTCTGCTATACAGTAACCCGAGAGTAAAAATCTTGTTTGTTCTGGTGGTATTGCCATTTTATCTGTATATTCTAAACCTAACTCCATTATACCCATATCATACTGTCTTAAAGTTGGTGATACATAGAACCTAATACCTGAACTATCTACATGACCTGTAATAATATATATATACATGTATAATCTAATACATGAACTATCTACATGACCTGTTATAATATATATAGAACCTAATACCTGAACTATCTACATGACCTGTAATAATATATATAGAACCTAATACATGAACTATCTACATGACCTGTAATAATATATATAGAACCTAATACATGAACTATCTACATGACCTGTAATAATATATATAGAACCTAATACATGAACTATCTACATGACCTGTAATAATATATATAGAACCTAATACATGAACTATCTACATGACCTGTTATAATATATATAGAACCTAATACCTAAACTATCTACATGGCCTGTAATAATATATAGTTCTGTTGGTGATATATAGAAGACCTATAATACCTGAACTATCTACACCATGACCTGTTATAAAACAATAATGGTGAAATAAAATAGGAAATGACGGTCTCAGAGTTTGGACAGAACCCCACCCAACCCACGTGCGCCCCCTCGAAAGTTACGCCGCTGCTTCAACACAATTTGAAGGTTATATGGAGACTAAGACCATGTTTCTGTGGTTACGTGTTCGCCAATTCTTCTTTGAATTTTAGCTGCCCGTTTCAATCTGATAAAACACAGATCCTATTCTGTTTGTTTTTTTATAGTTCAAAATTTCGTTATACTTGTCTTCATAACACTTCATAACGGTCTGTTACGACGAGTTCTTTACGTGATCTGCACGGAACTGTGGGTAAACCAATAGAAACTTCAACTCCGATTGATTAATCAATGCCTGACGTCATAGGGTCAAAAACCGCTCGTATGACCTCTGACACGACCTCCCACTAGAACTAGTGAGATATTCACGTAGTAGAGGCCATCGAAAGTATAATATATAGATCTATAGTTTAATCAGATTGGCTGTCAAGGCGGCAACTTGCAGGACGGAGGGGCTAACAAGGAAAACTGTCTAGTCGTTCGGGTGGGACGAAAAACCGAGGTCCCGTGTACACATTGGCGTGCACGTAAAAGATCCCTTGGCAGTTGGAATTCGATATAAGAGTAGGCTGTAGTGCCGCTGTCCGGGCAAAATTTCCCTCATAGCACACTGTATGGCGTATGCCCGTCTTCATTAGCCCAGTATAGGAGCAGAAAAGTAGGACGTTAAACTCCATTTCATTTCATTTCATTTCCAAGGCGCCAACTATAACAAATCGGAACCGTTCTTGAAAAAAAATATAACACGGTGATCGATAGTAGTATTAACCTGACTGATCGGAATAAAATCGACGATATTTTCATCTGTAATGTTGGAACTAAATAATATAATAACATTTATAATATTTTGTAAAACAAAACGACAACCTCATTTCTTTCAGAAATGATAACTGTTTCTCTGTAATGCCAGGTTTCCACTGTCGTGTGATGTGTTATGATAGGATTGTTCCTATTGAGTTCACGATCTGGTACGTACAGATGCGTTCGGATACGTTTCGATTACTACGACTGGCCACAATTATACGTTAAAGGCTCAATACCACCCTTGTTGTAACTGAATAATATGTCCCAATCTTTATTCTGGTCAACAAATTGTACTATTTTGGAATATTTCAATTAATTGATGATACAAATTTCATCTTAACACACCTTATTTAAAAAATTTGAAAAATTCAACATAATGGTTTGAAACGTCTAACGTAAACCTTTTCAAATGAAACTTCGATTTAAAAATATTTTCGAACCCTCTGGACAAGTAAAATAGGATGTAATGGGTAATTTACACAACAGGTAGGACACTTAAACATCTAGTACTTAGATAGAGATATTATTTATTTCCTGGGGCTTTCAAGCCAGCAAGAGTGTTATTGTCCCTTTAAGACCTGATAGGATCGCGACGATTACTCTACGATTAAAACCGCGATTTCAATCGTAGCACGAATCGTGATAGTGAAAACCTAGCATAATGTCGAATGAACAGTTTTGATATTTTCTCTACATCTAGCATTAAGCTAAATTAATGATTTAGTTTGATTTGTTTGAATTCAATTCTTGAAAATCACATGTAGAATCTTTTGACAGATGAATTATTTGAGATTTACCTGTTCTAAGATGTGGATTGTGATAATGAACTTCCAGTAAAATAAAGGGAGAGAACCCTTCGCCTCCTATCGGGGAACCAGCTTCTTCTGGATAAATGATTGGCTTTAATGTAAGAATAAACAATCTAATTTAATTTTTTTTAAAAATATTTCATATTTAAACGCCACATAAAAGATTTGGGCAAATTGAAATGCTCGTACCGGCCATATCTGGCCTACGGGATACGAGATCTTTCCTTGGTAAAATAATGAACAAGTCAGACATACTGAAATGAAATGAAATGAAATGGGGTTTAACGTCCTACTGTTCTGCTCCGACTGGGCTAATGGATATGGGCATACGCCATACAGTGTGCTATGAGGAAAATTTTGCCCGGTCAGCGGCATTATGGCCTTCTCTTTTATCGAATTCCAACTGCTAAGGGATCTTGTACGTGCATCTTGTACGTGCTCGAACGACTAGACAGCTGTCCTTGTCAGACATACTATACTTGAATTCTTATCTATTACACTAAGTTGTTTTACCCACCTCAGCACCCATAGCCCAAGCCCCAATCACGTTCCTACAGCTAGCTAAATCTGATGTTGGATCCATTTTACCCTCGGGAACTTTGGGGCCACTGTATGGATGAACATGTTTCCTTCCAACACAATGAAAGACCTCGATATGGTGTACAATATCTTCGTTCTCTTTCTGTATAACTCCTTCATACTAATAATAAAACATAATGTATCAGAATAATATTTGATGTTTTCGGAAATGGCAACACTAAAAAAAGTATTAGTTTGGAATTGGAGAACATTAAGCATCTTAAATTAGAAAGTTTCTTAAAAAGTAATCATTTTACATGGTAGAATATCTTAGAAAGTAAACATCGTAAATGGGAGAACATCTTAGAATGTAAACACCTTAGACAGTAAACATTTTACATGGTAGAATATCTTAGAAAATAAACATTATAAATGGTAAAATATCCCAGAAAGTAAACATTTTAAATGGAAGAATATAATAGAAAGTAAACTTCTTAAATGGGAGAATTTCTAGGAAAGTAAACATCTTAAGTAGGTGAATTTCTCAGAAATGGTAGAAAGTGAACATCTGAAAAGTTAACATTATAAATGGAAGGAGATCTTAGAAAGTAAACTCCTTAAATTAGAGAATATCAAGGAAAGTAAACATCTTAAATCGTAGAATATCAAGGAAAGTAAAATAAACATCTTTAATCGTAGAATATCAAGGAAAGTAAACATCTTAAATTAGAGAATATCAAGGAAAGTAAACATCATAAATTAGAGAATATCTTAAATGGTAGAATATCTCAGAAAGTAAACATCTTAAATTGGGGAATATCTTAGAAAGTAAACATCTTAATTACTATAACAGTTTATAATGTATCATAGGTTCTATACTTACTCTAACAATATGATGTTTATGATGTAATATAGGTAATGTTGTTATAAACCACCAATAGGTTGTCTCACTACCTGGTATTTTTACCTTAAAATGATGAGAAAATCATTAAAGTCAAATAAGCTAGTAAGAGGCCAAATTAAATTATGCTATAGCTTGCCCGAGACGAAAAGAATGGTGAAGTTGGGCGCAGTTGTCTATTGTTAGCAATACGACGAGAAAAAACACACCAAATTTATACTGGAAATAAAGTTTACGGTTCCTGAAGCCAATCCCCCAGTTCCTGAAATAAAAGTTACTCCAATGTACATAAAATCCGATAAACCAGAGAAGCAATAAACCATAGACGGAAGGGTTCAAACAACTTTACTTCTGCTATATCACCTAGGTGTAAACGGACGCAATCTGATCAAAATACAGATCTATATTTCGTTTCGTCTATTTATACTTTCGATGGCCTAGACTACATGAAAATCTTACCAGTTGTACTGGGAGGTCGCGTCAGGGGTCATACGAGCGGCTATTGATCCTAGAACGTCAGACACTGATTAATAGAGACTTTTGGCAAGTGGAATTTTTCCCATCCGTATAACGTATCCGTATCGTCACGTGATACGTTCCGTTAATTTAGCCTACAAATTCCTGAAGGGAGTAAAGTCGTTCGACTTTCGCGGAGTTATTTAAAAAAAAAAAAAAAAAAAAATAGTGTCGAATCTTATTAAAAATAAAGGTCCCACCTCCCTAAATTTAGCATGTAGATCAACAAGCGTGCATACAGATAGGAAAATATGAAAATTCCGCGAAAATCTCATCCAAAGTAATAATTAAATTCCAGTCTTTGCCATGGTTAAAATCACATCAAATATACACCTTCGTTCTAGGATAGACATATATAGATTCATAAAAACGCTACGACACAACATTTCAGCGTCTAAAAGTAGCAAAAAAGACGACGACTTTTTCCGTATTAAAGCTGTTCGATAAGTGCTGCCGTATCCGTGTGCCGTATCACGTATGAGAAATACACACGAATTGATGACGTCACACGCAAAATCATTACGGATACGCGATACGGACCAGGAATTTACGCTTGCCAAAAGTCTCTATTAAATTAGCGTTGACGTTTCGCCGTAACAGACCGTTTCACTGGCTAATTCCTCGCATCAACTAAAACGCCTGTTATATAACAACTCTTCCAAATCCTAGTGTTGTGAAGACAAGTAAAACGAAATTTTGTAATATTAAAAAAACGAAACGAAATAAGATCTGTGTTTTAATCAGATTGAAACGGACGTAAAAGACAGGGAAATGCAAACACACTTAATTTTATATTTGGCACTCAAATGGCTGAAATTTATACTTGACCTGACTCAATAAAAGGAAAAGTTAATCGTTTAATTTATCGAAATGTATAAAACCATTACGAACGGTGACCTAATTTCCCTACCTTTGGTGCTGTAATCTCAAATGTCCAGACATCTGTAGGTAGAGGAGGTAGGTGGACGTCTGGTTTTAATAACTGGACTCTTTGGAACCCATGGTGTAAATCTCTGACGTCTTTCCCTACGCACGTGGAAGGTGTTCCTTTTGACACAAAATATACAATATGTGTTGTACCATTCTGAAATCGTAAATAAACATAACATGGAAGGGGCTATGAAAGTATTTCCAGTGCAGTAAAAAATTCTCAGTTTTATTAAATACCAAAAATAACTTTTAATTGGAACATTTAAGTATACAATTCAAACGCGAAATTGTGAGGAAATAGCTTATTTCATCTCAAAATATGGAACCGTTTGGAAATGATCGCCTAACGGTTACGAAACTATTTTGTCGTTTTCGACGCTTTCGGTTGGTGACCTGACTACTTGTGCATGGAATGGCCTGGTGAATGCTATTGTAATCTGCAAAATTATCTTTCTCGAAGGAAACACCAGAAAACAAAAAGAAAATTATAGCGTGATTTTCTCACTATGAATGCATTTGAGTTAGGGGGGTTGGATGGCTGAATGGTTAGCCTGCGCTTGAGTCGACTGGAGTGGTTTCGAATCCCCGGTTGTACGTGACAAGGCGTAGGGTCGCCTGTCCAACCTCGTGGGTTTTCTCCGGGTCCTCCGGTTTCCTCCCACTGCTAAAGACCCCTACGCGCAAGCGAATTATTGAAATAAAATTTTAAAAAAACCATATGTTAGTCCCGAAATGACCTAGTCTGTGTCAAGTGGACGTTACACCCCATTTCTCTCTCTCTCTCTCTCTGGTCGCCTGTCAAACCTCGTAGGTTTTCTCCGGGTCCTCCGGTTTCCTCCCACTGCTAAAGACCCCTACGCGCAAGCGAATTATGTAAATAAAATTAAACCATATGTTAGTCCCGAAATGACCTAGTTTGTGTCGAGTGGACGTTAAACCCCATTTCTCTCTCTCTCTCTCTCTCTCTCTCTCGCATTTGATTTATATACCTGTTTATTCGGGAGCCACGGTGGCTAAATAGGTAAGAGTCTTAGACGCTGACTCGCTAGCCCGGAGGTGTTAATATCTGAATCTTTTCTTTGTTGAGCCACTAAGATGGCAGTGTCCAATCGGTTCTGTGAGTATGTGGCTGACGCACTAATCACAAGGTTCCGGGTTCCATAGAGTTTTCAGCCTGGTTTCTCTTCTGCAACAGTACATAGCGTAGGGCCTGACAAGTACACTAGTCTAGTCGTACGGATAGGACGAAAACTCACCTAAGGTCCCATATATACCATTGTCAGCACGTAAAAGATCACGTGACGCTTAGAAATCAAAGTAAAGGTAGGTGCTATCGCTGCTGCAAGGACAAAATGTTTTTCGTGGCCATCATCATTATCTCGGTTGGTTCAGAAAAGTAAGTCGTAAAACCACATTTCATGTCACAGAATCGTTTTACAAAACCCAATAACTTTGTTGTTAATAAAATATAACCTTATAAGAAAGTTAAATTTACGTACATCCAGGAGATAGTCTCGTTCATCACACGTATCAAATGGTCTAGTATATTCTAATATAGATAAACCATCCTCGGTTCGTGCTCTATGCAGGGTATAATCCAGGGAATGGTCGGCATGCAATACACCATTACTGTCAGTATAAGAATCCTGCAATAAAACAACTCTTATTTATACAACTTGTAATACAAAATCGCGAGAAAAGATTCCCGAAGCAATAGAACAACTCTTATTTATAATACTTGTAATAACAAATCGCGAGAAAAGATTCCCGAAGTAATTTTGAAAAGGCACGCGAATTTGATGGTGGTATATTAAATTCAAAATTTGTTAATGTCGTGCTAATTTCTAATTTCTATTCGTGTAATTTCTAAATTAAGACAATGTATAATCCAATTTCTTATTTTGTTCAGCGTAAATTTTAATTCTATTTCACCTTATTTCAATCATTAAGAATGTTTAGCATGAATATCGAACAAATTTATGAAGTCGTTTGGTGTCGCCACTGCGTGCTGAATTTGGTGATTGAGCACCTGATCGGAAAAATTGTGCAGGATTTGGATATTTTTATTTGATTTTTTTTTTACAGTTGAGCCATTTACATATATACTGTTGATCTATATTCTATTACTGCGCTCAAAAAATGTCACCTTATAATGAGAAACGTTTCCTTGAAACGGTTCAAGGATATACCATTTAGAAACCCCAAATAAACAGCCTTTAAAGGAGACCGGGATAATCTGTGTATGTTGATAGAGAAGACGTTTCTATTTCTAATGCATTATTACACGAATAGAAGTCAGAAATTAGACGACAGCACAACACTAACTAATTTAGAATCTCGAATCTATTATACCGCCCTAAAAATTTGCTACCAGAAACAGGTTTATCTCGATTGCCAACATAAATATTTAGACATCATTTTTGGCTATTTCATGCGTTCTCTTCATCAAATGTTTTATTGATTGAGCAACATATATTGAAATAAATTGCTTAAATTAAATTTAGTGGTAAGGCCCAGGGCCCTGTTTCTCGAATTTTTTACAAAAGATAAAATCCAATTTTAGTAGATACTTCAATTTTGATTGGCTAAACACTAAAATCAATCTAATATTATCCAATCAAATTACTAAAATTTGGATTTTATCTTAGTTAAAATTTCGTGAAACAGGCCCCAGATTGTTAACTACAGTAAATGCTTTTTAAAATACTATAATAGTCTAAGAATTTCAGGCCGTTGATTATATAGTCAGACATAAAATTTGACATGGCAGCAAAAGTAGGTATGTACAATATTTAACACAATTTGACTATGTCAAACACGAAAAATATGTTACTAACTTGAATGTTGTTGTTTTTATGTCGTCTTTATTAGCCCAGTCGGAGCAGAATAGTAGGACGTTAAACCCCATTTCATTGTCTTTGCTGTTTTTATTTTTTATGACCCTACTTTATTCCCCATAAATTTGTGTTTTATTTCCTAAATTTAGTTACCAAGTTTAAGTCATAAAATATCCCGGGTATCGCCTTGTTAAGGTGGGGGGGGGGGTCACGGTGGCTAACTGGGTAAGACGCTAGCGCGCTAGTCTGGAAGTCGGGTGTCCGATCCCTGTATCCAGATTTTCCGGCGTGGTTCCCCCTTGTCAGTGATGCGTGACGAAGGGCCTGACAAGGACAGCTGTCTAGTCATTCGGATGATACGAAAACCCGAGGTCCCGCGTACACATTGGCGTGCACGTAAAAGATCCTTTGACAGCTGGAATTCGATATAAGAGTAGGCCGTAGTGCCGCTGTCCGGACAAAATTTCCCTCATAGCACACTGTATGGCGGTTGCCCGTCTTCATTAGCCCACCTCGGAGCAGAACAGTAAGACGTTAAACCCCATTTCATTTCATTTCATTGTTAAGTAAGGTCGCTGATCGTCATCTTTCGGACAATATTTAATTTTTAAAGGTTTAAACAACCCCAAAATGTCAACGGTAGATAATCTTCCATCAGATACCTGAATTAATTAATGTCTTATTGGTAAATAAAGAATATTAAAACCAATACCTTGAGTAAACAACAATATTACCTGTAAATGGTGAGTAGATACAGGATCATTCCAAAACACAACAAAATCAGCATCAGTTACCTCCCCATAATCGGAAAATCCTACACCAAACCAATAATTTGGCGGGAGTTGGCAAGTTACCCGGATGGAAACCGTTCTGTTAGAATAGTTAACGTTCCAACAAAACATTAGTTTAGAAGTTATATCCAGCATCACGTGATATTTGTATCCCTCCATTAGTCGTTTCATTTTATTCATATCCATACCCATTTCATTATGTGACATTCCCATATCCATGTCCATTTTCATGTCCTTGCTCTTTGTCATGTCCATTTTCATGTGCTTACTCTTGGCCGTGTCCATTTTCATTCCTGTCAGCTTTTTTTTGTCCATTTTCCGGTTCGCCATGTTATCCATGTCCATTTGCATGCCCAATATCTCATTCGTGTCCTTGCTAAATTTTCTGTCAATGTCCATTTTTTTGTCCCGACTTGTTTGCATTAATTTATTCTTTTCGATTTTCCTCTCTAAATTAATTTTATTGCGCTCTGTCGTCTGTAAATCATCTCCCAAACTTTCTCCTAAATGTTCGTCATCGATATTCTTTCTTTTATCAATCTCCCCGATCTGATTCGATCTTAAAGAATGACTACTGGGCGATCTTAAAGAATGACTACTAGGCGATGTTAAAGAATGACTACTAGGCGATCTTAAAGAATGACTACTAGGCGATCTTAAAGAATCACTAGTAGGCGATCTTAAAGAATGACTAGTAGGCGATCTTAAGGAATCACTACTAGGTGATCTTAAAGAATCACTAGTAGGTGATCTTAAAGATTTACTACTAGGCGATGTTAAAGAATGACTACTAGGCGATCTTAAAGAATGACTACTAGGCGATCTTAAAGAATGACTACTAGGCGATCTTAAGGAATCACTACTAGGCGATCTTAAAGAATCACTACTAGGCGATCTTAAAGAATCACTACTAGGCGATCTTAAAGAATCACTACTAGGCGATCTTAAGGAATGACTAGTAGGCGATCTTAAAGAATCACTACTAGGCGATCTTAAAGAATCACTACTAGGCGATCTTAAAGAATCACTACTAGGCGATCTTAAAGAATCACTACTAGGCGATCTTAAGGAATCACTACTAGGCGATCTTAAAGAATGACTACTAGGCGATCTTAAGGAATGACTACTAGGCGATCTGAAGTATCCGTTTAAGGAATCACTACTAGGCGATCTTAAGTATCCGTTTAAGGAATCACTGCTAGGCGATCTTAAGTATCCGTTTTCACCAAGATGATTACGGGCTACTTTTAAGTAATCACTTCTAGACGACACATCTGCTTCTTTAGAATTAGCATTCTTCTGTTTAAAAGTTTTGAAAATGTCTTTTAGCTTTTCTTTTGGGTTCCCCTTAACGTTTCTATGAAGTTTAATGGAATTCATTTTCAGCTTGACGCTATCATTGTGTTGGTTTTTATCTTGCATTCCACTGTGGTTTTTGATCAACTGTTTTTGACGATTCCGCTCTTTGCTATGCGTTTTTCTATAGACATATTCATTAATGGCTTCCTGTTTTAACAGTTTTCCTCTTAAAGTTTTCAGTTTTTCTCTTAAACGAGATAACTGTTTAGGTGAATCGGAATACCACAAATTATTCTTTAATATAAATTTATCTACCTTAATTTTTTTATATTTTGATTTTAGTCTCGGTGGCTCTCTCGGAGCATTGACATTTTGAGGAATTTCCACTGAATATTTGAAAGTCGGCTCATTATCATCAGTGGACAGACTGTTAGAATATTTATCGTTCTCTAACCACAAATGTGTTTTTATGTCCTTTTGGTCACCTTTCCGCGGCCATGTTATCTGCGGAAAATCACCCGCATTGATATATTCGTAGGGACTCCATTCGTCTGAGTGTTGGCGCCTTAAACTACGTCCTTTAGACCTGGGGTAGCTTTGTTCGTAAACATCAAACGTTTGACCGCCACAAACCATCAGCAGAAAAATAATGGCACAGTTTTTTAGACCTGTAGTCATTCTAATAATTCTCTTTCTACAAACAGATTAATAAATCTTCAATATTTCGTTATTTAGATTTTCTGGAGACTCTTTCTACAAAATAAACCCGAAAATAGTCATTAATAATTCTCTTTCTACAAAACAGATTAATAAATGTTAATATATTTCGTTATTTAGAAAGGTACACTCTTTCTACAAAACGCATTGATAAATCCGAAAATATATATATTTTTTTGCTAACTATAGATATTACCAGACTCCTTTCAAAAAACACATTAATGTATCAGAAAATGTTTACCAAAATTCTTGTAAGTTTTTTTTCAACTATGTAGATTTTGCGAAGACTCTTTTTACAAGAAATTCATAAAATAAATAAATCGGAAAAAAAAATTCATAAAAATTCTCCAACGGTATTTTCCTTTCGTTATCTAAATTTTGCGGACTCTCTTTCTAAAAAAAACTACATCAATAAATCACAAAAAAAGGTTCACTAAAAAAAAACCCCGTTCGTTCATGTAGCGTAACAACGGATCCCAGCTACGTTGATAGTCTTTTCGATATGTAGATTTTGTGGAGATGTGTTCGTTATATATCCCACCAAAATAACTACTTGACCAAATTACTGACACTAGAACATACAGGTAACAATTCTATGGAATACAATTACTGCTTATTACTGAGCGAGGTGACCTGTATATTCCAGTTCAATTACTAAATGCCATTGAAACAACAAATCACTAGAAATGGTTTATAACAGCACAAAAAAAAAACCCCACAAAAACTTACGTTTATGACTTATCCAATATATAATCTATCGATTCAAGTATATCTAAAACGTTTAAAAAATATGTTTTACGTTTAAGAAACTTCTTATTCCCGGGTCATTTATGAATAACATCGTAGAAGAAAATCCTGAACGACTTTGGCAAGAATAGAAGCGACTGTGAATAGATCTAATTGATTGACGGGAATAACTGGAGTCGAGGCGTTTAATATTAACATGCAGAATATCACTGACTTGTAATATCACTGGTTAAGGAGATAATATGTTAATTAATTTACACCCTGACTCGAGTGAAAATTACCAGGTAATTAAACGCAGGTTATTAATTAATAATGTTTAATTGTTCCCTTGTCCATTGTTGTACGTCATTGTTGAGATTCTGTGACTTTAATTGCAGATATCTCTGTGGTACTTATAAAGAAATGAAATGGGGTTTAACGTCCTACTGTTCTACTCCGATTGCGAGAGAGAGATGGGGTTTAACTTCGACTTGACACAAACTAGGTCATTTCAGGGCTAACACATGGTTCAGTTTTATTTCAATAATTTGCTTGCGCGAAGGGGTCTTTAGCAGTGGGAGGACCCTGAGAAAACTAACGGGGTTGGACAGGCTACCCTACTCCTTGTCACGTACAACCCGCGAATCGAAACCACGCCAGCTGACTTAATGAAAGACCTTATGATACAGCGCACACGTGCTAACCATTCGGCCATCCAACGCCCCTCGTTAGGAAGGACCCAGGATGGTATGTAACTGACCCGACATATACTAACACTGCGGTATGGTTGTATTGTATTTTATGTTCAACACAGCGTCGGGACCCATAAGGGTTTTTCCTAATAGAAATACACGAATGATTTATTGAACAGCCGGGCCCTGTTTCTCGATAAAAGATAAAATCCAAATTTTAGTAGATACTTCAATATTGATTGGCTAACCACTAAAATCAATCTAATATTATCCAATCAAATTACTAAAATATGGATTTTATCTTAGTTGATTTTATCTGGGTACAATTTCGTTTTACCAATCGAGGAGAATCTGTAAAGCAAGATTATCTCTTTGAACGGGAATTACCAAATAGATTACTCATAGAAATCGTGTTCTATTTCACCCGTGTTGTTGCTCAATAAATCCATATAATTAAAGGGTTAATTAATTTCATTTATTATTTATCCTTGTCCAAAGGTTATACAGATAGTGATTAATGTTTCATTTGACTTCTTATACCTACAATTACCTATACATACCATATGCTTAAATTACCTGAGTTTTGATTAATCCGAGGTGTTATGGTCCATATGGCTAAAGCACTGGCGTGGGTTCAAATAAAATGAATGAATGAAATAGGGGTTTAACGCCCTAATTCCCTGCTCCAATCGCGTTAATAAAGACGGGGATACGAAATGCAATGTTCTATGAAGAAAATGTGGCCGGACATCAACCGAATTCTAACTGCCATTGATTCTTTTTTTAAAACAATATTTTTACTCGGGGTGTCTGAATGGGATTGGAGAACAGGTTTAGCCTATGTAAACTATGGGACCTATGGGACCTTTTACGTACACACCCAGTTGTACACTGGAAATCAGCTGTCTAGTCGTGCGGATGGGACGAAAAACCAAGTTCCCATGTACAAATTGGCGTGAACGTTAAAGATCCCTTGACAGTTGGAATTCGATACAATAAGTGCTTTCGCAGACAAGTCGCTGTGCAGATTCTGATCCCCAGTCAGCATCACTACCTTGGTAAGTCGGACGAGGACCAACGGAAGAAGGGGGGGGGGTAACTTGAGGTATCCCCGATGTGCTTCCAGTGTTGTAGCCCCAACGCCACCGACAGCTCCAGCGCGAACGTCGATTATTGGAAAATAGGGAAGTATGTATCGTTATTAATCATACATTATGCAAGAGCTAAATCTGCCTATTGCATGTCTTTCTTTAAGCCTGAAATGTTATCTAAATTATTAATTAGACATTTATTAACTTATACAGACCATAGTCAACTCTCGATGTCACCGCTAGCCTGCTATATTTATTGGATTAGGATCCGATTTGCTGCTCAACTTAATCTAGATTTGGATAATCGAGACTATGTTTTTTTATCGTACCAACTTTAGTAATGATGATCGAGGCTAGGCCAATAAATCCAATCGCTTAATTCTAAGCCCAGATTAGATCAATTTGACTGAATTTTTTTTAGCAAATTATATTTACATTATCTAGTTTTTAACTATTATTGCGAGAACGGCCAGTTCTTTATCTAATCTTCCATAATGTATCTTTAAGTAGACATTAATTAACTTATCCAGACCATAATCAACTCTCGATGTCATCGCTAGACTGCGATATTTTCTGGATTAGGATCCGATTTGCTGCTCAACTTTCATTCATGATTTAATCATGAAATGGATAATCGAGACTATTTTTTTTTTGTACCGACTTTAATAATGATGATCGAGGCTAGGCCGAAAATTCAATCGCTAAATTCTCGGTTCGAGTAGATCAATTTGACTGAAATTTTCAGCAAATTCTATTTACATTATCTAATTTTTTAACTATTATAGTAAGCACTGTCAGCCCTTTATCTAATCTCCCATAATGTATCTTTAATTGTTTCGCAGGAAGATACTGAAATTATTTAGTGTGCTTTTTTGTTATCGTTGACATTTTTATTTTTATCACGATATCTGAGGTATTCTATGTTCGTGAACAAAAAATCTTAAAGATATTGAAAAGGAAATCTTGGAGTGATTTGTGAATTACTCGTAACGAAAAAAAAAACCTCCTCCCACTGAGACTATTATTATGAATAGAATGATTATCAACTGGAATGCGATTCTGACAATTCCAGATTCACAAATAATGGAAATGCAAATTGATTCTCGGTGTTTAAGAGTCTTGTAAGGGATTAATGTTAGTAGACGACGCTTTGAGTGATTCTTGACAGCGGCCGGTCACCTTGTTCCGGATTTTGGCGCCATTTCTTTCTTCCTAGCAACTGTCGTCTGTTAATATAGCACGCACTCCGAACGTGGGGACGATTTCCGTTAATCACTCATTCAATAAATTGTTTTCAAGCTCACGAGATCATAGATATCCGCTTCATTACGCCGAGGAAATGTTAGTGATTTAATAAATAAACAATGGTTTTCCTACAATTCCCGAATAAATGAACGAATAAACACTGTTTATTCGAGAAAAGATGGCGACACACAACTCGTTTCAGGAATAATAATTATTAGATGAACACAATCACGTCCACTCGACAACGACAATTCAATAATTCGCTTGCGCGTGGTGGTCTTTAGCTGCGGGAGGATCCGGGGGACCCGGGGAAAGCCACGAGGTAGGCGACCCTACCCCTTGTCACGTACACGTATGGGCTCGAAACCACACCACTTGACTCAACGACAGACCTTATACCAATACTAGCTAAAAACTATACAAAATACAACCACAACTACCTCAGTATTTTGTTTTTAAAAAAGTGGAATAGCGAGACATTGACTGTCATTTTGCCGTACAATTTTTGGCAAGTTTTGCACGAATTTATTTTTATTTAAAATACAGATGTGACGTCACCCTTTGATGTTGGCGTACCATTATTTCAAATAATCGTACGGGCAACTTGCCAATCGTACCTTGTCAAATATTAGACTCGAGTGACGTATTTCACTGTAAACGCACGTGCGGAGTGTCTGTATTTTAAGATGTTTAATGGTCTCGAGCTGAGACATTGCGTAATATATTGTAAAAACACTCGGACCTGACGGTCCTCTTGTTGTTACAATATATTACTTAATGTCTCGCTCTCGACCATTAAACAATACTTAAAATACAGATGTGACGTCACCCTTTGATGTTGGAGTATCATTATTTCAAATAATTGTACGGGCGACTTGCCAATCGTACATTATTTATACTAGCGAAATATTGGACTCGCGTGACGTATTTCACTGTAAAAGCACGTGCGTGGTGTCTGTATTTTAAGTTGTTTAATGGTCTCGAGTTTAAAACATTGCCCAACATCTTGTAAAAACACTCATGCCTGCAGCCCTTTTGTTTTTACATTACCTAATGTCTCCCTCTCGACCATTAAACAATACATAATTGTATTATTATGTTAGTTTTTCAAAATAATGAGCAATATTCTAGATGTCCTGTGTGTTTTTTCTCTATAACGTCATTCAATGCCAACAAACGTTATTTTGATAACCAATCAATTTAAATGGGCATTAGAGAGAGAGAGAGAGAAATGGGGTTTAATGTCCACTCGACACAGACTAGGTCATTTCGGGACTAACATATGGTCCAATTTTATTTCCTATTCGCTTGCGCGTAGGGGTCTTTAGCAGTGGGAGGAAACCGGAGGACCCAGAGAAAACCCACGAGGCTGGACAGGCGACCCTACTCCTTGTCACGTACAACCGGGGATTCGAAACCACGCCAGTTAACTCAATGACAGGCTTAATGATACAGCGCACACGTGCTAACCACTAAGCCATCCAACCCCCCTTAATGGGCATTAGGTAAGATTGGATAAAGAGCTGACAATTAGCTAATAGCTAATGAAAACAGAATATGTTATGTTGAAAATTTCAGTCAAATTGCTTCAATCTGAACCATTACATCAGCGATTCAGTTTTAGCCTAACCTCGAACGTCATTACTAACTTTGGCGCGTCAATAAACCAAATCTCGAGTATCCACTTTTACGTTAAATTATCCATCACAAAATGTATTCAAATCCACTAAATATCACATGCTAACGATGGCATCGAGAGTTGATTATGGTCTGGACAATAATTTAGATAACATTTCAGGTCTAAAGAAAGACCTGCAGTAGGGCGATTTAGCTCTTGCATAATGCATGTTTAAGAATGAAAGAGTTTTCAAAGGTATTTGAGAAATGTGGGAATTGATGTGGTTAGTTTTTATAACTTGATAACATATCTCTTTTAAGAAAAAATTCCTAATCCCAAACTTTTGTTCTCATAAATCTTCTATTTTGCATGAAGCCACGGTGACTCAGTGAGTAAGTTGCTGGCTTACTAACCTTGGGATCTAGGTTTCTTTCCTGGTGATGACCGAGAAAGTTTCTTGGATTTCCAGCGTGTTTCGCCTGTTGTGGAACATTGTCTACTCGTCTGCATTTCATAAAACCCATTTCATTTTATTTTCCCCCTTATCAGTGGTGCAGGACGAAGAGTCTGGCACGTACAGCTGTCTAGTACTTCGAATGGGACGAAAAAGGTCCCCTGGCAGTAGGAATTCGTTAAAAGAGTAGGCCATAGCGCAGCTGTCCAAGCAAAATTTCCCCTCACAGCACACTGTATGGCGTATGCCCGTCTTCATTAGCCCAGTCGGAGCAGAACAGGGCGTTAAATCCTATTTCATTTCTTTTTCATTTTATTTTCATTTCTTCTTTACCGTTTCTTAATACGTCTACTTTGCTTTTGAGTACTGAATTCTATATTGCGCATGCTTGCAATTGTTCTTACAAAAATCGTAACTAAAGTAAATAAGGTACTGACTGAGCCAAGCCGGGCATCATGCCAAACCGCGATATTGATCGACTTAGTTTTTGTATATTATTTTCTTTCCAGGTCTTGCGTCCGTAGTAATGGAGACACACAGCTGAGAAAAATACATTATCTTTAATCATATTGACAAGAACAAACATTAAAATAAATCTCAAAATATCATATAAAATAATTAATGTCATATACAGTATTTACAAATCACGGTGGTCATTAATATCAAATTAATTAATACCAATTTTCATGTGCTATACTGAAAATTTTAACCGCAGTATTTGGAAATAAGCTAAATTTTAACATGCGATATTTACAAATAACCTAAATCAATATTATTTTGAATTTTGCTTGTAAAATAAAAATCATTAGATTGTACCCCCCCCCCCCAAAAAAAAAACCAAACAAAAAAAAACAAACAAAAAAACCCCAAACAAACATGAAATATAATAAATATCATCTGTTTTAAGCGGATATTTTAAACATGAACTATTTACATATTATAAGTGTAGTATATTTTGTAATTATTCTAAATCTATATAAATCTTAAATACAGTTTTTACAAATAAAATCCTTAAGCTAATTTAAAATATCTTTAGCATGAACTATCTACAAATTGTAAGGTGCACTATTTATATTCTTAAGATGCAGTATTTACAAATAATGACGCTGGCTCGCTAGCCTGGAGGTCGGGTGTTCGATCCCTGCATTGGCGGGGAAAGTTCATCTGGATTTTCCGACGTGGTTTCCCCTTGTCAGTGGTGCAGATCGGAGGGCCTGACAAGGACAGCTGTCTAGTCCTTCCGATGAGACGAAAAACCGAGGTCCCGTGTATACATTGGAATGCACGTGAAAGATCCCTTGGCAGTTGGAATTCGATATAAGAGTAGGCGATAGTGCCGCTGCCCGGGCAAAATTTCCCTCATAGCACACTGTATGGCGTATGCCCGTCTTCATTAGCCCAGTATAGGAGCAGAACAGTAGGACGTTAAACCCCATTTCATTTCATTTCATTTCATTTACAAATAACAACATTGTGCTATAACTGAAATATTTGTTATGTGTAACAGATTAAAACGTCTGCTGAACAGTATTAAAACCATTGTGTCAAAGTGAATATTATGAACAGATTGATACATACATGGGATGGATTATTCATTGGTACAATAGGCCCGTGGCTAGCCCAAAAATGGGTGGGGGTAGAGGGCGGCTTCTACCTACACTTGACGGTCCACGGATAACGGCACCATGTACGCGTCTCCCTCCCCCCGCTTGGTACGGGCGAGTGCAATAGTTATCTTTCTTTAGTTTGGATTTGCATTTATTTCGTTAATCACATTGATAAGATAATGTTTATTTCATCAAAACACCAAACAGGACATTATAGAATACATACATACATAGTCGCGTGACACGTTCCCTAGTTCTATCATAGTTATTGTGATAGTTGCCACCCTTATGCATTGAATAGTCTTGGAGAAGAGACTATACACACAAACATAGAGACGAAATGTGATTAGATTACCATACAGCTGAGTAAAACTATTACATATAAACAAAATAGTATTACTAGCTGATAAAGCGTTCTAATTGATAAACCAATTAAAAGTCGATTAATTAATTAAAATTCAATAGACCAATTAAAAGTTGATATATCAAATAAAAGTTGATATATCAAATAAAAGTCGACATATCAATTAACAGCCGACATGCCAGTTAAAATCGACATACCAATTAAATTCGACCTACCAATTAAAACTGGATAAACCAATTAAAACCGAATAGACCAATTAAAAGTCGACATACCATTTAAAACTTGACATGTCAATTAAGTCGATAAACAAATTAAAAGTCGGTATGCCAATTAAAAGTCGAAATGTTAATTAATAGACTAATAAAAAGTCGACCTACAAATTAAAAGTCGGCCTACAAAAGTAGATATACCAATTAAAAATCTTTGATTTAGGTCATTATAAGATGATGAATTGTGCTGATCTGTTTCGAATGATTTTTTTTCCTTATTTTAATTTTATTATTGGCTTTCTGTGTTCACACAGAGATAAATTTTAACTATGGACGAAATGTTTATGAAATTATGTTTGAATCAAGACAGAATCAACATATAAATTCAAATTAAATGGGTAATTTTATCTTTCACTCAGATCGAAGAGGGAATAATATCTATAAAATATATCAACTATTTTCTATGTGTACTAATTAGATTCATAAGTAGGATTACTAAAACCTTCTGATAAAGAATTAGATGTTTTTTCTAGCTCTAAATCATACACATGTCGTCCGTTACGTCGTGGCCATCCTCTGAAAAAAAGACCAATAAATTAGTATAGATAATGTAAACGGGGTCTAATAGCTGCTCGCGTTTCCTTCTTCCCTTCTTGAGAACCAGTACTTAACGAAGCTTGCTGGAAACCGTCAGGATTTTTCTAGACACAGGCCGTGTCCAAAGGGATGGGTCAGATTTATTGAAATAATATCACAGTAACAAACGTGGAAAGCATTGTCGCGGTCTTTGGTTTCTCTAAAATATAATCCTACACAAGTATGCACCTAAATGATCAGACACATTGTCTCAGAACTTCTCAGTTGAAAATATTTCCAGGTAATCCCCTTGACTCTATCTTCATTTTAGACCACCCACTGTTCAAATTCCCGAACAGACACCGTATACACAATGCAACTTGTTACTATAGTTACATGTATAGTATCAATATTTTGATATTGGAAGAGTATATGTCCCCCCATCTTCGAGAAGTGCACATGTTCCCCCATCCCGGCAAGAACACACGCCCCCCCCCCCATCCCAGGCAAGACATGTGCTTTAAGTTTTTAGACCGTACACATTAATAATTATATTTATTAAAATTATGTAAAGTATCAATATTTTGATATTAAAAGAGCACATGTCCCCCCATCCTCGACAAGTGCACATGTCCTCCCATCCCAGGCAAGAAATGTGCTACAGAGTTTTAAGACCATAAGAAATGTGCTATAGAGTTTCAGACTTTACATGTTAATAATTACATTTATTAAAAATATTTTGGTCCCGAAATTATTGATTGGATAACATCATGTTTATATTTAAATAAATAGAGTGATGATAATTATATCTTTTCTGCACAAGCCGGCCCATTCTTTGTGAACGTTTTGTTTTATATTCCGATGAGATTTCACATAAAAATAGTCTTTTGGTTTTTATGACACCTTTGAACAAATTGGCTTACTGGGCCACTATAAGTACATATTTGTTTTACTTTTTAGACTTTTGTAAGCCATCTCTTGGGTTGCGTCTTTAATACTTGTATGTATTTTTGGATCAGGAACAGGGCCCAACCGCTTCTTGGGGCAATGCTCTTCCGAAAAAGCACAAGGCTCCGCCCCCTTGAAAATGGCAACTCATCACACGGTTGCAATACGGTTTTCAACATTATAATCGTAATCATAATGCCCAACCAGTATCAAACATATACATGTACTGTGGGTCAGATATGATACAAATCAACTCTAGCATGTTCCACATAACCCAATTAACATTACCCGGTGGCACTGGGAGGGACCACCCCCCACCCCCCTCCTCCGCACACACACATATAAGTATCTTTGGGGGGGGGGGGGAGCGGTATCTTAATCCTCATGCAAAATCATGGGTCATCACTCCCCTGACACAATCGACATGAACCGTGGAGTGTGTATGAAATAGCTTTATTTAACGTCCGCTTCCACCGAGGTGATATCGAAGACAAGTGAACCGTAGAATGCTTATTGGGCCTTTAATAACAGGAAGTTATGGGCTATAAGATGCTAACTTACCGTTTAAATATCAGTAAAGTGATTGACAGTATTATAACTATAATAATTATACCAGTTACTGCCCCTGCTACTATAGGTGTTGTAGATGAAGAAGATGGAGATGAGGGATTGGAACTTTGTTGATTTGGTTTATTTTGAGTAGAACTTGTGACTGGAGAATAAGCTAAAAGTTTTGTTTTTTAAAAAAAAGTTATAATTATTTAGTTATCTTCTACTTTGTCTTTCAGTCCGGCATGTGTGTGTGAAATTACATGGTCTGTTATTGAGTCAAGTGGCATGGTTTCCATTACCCGCTTGTACGCTTGTACATGACAATGAGTAGGGTTGCCTGTCCAACCTCGTGGGTTTTCTCTGGGTCCTCCGGTTTCCTCCCACTGATAAAGATCCCTGCGTGCAAGTGATTTTATTGAAATAAAATTGAATATGTTAGTCCCGAAATTACCTAGTTTGTGTCGAGTTGGCATTAAAACAGAGGTAAGTTTAGTTTAACGCCCACTAAACACAAACTAGATGATTTCGGGACTAACATATGGTACACTGGACTCTAGTGTTTTCCTCTACCTGAACGACTAGATGTTGTCTCTTAACAGGTCCTTCGTCCGGCTCCACTGACAAGCGGAATGCACTGGAAAGTCCTTTCGTTTTTAAAATATAATTTGCAGAAAAATTAAATATTTTTGTTTCCAAACGGATTGTAGCCCAATGAACATGATGTCACCAAATTCTTGGTGAACCGAGTGAGTAACGTGTAATATGCTATCATACTTTCAACTTGTGTGGATTACAGTTTCAATGATCAACCGAACATGAACTTTGAAAAATAAACAATTTGATCTTTCACTTCTAGAAATTGTCAAGTCGAACGAAACTTAGGATGTCAAACAGAGTTATAAACATCGAAGGTATAGGAATTATCAATTATTTCGGCAAATTTGTAACCAATAAAAAATAGATATTGCTAACAAATTTGCTGCTCTTAACCTTCAATTCGTTCAAGCTCAACAAAAAAAAGTTAGGGACAAAATGCCAGACGTAGTGGGCCGGGTTAAAAATATGGAAGATATAGGAAATATAAATTATTTTCTGTATACCTGGTTGGCATCAATACCTACCTTTACAGTTTAAACTGAACTTAGACCAAGCTACATCCGTTCCCGTTGTTTTATCACAGGTGACCGTCATGGGTTGAGATCCTGTATAACCTAACTCACACCCAACTTGACAAACCGCACCGTAGTAAGTCGGACACACCTGAGATAGGATACGGCCATTTTGAGGAACTGTTAATGGCTGACACTGCAATACTGTTGGAAAGAAAAAGAAACACGTTGTAGTAGGGGTGTACATGGGTAAGGTCATAGTACTGGTTACAAGCTGCAGTTAGTTGTGTAGTTAATAATGTATCCAATAAATATAAAAAGAGTTCAAAATAGATTTTAAACTAAACAACACACCCTATTTCGAACAATTTTTTATATTTATTGAGTACATAAATCTTATTGAAGTTGGATGTAGAGCAGTCTACATTAGGATAATAAATGATGGCTTAGCAGTGTATAATGACAATTATTGGGATAAATCACAATGGTTTAGTACTGTATATTGGGATAAATCGTGATGGTTTAGTACAGCAGTGTTTGGTGGAATACAGCAATTTTCAGTGAGGTCAATCATAATGGCTTCAGCATTATAAGCCTGCATTGGGATAATTAATGATGGCGTAGTAAAATATGAAGAACGCCTTGATTTTACAGCGGTGCTACAGCCTACTCTTTTTTCGAATTCCAAATGTTAATGTTTTTTTTTACGTGCATGACCCTGGGTTTTCGTCCAGCGCCGGAGAGCGTCCTACTCACATAGCCACCGCGGCTCCCTTATATATTTGATAAACCAGCGGCTGCCAGGCAGGATACGCCCACATTTTCGACAGATGGATAGAGAACAAGCTAAAAAGAAAGCGATTTTTCGTAAAATCAGGGGCCATAATTCAGGAAGTTACGGTCCGATATGCGCGAATATCGACAGGAACCGAGATCTTTGGGTTATAAATTTACATTTCAAGTTTCAACAAAATCGCATAAAAATTGTGACCTCTATAGGGTCCACAACCTTGATATACCATATTTTTACGCTATTTGAGAACGAACGGCGGCCATTTCGTCTGTCAATTTTGGGCCGATTTTCATGAAATTCGAACTCATTCACCCTTAGGGTGTAACGGTGATATAATAATACGTTTTTTTTAAATCGGATAAAAATTATGACCTCTATAGGATCCACAAGCTAAAAACGCGATTTTTCGTACAATCAGGGGCCATAATTCAGGAAGTTACGGTCCCATTCGCAAATATCGAAAGGAACCGAGATCTTTGGGTTATAAACTTACATTTCAAGTTTCAATAAAATCGGATAAAAATTGTGACCTCTATAGGGCCCACAACCTTGATATACCATATTTTTACGCTATTTGAGAACGAACGGCGGCCATTTTGTCTGTCAATTTTGGGCCGATTTTCATGAAATTCGAACTCATTCATCCTTAGGGTGTAACGGTGATATAATAATACGTTTTTTTAAATCGGATAAAAATTATTACCTCTATAGGGTCCACAAGCTAAAAACACACGATTTTTTGTACAATCAGGGGCCATAATTCAGGAAGTTACTGTCCAATATGCGCGAAAATCGAAAGGAACTGAGATCTGTGGGTTATAAACTTACATTTCAAGTTTCAACAAAATCGGATAAAAATTATGACCTCTATAGGGTCCACAACCTTGATATACCATATTTTTACGCTATTTGAGAACGAACGGCGGCCATTTTGTCTGTCAATTTTGGGCCGATTTTCATGGAATTCGAACTCATTTATACTTAGGGTGTAACGGTGATATAATACTACGGTTTTTTAAATCGGATAAAAATTATGACCTCTATAGGATCCACAAGCTAAAAACGCGATTTTTCGTACAATCAGGGGCCATAATTCAGGAAGTTACGGTCCCATTCGCAAATATCGAAAGGAACCGAGATCTTTGGGTTATTAACTTACATTTCAAGTTTCAACAAAATCGGATAAAAATTGTGACCTCTATAGGGTCCACAACCTTGATATACCATATTTTTACGCCATTTGAGAACGAACGGCGGCCATTTGTCTGTCAATTTTGGGCCGATTGTCATGAAATTCGAACTCATTCATCCTTAGGGTGTAACGGTGATATAATAATACGTTTTTTTAAATCGGATAAAAATTATTACCTCTATAGGGTCCACAAGCTAAAAACACACGATTTTTCGTACAATCAGGGGCCATAATTCAGGAAGTTACGGTCCGATATGCGCGAATATCGACAGGAACCGAGATCTTTGGGTTATAAATTTACATTTCAAGTTTCAACAAAATCGCATAAAAATTGTGACCTCTATAGGATCCACAACCTTGATATACCATATTTTTACACTATTTGAGAACGAACGGCAGCCATTTTGTCTGTCAATTTTGGGCCGATTTTCATGAAATTCGAACTCATTCATCCTTAGGGTGTAACGGTGATATAATAATACGTTTTTGTAAATCGGATAAAAATTATGACCTCTATAGGATCCACAAGCTAAAAACGCGATTTTTCGTACAATCAGGGGCCATAATTCAGGAAGTTACGGTCCCATATGTGCAAATATCGAAAGGAACCGAGATCTTTGGGTTATAAACTTACATTTCAAGTTTCAACAAAATCGGATAAAAATTGTGACCTCTATAGGGTCCACAACCTTGATATACCACATTTTTACGCTATTTGAGAAAGAACGAACGGCGGCCATTTTGTCTGTCAATTTTGGGCCAATTTTCATGAAATTCGAAGTCATTCATCCTTAGGGTGTAACGGTGATATAATAATATGTTTTTTTAAATCGGATAAAAATTATTACCTCTATAGGGTCCACAAGCTAAAAACACACGATTTTTCGTACAATCAGGGGCCATAATTCAGGAAGTTACTGTCCAATATGCGCGAAAATCGAAAGGAACTGAGATCTGTGGGTTATAAACTTACATTTCAAGTTTCAACAAAATCGGATAAAAATTGTGACCTCTATAGGGTCCACAACCTTGATATACCATATTTTTACGCTATTTGAGAACGAACGGCGGCCATTTTGTCTGTCAATTTTGGGCCGATTTTCAAGAAATTCGAACTCGGCCATCCTTAGGGTGTAACGGTGATATAATAAAACGGTTTTTTAAATCGGATAAAAATTATGACCTCTATAGTGTCCACAAGCTAAAAACGTGATTTTTCGTACACACAGGGGCCATAATCCATGAAGTTTCGATCCGATACATGCCAATATCGAAAGCATCCGAGATATTTTGGAGATAAACCTATATTTCAAGTTTCATCAAAATCGAATAAAAATTGTGACCTGTAGAGTGTCCACAAACAATTGTGGACGGACGGAAGGACGTCCGGACGGACAGGGGCGACGGCATAATACGTCCACATGAAAATGTGGGCGTATAAAAAGGATGACGTATTTGTATTCAGTGCTTAATTACCTGTTACTGATATCTTAAAAGAACACGCTGATGTCATTCCCAAACTATCTCTAGCCATGACATTAACAACATATTGACCACTTGATAGCTGAACAGGTGACGTCATACTTTGAGTGACAGTTGCTGTATTTCCAGTACTATCAAGAGCAGATGGGATATTCCATGATGCAGTTACAAATGATTGACCTCTGGTTGCTGTCAACGACATGTCATTGGGGCATTTCACGTTCGGTCCTTGCATGCCTGAAATAATAGAATGTTATGAGGAAACCAGACCAATTTTATTGTAGATCTAGAGCAGAGGCAGACCTCGTGGGAGGGGGAGACCCCTGCTCAGCTACATAACACAAATTGCAAAACCACACTTTTTACGATTAAAGTGTTAAGGTCATGAGCTTTGTCCTTTATCATCAGATGGTGGGATGGGCATTCAAAGCGCGAGATAATGATTTAAATATACGTGATATCAGAATTAATGCTTTGCATCAATAAAATTGAATCACAATGTGACCCCATTAATCCATAATAAAAATTGACGTCAAACGGGATGTTGGATTTCATCCTTTATAAAGCTCAGTGTGTATGTATGCCTACATAATGGGAGACAATGATGGCATCATGCATTGTCAACTGTCAAATTTCATTAAAAGGAGCCTGCCAAACCTCCTCATGCAAAAATTCTTGGATCTGCCCCTGTAGAGTTATACAAAATAAGCTGGGTTACCCAGTGTTTCAACATCGATAACAAAGCAATCATCAACGCTGTATGCAAGAGCTAAATCGGCCTATAGCAGGTCTTTCTTTAGGCGGTAGCCCATAATCAACTCTCGATGCCATCGGATGTTCTCGATTTTCAACAGATTTGAAGTACCTGGTAGTGAAACTATACACTAAGTTTCAACACTCTCCATCAGTTAGAATAAAAGTTATCTTGTCCCAAAGCACTGACAAATGAAATTGCTTAGCTCTGCTTAGCTTTAGTGGGAAATGTTAATCATTGAACCCCAATTCATTTCATTTTAACCATGTTATTTTCTCTATATATGGCAACGATTCGGCTCCATACATTTTATGGGGGTTGGATGGCCGAATGGTTAGCACGTGTGCGCGCTGTATCATAAGGCCTGTCATTGAGTCAACTGGCTTGGTTACGAATCACCGGTTGTAAGTGACAAGGCGTAGGGTAGCCTGTCCAACCTTGTGGGTTTTCGCCGGGTCCTCCGGTTTCCTCCCACTGCTAAACACCCCTACGCGCAAGCGAATTATTGAAATAAAATTAAACCATATGTTAGTCCCGAAATGACCTAGTCTGTGTCGAGTGGACGTTAAACCCCATCTCTCTCTCTCTCTTTCTCTCATACATTCTGTCTCATTAATCACTTACTTCTACATTGAATAGATTGACTGTTGTTACTCCACTGTCCGTTGCCTAAACATTGTAGAACTGATGGACCAATCAGCCTAAAGCCTGATGCACACATGACTGTACAATTTTTCCAAGTATTTGTTTGTTTGGATGTACAGACATCAGGAGATATCGAACCGTGATCTGGATTTGTTAGTGGCATGCAACCGAGCCCTGCAAGAAAGTGTTCAACATTTCGAAATCAAAGTATTTTTATAAATGGTATATATACACATACGTTAAAGTTCATTTTAATTGTGGGTCTTCAAAGATAAATAGCGGGGTTGGATGGCCGAATGGTTAGCGCATGCGTGCACGCTGTATCATAAGGTCTGTCATTAAGTCAACTGGTGTGGTTTCAATTCCCCGGTTGTACGTGACAAGGAGTAAGGTGGCCTGTCCAACCTCGTGGGTTTTCTTCAGGTCCTCTGGTTTCCTCCTACTGCTAAAGACCCCTAGGTGCAAGCGAATTATCGAAATAAAATTGAACCATGTGTTAGTCCCGAAATGACATAGTTTGTGTCGAGTGGACGTTAAACCCCCACCCTCTCTCTGTTAAAATTCATTTTACTTGTTGTGGGTCCTAAAGATCAATAGGGATCCATGGTGGCCCAGTGAGAAGGACAATGGCTTGCTGACCTGGATGCCAAGTGTTTGATCCCTGTGTTAGCTAAGAACCAGTGTGGTTCCCCCACCCTCCTTATCAATGGAGTAGGACGGCGGGCCTGGCAAGGAAAAATGTATATAGTCGTTCGGATAGAGCAAAAAACCGAGATTCCATTACACAAAGGCGTCCACGTAAAAGATCCCTTAGCAGTTGCAATTCGATATAAGAGAAGGTCGTAACGCCGCTGTCCTGGCAAATTTTGCCATCAAAACACATCGTATGTGGTATGCCCATCTTCATTATTCCAGTAGGAACAGAAACAGTAGGACGTTAAATCCCATTTCATTTCACTCATGCTTGAGAAGAATACGAGATCTCTGAAGTCTTGCCAATATGGTTGTTGTGATTTTAGTGTGCCCAATCGCTAAATGTCACTCGAGCGTCATCCTAATTTTTAAATGAAGATTAAAATAGGGACTATAAGAAGATTAAAACATAAAAAATGTATGTTAAGTATATCCTTTTATAATTTTTTTTTAAAAAAGTAAAGTAATTTACCTTGGGAACATGTAATACCGTCTGGTTGTAATTTTTGAGACGCACTAGGACATAGACATTTTCTTCCAGACTTACCAGTAGGTATACATATATGACTACACCCACCTCTATTTTTAGAACAAGCTGTAGTACCTTAAAGAACCAAACATAATTATTAGGCTGCATATGTAAATAAAAATTAAACAAAGCTATGCCGTTTCATATCCGAAAATCATCAAAATTTTGAAAGAATGTAAACAGGCACCAGTCACCAGGGGCGTGGTGGCCCATGATTTTGCATGGGCCCCCCAAAACAATATTTGTATTTGTTTGCAGTGGAGGGAGTGGCCGTTGGGGTTGCCACCGAGTAATATTGGACTGTGTGGAACATGCTAGAGTCAATTTGTAGCATATCTGACCCACGGAATATGTTTAACACTGGTCGAGCATTATGATTCTGTTGAAAACTGCATTGAAACTGCGTGAATTTTTGCCATTTGCGAGGGGGCGCGAAAACTCAAGGGGGTGCAAAAACTCAAAACCATGACGCAAAGCTCGTCACTACGCCCCTCTCACTTAGCCCCTGCCAGTCACAGACATTGTCAGGCTAAATCAAGGATTTATATCATAAGGCACCGATTTGTCTTTTCCTGTGTTTTTATTGACGTTATTAATACACGACGAACATAAAATTAAAAATGGCAGGTTCTATTTTATTAGTATCTGATATTTTGTCATCTACAACTGTCGCCTGTCCGTGTGATTTTTTTAGGGTCCTCCGGGTTCCTCCCACTTCTAAAGAACCCATACGCGCAAGCGAATTGTTGAAACAAAATTGAACCATATGTTAGTCCCGAAATGACCTAGTTTGTGTCAAGCTACAAAATAAGCACGCCAAAATTTTGTTGGTAGGCCCGTTTTAAATCTGACTGAATCCAAGTTGGGACATTATCTAGCGTTGTTATTTTGATTTAGTTTTCTTAATTATAATAATAATTATGTTAAATAATCAATCTGAGTACATATCAGCGTGGATTAATCCGTGAGAAATTTGATATTAATATAAAGGTTAAACATTCTGATTAAAACACAGATCCTATTTCAGTTTGTTTTTTATATAGTTCAAAATTTCGTTTTATTTGTCTTTACTACACTAGGATCTGGAAGAGTTGTTATATAACCCACGTTCTGGATAATGTGAGGCATTAGCTAATGAAACGGTCTGTTACAGCCTGTTTTTGGCGTGAGGTGCACGGAACTTTGGGTAAACTACTAGAAACGTCAACGCTAATAATATTGGTTAATCAATGTCTGACGTCATAGGATCAAAAGTCACCCGTATGACCTCTGACGCGACCTCCCATTACAACTGGACAGATCTTTACGTAGTGGAAGCCATCGAAAGTATAAAAAAACGAAACAAAATAAAGATCTGTATTTTAATCAGATTGAAAGATTAAACAAATGATTTTTCAGTTGCCTAAATATTGATGCAATTTCGACAACTGATAATTGTTATGTATTGCTGTTTTTGACAAGTAATAAATGACCAACCTGTTTGTCCAGCACCATTAACATGTACATGGATATCACCTAATCTACCAAAACCTGAAGGACCTGCTGTAGTTGCATTACTACCATCTATATTCACCTGCATTACAGACCTGCAAATTAGTTTAAATCGATAAAGTTTGATCAACAGTCTCGATTATCCATTTTTTTATTTAATCAGAAGCAGCAGACCGGGTTCTAATCCAGTAAATATCGCAGGCTAGCGATGCCATCGAGAGTTGATTATGGTCTGGATACGTTAATAAATGTCTAATTAATAAGTTAGATAACATTTCAGGCCTAAAGAAAGAGAGAGAGAGAAATGGGGTTTAAGGTCCACTCGACACAAACTAGGTCATTTCGGGACTAACATGGTTTATTTTTATTCTAACAATTCGCTTACGCATAGGGGTCTTTTGCAGTGGGAGGAAACCGGAGGACCCGGAGAAAACCCACGAGGTTGGACATGCGACCCTACTCCTTGTCACGTACAACCGGGGATTCGAAACCACGCCAGTCGACTCAATGACAGACTTTTATGATACAGCGCGCGCATGCTAACCATTCAGCCATCCAACCCCCCAGGCCTAAAGAAAGACCTGCACCAGGCAAATTTAGCTCTAGTATAATGTATGTTTAAATAAACATTAAACTAAATAGTAAAAAAAAATCTTACATGGTTGTCCAGTCAGTATAGTATAGTATATTGTTATATAGAACTAGACCCATTGGATGAGCTCCACGTTTATACATTAACTGTTGCCGATTAGATCCATCTAAATTAACAACTTCTATTCTAGCTAAACCACCATCAGTCCAGTATAGTTTACCACCTTCAAATAAAATACAATATGAAAAATTTCCCACCTTAATGCCAGCTCCTCGATTTAGTTCTTGTTTTTTTTTTATGTATTTCAAAAAACAATTGCAACCCTTATACTCCTTTGTCTGTTGCTAGGGTAAAGAGCCAAGTGATTGGTGACACTCATTGTGATTATTTGTACTGTAGGCTTTCATTGGCTCACACACTTGCATGGGGTAGGCAAACATTTGTCAGTTGCAGTGTTGGTGGTACACGGAAGGACAACAGATCAGAGAGAGAGAGAGATGGGCCTTAACGTCCACTGGACACAAACCAGGTCATTTCGGGACTAACATATGGTTCACTTTTATTTCAATAATTTGCTGGCGCGATGGGGTCTTTAGCAGTGGGAGGAAACCGGAGAACCTGGAGAAAACCCACGAGGTTGGACAGGCGACCCTACTCCTTGTCACGTACAACCGGAGAATCGATTCAATGGTTCAATTTTATTTCAGTAACTTGCTTGCAGGTACGGGTCTTTAGCAGTGGGAGGAAACCGGAAGACCGGGATAAAACATACAAGGTTGGTATGAAACATGACTCCTTGGGGAGTATAAAGTGGGATTAAATCCACACCAATTGACCTAATGACAGACCTTATGATCTAAAGCGCACACGTTAGACTAATCGCGGGTAGGGGTCTTTGGCAGTGGGAGGAAACCAGAAGACCTGGATAAAATAAACAATGTTGGCGTGCAACATGACTCCATGACACGTACCAACGTGGGGTCGAAACCACGCCAAATGACCTAATGATAGACCTTATGATCTATAGCGCACGCGTTAGACCAATCGCTCACCTAAGAAGAAGAAAAACTTACCAGTAATATCTAGAGCTATACCATTTGGGTATAGTAAATCTGTATTAACAACCGGTTTCATTCCAGTCCCGTCGTAATTAGCAGTCATTATCTTAGCATGTTTTCCCCAATCAGTCCAATACATAATTCTATATAAAAAAAAAATGCTTAAAAATGAAATATACTTTAATTAAAGATGTCCTTCCACGTACAACTGTGTGATTTAATGATATATATGTACTAAAAACATATTCAAACTAATTAATCAAAAATTTGCTTTAAACCCTCCATAAAACATTTTTTATCGCAAGAAATACGCCAACCAAAATGAACGGCATTTTTAGGGTGGCAAAAGTGTGTACACCTTGAAGAAGACTATGTAGAAAAATAAATGGAAATCATCAACTTTGTAAACGTCTTTCACAGATAGGCTTAGAACTTCAGCCAGCCCTCGTAAGCTTGTACTTGCGTAAACGGGCAGCGAGTAAAGATCGATACAAGCTCAAAGGGATTCTCCATCAATACTTAACAGCGAGAACCTGGATGTACACCTCTTTGTATTAAAAATGTCTGATTTTAATATGATTCATCATTATTATGGAAAATATTTTTACTAACTTTTCAATTTATAATGGACATACCCTTTCAATGTATCTAAAACAATAGACCTGGGCTCATCAAGTCCGGATGTCACAACTGATTTGTGTTCAAAACCATCTAGCGTCATTAATGCTATGACATCATATCCTGTGTCTGAATAAAAGAGCAGACGATTGACCATGTCCACAGCAATACCATCCGTTATGGAATCTGAAAATAAACATATTCATTTGATTACATTTTATAAAATGTTTGGGGTTGGGTGGTCAAATGATCTAATTTTATTTCAATAATTCGCTTGCACTCTAGGGTCTTTAGCAGTGGGAGGAAACCGAAGCACTCAGAGAAACCCACGAGGTTGGACAGGTGACCCTACTCCTTGTCACGTACAACCGGGGAATCGAAACCCTGCCAGTTGACTCAATGATAGACCATATGATGCAACGCGCACACGCTAACCATTCGGCCATCTAAGCACCCTAGAAGGACTGGTGCAGACAAGCAGAACAATAAACCCATTGTATTTACAATAGTCTACTATGTAATTGCCATACTTGTTAAATCTGTACTGGCTGTTAGAACAAAGCGTCTTCCTTATTTAATTTATATATATAATATGTTCAGTTAAACGGGAGCACGGTGGGTAAGCGGGTAAGACGCTGGCTCGCAGTCAGTTAAACGGGAGCACGGTGGGTAAGCGGGTAAGACGCTGGCTCGCAGTCTAGAGGTCGCGTGTTCGATCCCTGCATTGGCCGAGAAAGTTCATCGGGTTTCGCCTTGTCAATGATGCAGGACGGAGGGTCTGGCAAGGACAGCTGTCTAGTCGTTCGGATGGAATGAAACCCTGAGGTCCCGTGTATACATTGGCGCGCATAAAAGATTCTCTGACAGCTGAAATTCGATATAAGAGTAGGCCAAGGTGCCGCTACCTGGGCAAAATTTCCCTCATAGCACACTTTATGACCCCTCTTCATTAGCCCAGTCGGGAGAGAACAGTAGGACATTAAACCCCATTTCATTTCCATTAAAAAATATTTAGAATGTATTAAAACTTCAATATTAGATTTAAACATTCGTACTATTATTCAGTTGCAGAATAAGTTTTTCAGAAGTTCCATCTATACTGGCACGCCATAGCTGTTTACTTCCGACATCGGTCCAATAAACGTTGGCTTCAACTGGATCATAATCTATAGCGAAGGGGTTGTCATGGCTTGTAAGAGGCAGTGTAACGTAACTCTTCGTTTTTAAGTCCATTCGGAATATCTTTTGAAGGTTTGAATCCGTGAAGAGCAAAAAGTCGTTGGGATGACCAGCTGAAGAAAATATAATTTTGTTGTTAAACAATCGGGTACAATATTTGTTCTATTAATAAAGATATAGGAGACCACAAGTAAGTTCACTATTGACCATTCCGCCAATCTGATTAAAACACAGATAACACATCATTTCATTTTTTTATAGTTCAAAATTACGTTTTACTTGTCTTTACTACATCAGGATCTGGAAGAGTTGTTATATAACCCGCGTTCTGGTTGATGTGAGGGATTATATTCAACGTTCTTTTGTAGCGAGTTCTTGGCATGCAATGTAGGGAAATGTGGGTATCCTACTAGAAATATCAACGCTGATTGGTTAATCAAAAGTCTGACGTCATAGGATCAAAAGCCGCTCGTATGACCCCTGACACAACCCCAACTACAATTGGTCAGATCTTCATGTAATGGAGGCCATCGAAAGTATAAAAAAAACCCCAAACGAAATATAAGATCTGTATTTTAATCAGACAGACCCACTCCAATATAGGCAACCCTTTTTAAAATATTGGTAAATAAAGGATCAATGATTAAAAAACACAGTAGGAGAATTACCGAAATTTAAACAAATTTTAATTTAATTATTTAACACATATGGCTTTTTGTCGAAAATTCCACTATATATAAACTGGGAAATGGCATTGTTAAAATTCATAAATTAATACTATGAGGTCACTGTAGTTACTTACTAGTTGGACAGGAGACACCAGCATCCCTGTTATGACCACAACCAAAACCTCCCCATTGCACCGGGCAGTTACTTATTGATGATTCTGTACCAGTACATCCAGCACCACCTATCCAAATTCTACCCGATCCCATACCATAATACGCTGCACCAAAAGCTTTAGCATTAGACCTTTAAAATAGAAAGCAAACATTTATACTTCAGAGTCACATTCATTCTTGATATCCGCAGTGGTGTCATTCCGTTCTACTCCACTAACCTCTGGGTCTATCTACGGAGAAGATACACAGTCAAATTATCTTCTTCTTCTTAGTGTTTAACGTCCGCTTCCACCCAAGGTGATATCGCAGACAAGTCTTTTTTTTCATTTTTATTATCTTAGCGCATGCGCAGGGGTTTTTCCTGTGGGAGGAAACCAGAGTACATGGAGTAAACCCACGAGGTTGAGAAGGCGCCCCTATCTCCAAGCCACATACGCTCACACCAGGGATCGAAACTACAATCGCAAGCCAGAGGTGACCTGCCAGCTAGAAGTCGAAGCGTGGCACTCTAAACCACAAGGCCATTCCAACCCCCCTAGTCAAATTATCCTTATTATGCTATTTTTATTGACCAATCGACTGGGCGAAGGGAAGTAACTCGTATTTTATTGCAGCTAAGATTATTTAGGTGAACGTAAACAATGATGATAAAACTGTTTTTGATTGGGTTGTAGAATCAAAGGCAGATAATTTGGTTTCATGGACCCAGAGGTTAGTGGAATAGAATGGAACGGAACGATACCACTTGGGATACCGGAAATGAGTCACTGTGGGTTAGTCCCTTCTGTTTCTACTAAGGCCAAACCATTTAAATTTTAGTTCAGGGTTTTATTGATATTATAGCCCATTAAAATTTGAAGGCGCGAGCTTTTGAGAAGAACAACCAATTTATTTTATGTTTTTAATTTTTCTCACACGATACCCACTCAGGGCTAGAAACACTAATACCAAATGCAGTGTTTGTTTGAGTCATTCCGGCCAATACATCGATCAAAACCTGGGAACTCTTCGTTGAGCACCATGGCTACGGAAATAATTTAACAAAAGTTATTTAATAATAATACCTGTCAAAACCTAACATGCCACATATGACAGCAGCATCAGCAGCAGTCCATTGATTGTCACAAACTGTTCCCCATTGATTGTTATAAAAGACCTCTACCCTGCCTTCATTTATTTTATACTGATCACCGCCAGCTAAACGTACAAACACTGGAGAAACAGTTTTAATTGGTGCTTTTGTCACTACTGATGGTGGTTGTGTTGGCTTGTCTGTAAAATACCAAAATATACTCTTCAAAAAAAGTAGGGGATATTCAGAAACAATACAAAACAGCAGAAATGCACTGCTGTTTTTACTAGAGGTAACCAGTGTATGTTAATAACAGGCCAATTGCTTACACATGAACATAAACGTAACACACTAAACGTAACACCCTAAAGCAAAGATACGCTAAACAGTAAATCTTATGCAAGAACCGATAGGAAAGCAAACATGGATAGATAAACCAGCATGCGGCAGTTTTCATCAACCCTTCCTTGAAGTGTCAAATTTGACAATGAACCCCTCCCATGTGTATGGCGCTATTGCGTGTCGCATGTGCAGCTCAGTGGTTCTGTTGGGGCGATAAGTTCTTCATCTGTGAACATACTCTCAAAGCATGTCAAATGTCCATCACTATTTATCATAACACAACCTACATAGGTATTTGCATTTCAATATCCCCCTACATTTTTTGAAGAGTATATATCATATATATTTTAGAATGTTTTACGAAAATAATCCAATATACAATATATCATACATATATTTTAGAATATTTAATCCAAAAACATTCCGCTTACCATTATTTGTACAAATAATTCCAATATCTTCACGGTGATGACAATTATTGACACCCCAGTGGTTATGACTACAATCATCTAGAGTTGATTCCTTGCCGAAACACACGACGTTATCCAGCCAAATCTTGCCAGTACCAGAACCAAAAGTTCCTTTAGTTACTGTGTGAGCTCCAGTGCTTTATAAAGATAGAAGATCAATATTAGTCACATGTTAGATAATCAAATCCCTTTACTACTTGTCCCCAGTGCTTGTCTTTCCAGGCGTAGGTCCAGAAGTCAACTATGTCTTATAATCACCCATCCTTGGTATCCCAAGTGGTCTCATTCCGTGCTACTCCACTACATCCTGCGTTCATCCATGGGGTATTCACATATACAAATTATCTGCCCTTGATTGAAGCTTGATTTAACGAACCAATCAAAAACAGTTTAAAAACCAGTCTTAGCCTCATTGATTACAGTTCACAATAATATGGCTGCTTGTTTGTTGCAATAATATGAAAGTTACCTCCCTTTGCCTACTTCCTTTGTATTTAATGATTTTCTTTGATTGGTTGATAAAAATAGCACAGTCATCAAGGGCAGATAATTTGAATACGTGTCTCCCTATGGATGAATTCAGGGGTTAGTGGAGTGGGGGCGGAATGAGACCACTGGGTATACCGAGGATGGTAATCACCAGTTATTGACTAAAATATTGAGCTCCAGTATTTTATGAAAAGGTTTTCACTGTTTTTTTCAGCACTATCAGTGATACAGGTCGGAGGGCCTGGAAAGAGTGTAAAGTTGTTCTGATGGGACAAAAAAACAAGATCCCGTGACAGCTGACATCTAATTGTCCGGACAAAATGACTCCCACGACACACTGTATGGCAGATAATAGCTGGGCTGAGGCAGAAATGTAAGGAGTTAAACCGAATATGCAACTTACTATGGTTTTCCCATCATTTTACAAGCCACAACAGCTGCTGCATTGGTAAAATGATCATCGCAGACAGTACCCCAGGTATTATTATGGTAAATCTCTAAACGACCTTGATTTGGATCTTGAGAATTTGCTAATCGCACCTGTATGTCAACTGAAAAAGAAGATTTAACAGTTTACATTTCTTGAAAAATTTGACTCTCCATTTCCACCATAGTGATACTTATAAAATGAAAATGGGTTTAACGTAGCACTCTTCTGAATTTACGATCAAACGCTATGCAGTGTTCTATTTTGCCCGAGCAATTGCGCAAAAGCCCACTCTTATTTTGAGCACCAGCTGTCAATGATCCTTTTAAGTTCACGCCAAGTGTACCTAGGTCTCGGTTTTTTGTATCATCCAAACGAGTAGACAATTAGTTCCTTGTGGACTCTCCTTTCTGCACCACTGACAAGGGGGGAAACCATGCTGGAAAACTCCCGAGATTGAATCACTGATTTCTCGGCCACTGTGTAGTTTTGATTACAATGTGCTGCCTATGCCTAAGCTGTTCTTGCTATAATAGTTACATTTTAGATGAAAAATGTAAAATGACTATATCAAAAATTCCAGTCAAATCACTTTATTCTGAGCGAAATTATGAGTGTTTAAAGTTTGACAAGAAATGGCCAATTTTCAAGTACTGTTGCCATGTTAATGTCGTCTTGATTTTCAGTACTTTTACCGACTGACTTCCTTTTTAAGGTTGACAGATTATATGACTCGAGTGATATAATGCATTCAATATCTCAGCTATTCAATATTCTAGAGAGATGATTATGGGTTTATCATGGGAATAAATAGGTCAGAAAAACAATCTGCACTAGAAAGTATCAGCTGTTGCATATTGCATCTTTAAATCTGCAGGAAGAGCATTGTAAGTCAAGTTTAACTTACCAATTTTACAAACAACTCCAGCATCTTCCCTATGATCACAGTTCGCAGTATCAACAGACTTAGTTGAACATTGTAGTATACTAGATTCTGTACCATCACATACTGTATCATCCATAAAGATTGGTCCTGACCCTTGTCCAAAGAACGAGTTGGATTTTGCCACAGCACCTTCTCTGGAAGAGACGACCATGCATATGTGTTACACAGATATGTGTTTAGTTAAAGTTAAAATTTCATATTTTTAAGTTATATTCTTAAAATTTATTAAAATAAAGCCTTAAAATAGATGGTATCTATAAACAGTCCTACCTTGTTAAAGAATAATCCTATTAATCCTATAATTCACTATTGCCAGTTGAGAAATTGGCAAAAATATCATTTTCAACTTGAATTTCAATTGTTTGAAGATAGCTATTCCATGGGGGGGGGGGGGGGGGAGGAGGGGGGGGAATAGGAAAACAAGGGAGGTAATTGTGTTATTATTTAATGTGTCAATGATTTTTAAGTGTGGGAAATTATGCCTATGATCGTATAATAGTGAGTTGATAACCTATTGAGCAAAAGACATAGAAATAATTATGGTTTGACTTTCTTAGAAAATATGAAATTCTCGCTTTAATGAAATGAAATGGGATTTAACGTCCTACCTTTCTGCATCAAGTAGGCTAGTGAAGACAGACATATGCCATACAGTTGTCTGTGCATGAAGTTTTGCCCGGACAGCGGCGCTACGGCCTACTCTTATATCGAATTCCAACTGTTAAGGTTTTTGATACGTCACTGAAAATCCTGATGAACCTTTTAGTCCAACGCAGAGATCGACCACGGCACCTATAGGTTAGCGAGCCAACGTCTTACCCCCAAGATCAACACATGTCTTCATTAGCAAATTAGCAGAACAGTCGGATGTTAAATCCCATTTCATTTCATTTCATTTCTAGATCAACAATCTACTACAAACATTGACATGACATAAATATTACCATATTCTAAAACGTCCGTAAAAATAATAGTGTGGTGCTTCAAAATCGGGATTAACGACTCATTTGGAAAAATAAATTAATAGTAACACTTCATGCCACAACAAAGAATAATAAATGAATATCATCACTTACCTGGCGAATCCTGCCATAGCACATACAACCCCTGCAGCGTTATTGTCCCATAAATCATCGCAGATAGTTCCCCATGTACCATTCAACTGTATTTCTACCCGACCTCCGTTGGGTAAACCTTTAGAGTTAACCAGTCGTAGTTTCAAATCGGGGGCTAAAATACAAAAATAGAAGGCAATTAGCCTGGAAATAAGGCACCAGTCACAGACAGTTTCAGGCACAGATTCTGTCTGCAATCCCTCTGGTACCAGTTATTTTGCCTTACACAGATCTGTTTATTTCAGTATGTTTGTTGATAAGTGTAATGCATATGTCCAGCACAAAGTTTGAAATGTAAGGTACAAGCTCTGTAGGCCTATAACTTCAGTTATTATTTCCAGGCCTGTAAGATAGCAATCTGGTCCAGCAGTGTTTTTGGAACAGGAACTGGGCCCGAAGCGCTACCCATTTTATTATTCTTGTTGTTTTGCTTGGGGGTGTGGCGGGACGCTCTTCAAAGAAAACTAAGGCTCCGTCAATTTAAGTCTGATCCGTTCTTTCTGACAGACTATGATTCTCTTAATTATTGGTGTTATATCATTTTCCTTTCAAATTTAATTGCAGTTATTTGCATTATATGATTTCTAAGACCTGCAAAGAACATTGGCTTCATGTCGTAGACATGTGGAATTGCTTACACTTATTCTACAGAACAAACCCCTTTGATCTGGGTCAACCATTGTCGATTTCATTGGATTTTATACATTGATTTGTTTTTTTAGGATGTCTTTCTTTCCTTCAACAGCCAACGTTTTGACAGAATTCATTGTTTAAAAGTTGATATAAATTAGTAAGCAAATTGAATTCCACTGCTTAATCTTTCGCAACTCCAATCATTCGGCATATCAAGATTACCTACCTTTACACATGACACCTACATCTTCAAGGTGATCACAATTAGATGTTCCCCACTTCCGGAATGCACAGACACTGATAGACGATTCATCACCTGAACAACTTAAATCATCAATCCAGACTGGTCCACTACCACTTCCAAAATGAGACTTTCCAAACGACAAAGCAAAATTTCTGAATAAAATTGAAAACTATACTAGCACAATTTTTAACGACTGGCCTCCGGATTCATTCATATTATTTGATATTTGTTGTGTATTTCTTGCAATGTCTATGTAGTGGGGACAATTGTTAACGCGTGCGCGTTCCCCAATTGTAGGGAACAGGGTCGCCTGTCAAACCTCGTGGGTTTTCTCTGGGTCCTGTGGTTTCACCATACTGCTAAAGAACCCTACATGCATGCGAATTATTGAAATAAATTGAACAATATGTTAGTACCGAAATGATCTAGTTTATGTCTAGTGGATTGATAAATGGAGATTCCCAAATCCATTTGATTATAGTTTCAATAAGATGTATTTACCCATCAAATCCAGCCATACGACATATAACTTTAGCTTCTGGTGTATTAACATCATCATCACACATTGTACCCCAGGTATTATTATGGAAGACCTCCACACGACCTTCTGATGGGATCAGACCACCAACCAAACGAATAGAGATAGTTGTTTCTACAGCTAAAATTATAAATTACATAACTGAAAAGATGACTTTGTTTGGGTTCACAATTACATCAAATTTAAACCCGATCTAGGCAATTTTGATAGATCTGACCAACGACGACAGCTGCACATGTCATCAAATTACAATACAGACTGATAGTAAACATAGCGAAATATTTCCTGACGTGTTACCCAATCGTTATGACAGGGGTTGGATAGCCGAATGGTTAGCACGTACACGCTGTATCATAAGATCTTTCATTAAGTCAACTGACGTGGTTTCGATTCCCTGGTTGTACATGACAAGGAGTAGGTTTGCCTGTCCAACCTCGTAGGTTTTCTCAAGGTCCTCCCATTTCCTCCCACTGCTAAACACCCCTACGTGCAAGCAAATTATCGAAATGACCTAGTCTATGTCGAGTGGAATTTCATTGAACAATACTGAACGGGACAGATTGATGGAATTTTCAATTGTAAAAACTGAAGGGAATTGAACTATTTTTAGACTAATATTCTTATTAGAGACTCAACTTTCAAAATGATGTAGTTATATACAAGGATATAACTTGTTTTTTCTTTTTGCTTTTGTCACTTCGGTTTTCTTAAATCTTCATTATGCATTGTAGTTTGCAGGCGATGCCTATAGCACTAAAATTACACGAAGAGTCTTTATACTTACATCCACAAACTACACCAGCATCTTCTTCATGATGACAATCTGAGTCACCCCATGGTTTATGACCACACTGATCAATACTAGACTCATTACCTATACAATCTATTTCATCTAACCAAATCTTACCCTTACCACGTGGAAAAAAATCACCACCTCTTGCTATCACCTTATCTCTGTAATAAAATATCAAACAATTAAACTCTTGACATTAGTTTAAACATACATTATGCAAGAGCTAAATCTGCCTATTGCAAGTCTTTTTTACGACTGAAATGTTTTCTAAATCATTAATTAGAAATTAATTAACTTATCAGTACCATAATCAACTCTCGATGATCAATTTGACTGAAATTTTCAGCAAATTGCCTTTACATAATCTAGTTTGTAACTATTATAGTGAGAATCGCTAACTCGTTATCTAATCTCCCATAATGTATCTTTAAAGGAACTAAACAAAACATCAACGAAATATTATAGCAAGTTTGTAACTGTATCACAAGTCCAATCTCTAAATACATACATGTATAAAGTTCATACCCCTTACATAGTTACATTCAATGGAACAAAGCATCATTCAATTAATGCCGCTGATCGTCAGGTGCATTTTTCGGAGCGTATGAAATGAAATGATACTTAAAGATACATTATGGGAGATTAGATAAAGAGCTGGCAGTTCTCACTATAATAGATAAAAACTTGATGATGTAAATAGATTATGATAAAAATTTCACCCAAATTGCTTCACTCTAAGTTGTGAAAACCTTATTTTAAAATCTCTGTAGCCTTGACTGTCATAGTTACCGCTGTCATGATAATTAATAAAGTCTTGATGACCTGGCGCCTGGTACGTTCGGGCATTTTTATGCGCGAACTCTTAGTTTTTTTTTTACTGGCACGTGCACAGGTACTATTTCTTTTTCTTTTAACAAGTACCCAAATCGGAGATTTCGTGCGGAGGTAGTTCGGAGGTAAACAGTCTGTGAAGTACAACATTTGCCACTGTACCTGTGTATCGCTAATTATAAACCGAATGTGTGAAGACAGTTCATACATATCACTCAAAAATATTTCAGTACAAACTCAGTTGATTCACGCTCGATTTGCTACTAAACAAACCCATCGGTTTATTTTCTCAACAGTGTGACCCGAAGTGACCGCGGATTTATTGACCTTGTATGAACTTATCCATAGCTATATCCTTACACCGAGAGAAATTATGTAGTCTCGGTGAAAAGAACCATGGTCATCTGGTAGAAAATTACTTTTGTATTTTTTGGAACGGAAAACAGTGTTTTTAGAAGCAAACTAACCTGCCGCACATGAGGAAGTCATTATACTAATAATAAAAGGCGAGACCTCTTTTTGCGGCGCAGGCTTATCACTGAGTAGTAAACCGTCCACAAACAATAATATAGGAAGCCTAGTGACAGTGTAGTAAGTGGGCTATAGACTATAGGTTTGAGTCGAGATTACTGGCTTTCAGGTTACTCTGTTTTTGCGATAACCAATTATGTGAGAAATACCATACTGACATTCGGTTTTTAAAAGTTGTACGCGAACTAAATGCGTTTGTTAGATACTGACAGAGCAGCCCCGAGTCAAACAATCGCCGCCCGAGCTGTCTTCGTCAGCTAGTTTCACAATATCGTGCAATAGGTGTATTAATGTGATTTTTAGGTTTAACCCCGCAAACAATGCCAAAATAGTGTTTTCACTGCTTACAGAAAACTGAAATTTAAAAGGGTGACCCTCCCACACACTCCCTATCGAGCTGCCGCTCGGTCTGCGCAGCCTCATGCCTGGCACATACTGTCAACATTGTATATTTTTCCGTTTCCGCCCTTCCCCCCCACAATATATATTTCACGGCTACGTTGCGACGGTACCAGCATACCCAGTTGTTGACACCCATTACATCACTCCTGTCTAACAAATCATAAAGCTGTGGTGTTACGGTGGCGGCATAGTATTTCACCGTAACACCACAGCCACTCTAACCATTCATAATACATCTAACTATCCCTTTACAGCACTCCCAACACATTTCCCCTCGTCCTACTTTCCCAAACGTCAACAACACATCTCATACATCCAGTTCGCTGATTAACCCTTGTACCACGTCTACTGGATTATCCAGTTTTGCGTTTAATCATCAACGGATGTTGATCAACGGACGTTGAACAGCAGATTAGATTCAAAACCAAAGAAAATCAGATACATAAGAGGTCATCAAGAGTTGATTATTGATTATGGTCTTTTCATGTTAATTATTAGTTTATATAAGATTTTAGGCCTAAAGAAAGACCTGCTATAGGCAGATTTAGCTCTTGCATAATGCATGATTCAGGTACTACTTTCTGCATGTCTAAATTAAATTTAAAATGGAGTATTAAAATTAGACTTACGTGGTTAAGTTGAGCATTCTACAGATAACTTTAGCATTGTTCACGTTCCAATTATCATCACATATAGTACCCCATACGCCATTTCTACTGATCTCAACTCTTCCTTCATTCGCAGAGTTACCTCCCACTAATCTTATAGGGTATTTAGTCTTGATTTGACTTGCTGAATAAATAAAACAAAAACAAATATCTAAGAATAATCAAACGGGGACAAAATGAAATGAAATAGGGATTAACTACTGTTTGTCACTTAGTGTCCGCGGGATGAGTGTTGATAAGGATATGTGGGATTAAACTTACAGCTTTAATAGATGACCTACTGTGGTCAACAGACATACAAAATGGAGCTGTCATTATTTCATGCACAGGAATCCGAATAAATTACGAACCTACCATTCATTTTCTACTGGGGGATCATGGTGACTAAGAGGGTAAGACGTTGGCTCGCTAGCCTAGAGGTCGGGTGTTTGATCCCTGCATTGGCCGAGAAAGTTCGTCCAGATTTTTCGGCGTGGTTCCCCCTTGTCAGTGATGCAGGACAGACAGCTTTCTAGCAGTTCGGATGGAAAGGAAAACCGAGGTCCTGTGTACACATTGGTGTGCACGTAAAAGATCCCTTGACAGATAGAATTTGATATAAGAGTAGGCTGTAGTGCCGATGTCCGGACAAAATTTCCCTCATAGCACACTGTATAGCGTATGCCCATCTTCATTAGCCCAGTTCGGAGCAGAACAGTAGGATGTTAAACCCCATTTCATTTCATTTCATTTTCTACTGACAGCTGCTGTACTAGTGTAACACCCGAACTTACCATTCTATTTCGACAACTCTGCTTACTTGCCTAACACCTGAACCTACCATTCTATTTCTACTGATTAAAACCCTACTTATTAGCATATTTACCCTTATTTCATGTACGAATGTAGTGCGAGTTATAAATAGACAGTTTTTCTCTTAATTAATTAAAAATACACCCGAACTTACCCCTCTGTTTATATTGACAACATTTCTACTTACGAGTGTAACACCGAACACCAGCTTCATGACTGTGATCACATGTACTTCCACCAAACTGTCCAACATCACATTGACCCAGGGTGCGTTCTACACCAGTACAGGAAATACCATTCAACCAGACGACACCAAATCCTTCGCCATATTTAGAATTATTGTAACCCGTAGCAAACGCTCTATTGATGGAATAAAAATGTTAATTTTATGAAAATCAAAGGATATGTTGTTCTTTCACTAATGGAAGGCACCGAAGCAATGTCTCCTGTCACCAAGCTGTCTAAATTCAACATCTTTTGGGTAAAAAACGGTTCTACCATTTTGTCTCTTCGATATACCGGTTCATCATTTCAAAATATGCTGGCATTATTCAGACCAGAGCCTGTTTCACAAAATTTTAACTAAGATAAAATCCAAATCCAAGTAATTTGATTGGATAATAATAGACTGATCAAAATTGAAGTATCTACTAAAATTTGGATTTTATCTTTAGTTAAGATTTCGAGAAACAGGACCCAGGGCTTATCAAAATACGGACAACTGAATAGTTTATTTATGCCTCTTGTTGTAAAAACTACTATGAAATATCTACTTCTAATAATTTAATGAAATAAATTAAATTAAAATAACATATAAAGGAATATAAAGGAGAATTGAATTGAATATTGAAATATAGTATGTCAATCATGCCCACCCACGACTGATCCACTTGCTAGTGCTTTTATTGTATTTTACTTTAAATGTCCGTGTTTTTAGGCTTGTCTTCTATGTTTATTTATGTGTGGTGCAGTTCTCCTACACTAACTATTACAATATTCAAACAGCCAAATTAACATTCGATATTGTCATGCTAGATCTTGGTGTGAGGCCCTATTCTGAATACTATTTACTGAATTGTATTAATATTGGATATGGTCACACTAGATTTTAGTGTGCGGCCCATTATGAATACTATTCACTGAACTGTATTTACATACGATATGATCACGCTAAATAGTATAAATACTATTCACTGAATTGTATATTAACATTCCATATGGTCACACTAGATTTTAGTGTGCGGCCCTATGAATAATATTCATTGAATTGTATTAACATTCGATATGGCCACACTAGATCTTAGTGTGCGGATCTATTATAAATAATATTCATTGAATTGTATTAACATTCGATATGGCCACACTAGATCTTAGTGTGCGGATCTATTATAAATACTATTCATTGAATTGTATTAACATTCGATATGGTCACACTAGATCTTAGTGTGCGGACCTATTATAAATACTATTCATTGAAATGTATTAACATTCGATATGGTCACACTAGATCTTATAAAAAATGTGCGGTCCTAGTATGAATATTATATTCTTACGTGGGGAATCCAAGAGATCTACAGACTACTTCAGCTTCGGCATTGGTAAAGTTTGTATCACAGACAGTGCCCCATTGATTATTGTGTAAAACTTCTAATCTTCCTTCCATGGATGACGGCCCATTGGATAATCTGGCGACAATCTTCGGAATAACAGCTGAAAGTGAAATGAATTGGGGTTTAACGGCCTAATGTCCTCCAGGCCAGTGAGCAAACATCTTACTCACCGAGCCCCCGTGGCTCCAACTGAAAGTGGACAGAAGCAATAAAATGCAAATAATGTGATGAACAAATACACTGAAAGATAGGTATGTAAATATTTTCACATTAATACGAACCTCGTTACCGGGAGACCTGCTTCTTTTTTAGGGAGATCAGGTACGATAAATTTTGTTACATAAAACTCTCTTAAAAATGTCTTGCCACTCAAATAGTTTTGTCATTTTGACACTAACATATTGTAATTCCTGGAGGTGAGAAGATTTTGAACGAACAGCGGCGTTCTGCCACCCACCCCTCTCCCCTATATTCTTCGATCTTTCATGGTTGTCAGTATGTACACAGGTGTATGCTTTCTTTTATCCCGTCTGAACGACAAATAATAACACTGGATATAAAATACGACATGGTTGACATAAACCATAATTTTCCAACGTGGTTTCCCCCTTGTCAGTCATGCAGGACGGAGGACCTGACAAGGACAGCTGTCTAGTCGTTCGGATGGGACTTAAAACCGAGGCTCTGTGTATAAATTGGCATGTACGTAAAAGATCTCTTGGCAGTTGGAATTCGATACAAGAGTACGCCATAGTGCCATTGCCCAGGCAAAATTTCCCTCATAGCACACTGTATGGCGTGTGCCCGTCTTTATTAGCCCAGTATAGGAGCAGAATCGTAGAACGTTAAACTCCATTTCATTTCACATAAACCAATTGTTACCCATATAAAGTGTGTTATTTGATTATGTCCAAATTACTAAACATAAAAACAACATAAAAGGAACATGATATAAAAACTTACGATCAGTACAAACAATAGCCACGTCTTCACTATGATCACAATTAGTTTCTCCCCAACCTTTAAAATCACAATCAGCTATAGATGTCTCGGTACCATCACAATTAACATCATCAAGCCAAATAGGACCTCTTGTACTACCAGAAAAACTTCTTAAAGTTGCTTGTCTGTAAAAATGTGTAGGATACCTACAGTTCGGTGCATCAGACGCCAAGAACTCGCTGATCAAAATATTGTGTTTATGCCAGCTGAGTGTTATATCTGGTCCAAAAAATATCTGAACTACTTATTACTTGATGCTATAATAATTGATGCTATAATAATTTCTATACTATAATAACAATAATTTGAATATTATATCATGGTTATTAACAATTATTATATGATAAGTGAAAATTATTATTATAGAAATTATACTAGTGACGTTTCAACAGTAGAACCGTGAATTCTCGTATTTAAGCCCTGGGCTAAATTTCGAATTTGACCATGTCAGTGATGAAACATTAATTCTGAAATTAAGCCCAGGGCTTAAATTCGAAAAGAGAAAAAAACGACAAACAGATCTCAAGGCTGGCTTTTACTAGTATGGTGAGCATCCGTTACCCATCAATGTCCTTGTCTGAACTGGAATTCTCGAACGGGTCGTCACAGAGTTGGTCCTCACCTGGCAGTACAAGGCAGGAATGTGACTGGAGAACATCTAGTAGCCTGTAGTTCACATGTGGTTTGAAAATTTAAAAGGGAAACCACTCGAAATTCGAAATTTAAACTCGTTATTTAGCCCATGGGCTTATTAACAGCAGGGCTTAAATACGAGGATTCCTAGTACCTCGTCTCTGTATCAGGCAAATGTTTACCGAGCATATGCAACCAGTTCTTGGTTAAAAGATATGTATTGTCCATGCTTTTATTCTACATAATTGTTCATAATTTGACAACACATACGTAGGTCATTTAAATGTCCTTTTAAGCTTTTTCAAAATTAGTTTTTGTGCAGGGTGTCATATATTTATTATTACTTACGCTCCAAACCCCAACATCTTACAGACAACTACAGCATCACGTGAATCAAAAGAATCATCACAGATAGAACCCCATATACCATTATAGAAAACCTCCACTCTACCCTGGTAACGTGTCAATCCATTCTTTAAACGAACTTGTACAGTAGGATTCGTTACATCTGAAATAGAATGTGTACAGTAGGATTTGTTACATCTGAAATAGAACTTGTACAGTAGGATTCGTTACATCTGAAATAGAATGTGTACAGTAGGATTTGTTACATCTGAAATAGAACGTGTACAGTAGGATTCGTTACATCTGAAATAGAACGTGTACAGTAAGATTCGGTACATCTGAAATAGAACGTGTACAGTAAGATTCGGTACATCTGAAATAGAACGTGTACAGTAAGATTCGGTACATCTGAAATAGAACATGTACAGTAAGATTCGGTACATCTGAAATAGAACGTGTACAGTAAGATTCGGTACATCTGAAATAGAACGTGTACAGTAAGATTCGGTACATCTGAAATAGAACGTGTACAGTAAGATTCGGTACATCTGAAATAGAACGTGTACAGTAGGATTCGTTACATCTGAAATAGAACGTGTACAGTAGGATTCGTTACATCTGAAATAGAACGTGTACAGTAAGATTCGTTACATCTGAAATATCAATAGAATAAAATGGATTGATAATTTACGCTTCGGGAACACTCTTGTCAGGTAGTCATGATGTCACTTCTAGTTTGACGAGTCCACATGGCTGACAATGTTTCGTTGAGAGGATCACATAATATACATTTTCGTCTGATCATATTCACTAAAATCATACAATCTTAGTTTTATATTCGCAAACACTACAATTGTGAGATCATTCTCCAACACACACAATCTTAGTTTTATATTACAGTTGTAAGATCATCTACCCGTAGACACACACAACCATAGGATTATCTACCCTATTGTAGGTCTTTGTTTAGGCCTAAAATGTTATCTTAATTATTAATTAGACATTAATTAACTTATCCAGACCATAATCAACTCTCGATGTCATTGCTAGCCTGCGATGATTTTTTCTGGATTAGGGGCCGATTTGCTTGGTTTAATCATGAAATGGATAATTGAGACTATGTTTTTATCGTACCCATTTTAGTAATGATGATCGAGGATAGACCAAACATTCAATCGCTAAATTCTCGGTTAAGAGTGGATCAATTTGACTGAAATTTTCAGTAAATCCCCTTTATATTATCTAGTTTTAACTATTATAGTGAGAACTTCCAGCTCTTTATCTAATCTCCCATAATGTATCTTAAACACACCAATACTCCAGTCAAAAGGCAAAACCTAGTAACTCACTTTTGTCTTATTTTGAGAAAACAAAGGGAAACGTAATGAATGAATATTAAACGCCAGCTCATCCATTGATTTGACTATTGAGTTAATAGGTTTTGTTGTGGTATACAGGCCAATGAAGGAAGTTGCTAGGTTGTGTCATGGGTGTAACTGCTTACAAAATCAAAAGACTGGAATATCTAGTACAACAACAGGAAACACATACCCTAGTAACTACAAATTTGGCCCTAACTCAATTTTGATAAAAAAGTGAGTTACTAGGTTTTGCCTTTTGACGGGAGAATTCTCCTAACACACACAACACTGTAGCTTTAAATGAAAACAAATCAATGATGAACACTTACTTGGTAGACACATTACACCAGCAGTTTCTCCAACTTCACAATTATTAAAACCCCAAGGTTTAAATTTACAATCATCTAAATTCTTCTCACTACCGTTACAGTTAACATCATCTAACCACATGGGTAAATTAAGTGCGGACGTAAAATAACCATTATTTAGTGGTACCGGTATGGTGCTGAAATACATAAGTTGGACCAAGCCTATTTTTGCGGTTTCCTCTGGCAAGTTTCTTAGGAAATACTTGTTTACGATGTCAGTCTATAGGAGGAAGTGGGCGAACGAACGAGCTGAAATATTGGAGGTCACAGCCGTTACGCTTATTTGAAAGAGAGAGAAATGGGGTTTAACGTCCACTCGACACAGACTAGATCATTTCGGGACTAACATATGGTTTAATTTTATTTCAACAATTCGCTTGCGCGCAGGGGTATTTAACAGTGGGAGGAAACTGGAGGACCCGGAGAAAACCCACGAGGTTGGACAGGCAACCCTACTCCTTGTCACGTACAACTGGGGATTCCAAACCACGTCAGCTGACTCAATAACAGGTCTCACGATACAGCGGGCACGTGCTAACCATACGGCCATCCAACCCCCCACGCCTGTTTGAACATACTTGGTTTTAATTTATGTCTATTCTTAAACCTATATACTAAAATGATTGAAATAAATTGGGGTTTAACGTCCTATTGTGCTGCACCGACTGGGCTAATAATGAACGACGCGAGGGAAATTTAGCCCAGACAACTGCACAAAGTTCTACTCTTATATAGAATTGCAACCGCTACGCCAATGTGTATAAGGGATCCCTGTTTTCCATCCTATCCGAACGACTATACGTTAGTCCTTCCCATCACTGACTAGGGAGAACCCCTGCTGGAAAATCCCACTGAACGTTCTCGGTCAAATTAGAGATCAAAAGCAGACCTTCCTGTTCGCTAGCCAACGTCTTGCTCACCGTGGCTCACCTCTAGAATAACAGGAAACAGTACAATATATACAGATGTCAACTCTTGGCAGTCCCTGAAACCCCTGGCATCTGTTAGCTCCATCATATGGCATTTATAGTCTGTAGCACAGCCACAACCCAATTAGCCTCTAAACAATTTTGGGGGGCGAGTGGCAACTTTTTTTTGTTTCATTTTTTAGCAATCCTCTGTCACACGTATCATAACTGTTTCTTCCCAGTGTGTTGATATAGTATTTTATTTACTACAATACGATAGTTTTAGTCTTCCATGGATAATTTGGTCAGTTTCCAACATACGTCTTGTATACGCAAACACTAGGTAAAATATATAGGCGAACTTACTTGGGGAATCCCAACTGATTACAGACAACTGAAGCTTCCGGTATACTCCACAGATCATCACATATTGTACCCCACGTGTTATTATGATATACCTCAACACGACCCATAGTAGAGTTACCTCCCATTAATCTCACCTGTAAGCCTTTGTTATTGACGGTACCTTTAAAACACGGATAACTATACAATAAATCAGTTTCTAAGACCATTAAAAGTACACACAGAAAAGTATACAAAATGTTCTTCTCATAGTGTAACCACACCAAAACCCAGAGTCTACTTCAAGAAATATACGTTACGTTACGTGGTATATTACATGTGTGTACACATATAAAGGGCCCATATAGAGAATACACTCGGTGCCTCTTAAAAAATAAATGTTAAATGAATTCTAAATTGCGGGGTTATTGCCCGTTTCGCAAAAACCTCAATTTCTGCAAGGGAAACCAGCAATCTCATTAAAATACAGATCTATATTTCGTTTCGTTTTCTATATTTTCGATTGCCTCTACTGTATGAAGATCAGACCAGTTGTAGTGCGAGGCAGCATCAGGGGTCATACGAGTGGCTTTTTCCCTGACATTAGACATTTGATTAACCAATCAGCGTTGATGTTTCCAGTAGGATACCAAGAACTCGCTGCAACAGACCATTTCATTGGCTAATCCCTCACATCAACCAGAACTCATGTTATATAACAACTCTTCCAGCTCCTATAGTGTAGTAAGGACAAGTAAAATGAAATTTTAAACCATAAAAAACGAAACGAAATAGGATCTGTGTTTTAATCTGATTGGGGAAACCAGCGGATGTGATTAGCTGTCTTCTGCAGCATTAAAATTCATATTTTGTTGATAAAATATATATGAGAAAAAAAAATACTTACTAGATTTACATTTGATGCTGACGTCTTCTTGATGATTACAATTATTAATACCCCATGGCTTAAATGAACAATCAGCGATATTCGTCTCATTACCAATACATTTAACATCATCTAACCATATAGGACCGGTACCATCACCATAACGACTTGATCCATACACACTAGCTGTTGGACTAGGAAAAAACAATATGGCTATGATAGATTTATTTTGTTTTGTTGAGAGATCAAATTCAGTGCAGTTTAATCTGTGTTTGACCATAACAGTAGCCAAGAGCTAAATGAAAGGAGTGCCACTATCTAACCATATAGGACTGGCACCATCACCATAATGACTTGATCCACACACACTAGCTGTTGGACTAGGAAAAAACAATATGCCTATGACGTTAGATTTATTTTGTTTTGTTGGCAGACGAAATTGCGCGTTGTTTAATCTGCGTTTGATCAGAACAGCCAAGGACTAAGTGAAGGAGACACGACCATCTAACCATTAGGACCGACACCATCACCATGACAACTTGATCCATATACACTAGCTGTAGGACTAGAAGAACCATATAGCTATGAAGTTAGATTTATTTTGTTTTGTTATAGCCAAGTAATTGACCACAGTTTACTCTGCTTTTGATCAGAACAATGAATGAATGAATGAATGAATGAAATGGGGTTTAACTTCCTACTTCTCTTCGCCTACCAGACTAATGAAGACAGTTATATGCCATGTAGTCTACTATTAGAACATTTTAGTCTGGGCAGCAATTGGATTCCAACTGCTAAGGGCTCTTTTACGTGTATGCGAACGTGTAGGTTGGATCTTGGTTTTGCTTCCCATTCGAATAACTAGACGCTTTTGCCAGGTTCTCCATCCAGCGGGGTCGAATCCTCTCGCACGACCGCCCCCCCCCCCCTCATATGCCTGTCTTCATTAGCCCAAGTGGTGCAGGCAAGTAGGACATTAAACATCATTTATTACATGTTTTGTAATAAAATAAGATTGACTTTATCTACTGGGAAATAAAGGCTATGATTTGACACAAATTATTTCAGCCATATAAACTTATGTTGGTCATGGTGGTGAAGGATTAGAGGTGAGTAAGTTCCCATATGTCCTTGCTTGTTCTGATTTTCTTCAATCCTTCTAAAGATAAAACCATGTAAACAAATAAACAAAAACCTTTTATCTGATAGTACAGAATAAGGACATGGTGTGTAATCAATTAGGTCGGGTCACAGTGCTAAACGTTTGCGAACAGCCAGCTTTATCTAAAATCAGCCATCAAACTACTAATAGATTAAAAAAATATTACAAAATGGACAAAGTGGCTACGATTGGATTTACTGCTCTTGCTTTGTTAGCCATTGCTAGTGGTGCTGCTGTGACTGTAACACAACCTATCCTTGCAACTGCCATGGTAAAAGAAGGCTGTTTGCATGATGGAAAGTTATATGAAGAAGGAGAGAAGGTCAACAAGAACCCGTGTTCGCCATGTTATTGTCGCGGTGGTATCATGGCGTGTATGATAATAGATTGTATGAGACCAAACTGTGTTGATTCTGTGAGACATGGCTGCTGTTCTTCTTGTCCTAATGGTAATTTTGTTTTATTTTTATTTTTTTTCTTATCTCTAAATCTGTCATCGCATCTTTTGCTAAGCTGAAATATCCACAATGGTGTAGGTTTGCAAATAGCCGAGATCCGTCTCTATCATTTAGAGACGTATTCTACAAATATTACTATGAGATTCTGGGTGTTTGAGACTAATCAATGATTGGAATTTCTACACTAGTGAATAAACTTTATTTGGGCGGTATTTCTTTTTTATTTTGTCAGGTGCAAACTGTCATTTACCGGATAAATCTATATTGAAAGATGGTGACGTACGCACGTTGGATGACGGAAGCACTTGCAGATGCGTCTCAAGATTTGGAATGGGATATGGACCGGCCAATCCACAAGCAGTGTGTACTCAAACCCCTAAAATTATACAATAATTACCATGTCTTATCTTGTGTTGATATGAAATAAAAAGAATGATGGTGAAGAATGAACACATTCTACTGGATGGTGTCGAGGGGTTGGGGGGGGGGGGGGGTAATGAAATGGGTTTAACGTCCTACTGTTTTGTCGGGGTGGTAATGTATGATTGGATGAATAGGTTACCAAAATAGGTGACAGATTAATCGATTTAATCGATTAGCAGTGAAAGCTAAAGCGGGATAAAATGAAAACGTGTTCAACGTCCTACTTCACTAGCCAATCTAGTGATATGGGGTTTAAAGTCCTACTGTTCTGGGCTACGCCATGCTGTGTACAATAAGGGAAATCTTGCTCGGACCGCGAAGCGCTACATCCTGCTCTTATTTAGAATTCCAAAGCTTCTTTTACGTACACGTGTACACCGAACCTCGTCCGAACGACTAGACACTATTCATTGCCAGGCCCTCCATCTGCACACTGACAATGGGAAACCACGGGGGAAAAATCTCGGGGTACTTTCCGGGCCAGCACCGGACCTTCTGGTTACTAATTCAGCGCCCCAATCACTGAGTCACCTAAGATGGTAACAATTCATCTACGTTAGATATTAAGGTCATTTCCAAATTGGTTCTGTAATATATATTGTATCTATATATGGTTAAATCTATTTGTTAAGGACTGCTCAATTTTTGTCAAGGTCACTGAGATGTAAATATGGTTAGGGCACGTAATTGTTAGCGAGATTGTAGCCTAGGTTAGGATTAGGGTAAGAATTGAGGCTAGGTCCAGGATTAGGGATTAGCACTAGCACTGTTTACATCTCGTGACCTATGACGAAAAATTGAGCTGGCCTTATCATTTAGCACTTAGCATATTGTATAGTGTATAACACTTACTTGTCCAAGCCCAGCATTCTACACACTACCTCCCCATTTCTGATGGTAAAAGCATCGTCACAAACACTTCCCCATCTCTGGTTATAATATACCTCTAATCTTCCTTCATATTGAGATGGTCCACCAGATAAACGAACCTTTATCTCATGTAGTGGAGCAACTGTTGATACAAATACAAGGTTTAAAGAGAGAGAGAGAGAGAGACAAAGAGAGAGAGAGAGGTCTTTAGTAGTGGGAGAAAACCGGAGGACTCGAAGTAAACCCACGAGGTTGGACAGGCGATCCTACTCCTTGTCGTCTGTCCGGGGAATCAAAACCACGCCAGTTGACTACTATAAAATTGGAAATTAAAAACACGAATTAGAATTTTTAAATTACTACGCGACTCGTGTTTTTCTGTGCCATTTGTAATGACTAAAGAAAAACATATCACAGAAGACATTAAAAATGACTGATTCGCAATCGAAAAAACAAAAACAAAACACATGTAGAATGGATTAAGAAGGCACAAATGACAATAATTTAATGTTTATAACCAAGCATAAATACATTATATTTGGAAAGCATGGCGATCATTAATAAATTCACCCCTATAGTATCATTCTTTAAACATACATTATGCAAGAGCTAAATCTGC